TGATAAGATGAAATGATCAATTCGATTAGCGCAATGAAAAATACAAATATTTTTCTGTTGATAGAAGAATATCTATCGAAAACTCTTATAGAATGTATTATATATCATAGTTCTGAATAATCGCATACTTAAAATGAAAACCATGATACGTATATGAGAAGTTGTTCATAGTTCAAGGTAGTTCATTGTATTTCTCTTGTACTTCACTCGTACTCCCTTGTAATTCCTTGTACTTCACTCGTACTCCCTTGTACTTCACTCGTACTTCCCTGTACTTCACTCCTACTTCCCTGTACTTCACTCGTACTTCCTTGTACTTCCATGTACTTCCATCGTACTTCAAATTTTTTTTGAAGTAGATGAAGTCGCGCTTTTCCCCCTTGGGTCAAAAACTTATGACTTTTCTTTTTTAATATTTTTATCTTGTTACTTGTAAAGTTTCAATTAAAATAAAAAAATGATTTTTACAGCAGTACTTTATTTCAAATTAAAAAAGAAATACAAATTACATTGTTCGTGATCTTTTCACTAAAATATACAGAGAAAATAATTTTAAACAGCAAACAAAAGAAATATATACCTGGTAATTTTGATGATGCACTTGGTACAGATATAACACTAGATCTAGTTGTTTGCATTTCTATTGTTTTACCTTAAAAATGAGAATAGTTAAATTAAGCTTTGATATCAGGTTATCTATTGAATCAGTGAGAGAAGTAGAGTTCGAAAAATTCTTAATCCGATATTTGCTAATATATGCTTGAATTATTTTATTGAAATTTCTGTGATAAAAATAAAAAATACGTTATTTTCTATAACAATAAGTGACGAAAGCAAGTACAAAAGATGAATATCTTCCTAGTTTTCTATCTACCGAGAAATACGATTTAAAATTTGAAAGTGAAATCTTTCTCTATAAAAGCGGAACCAATCGCATTTTCTAATCAACTAGAGATAAACTGAAGTTTCGTACGTGTAACGAATTTTGATAGAAGAATAGTTAGTGTGAATGGAATTACACTATGTTTAGCTGCTTCATATCAATAATCACATCGTTTACATAAAAAGCACGTTTATATATGCGAGCAAGAGAGAGAGAGAACGTTTATGCCCAAAAATAAGGAAAAGAATATATGAATAGAGGCACAGACAATCATAAAATGAGACAGATACATCGATGCAACAACAGTTGGCTATAAACCTACTAACGATGTACAATTATGAGAGAACGAAGAACAAAGTGTTACGCAACAGATAATGACAGACATAAGTTAAATCATTCTATATGTATACGCAATTTGATAAAGAGGTGAGAATGGATAATGGTATAAGATAAACTTAGCGAGGAGTGTCTCACTACGCATATAGTATAAGATGATATTGTGCATCATACGAACGAAATTACTTAGGCTTCTTTCGGCAATGAAAAATTGATATTTATAACTTATATTCAATATTTATGATAATGTCTAGAATTTAAAGGAATAATTTCCAACATTCCGTAGTGAATGTGATCGTGAGACAAGCAATTTTACAGTCAACAAACTAGATGGCATCTGAGCTCAGTTCACCGAACAAGAAGGGTGCGAAACATGTCGAGCTTCGGTTTTTGGATTTTCGAAATCGCACAGATAATAAAAACTCTTAGTATCAATCGAGTTGACAAAAGTTTACTATTATTACTGAAAACTATTGTTGCATCTACATATACTCTTGCTCTGGATATTATGGAAAAAAGTATTCCTTTATTCAAGTAGTTCTCATTGCAAAATCACTGCGAAATTATAGCGTTTCACCATGCGTTTCGTCTGAATGCGATAAATATCGATATTTAGCATCACCTGTAATAGAGACCTGCATGGCCACGACCTTTTGGTCACAGTCACGGTCAAAACAATTCTCCTCCTGGGTTCGGTTAAAAACATCTTTGGTTCAAATTTTGCGCTTTGAGATGGATATACTAGTAAAAAAAAGTCCATCTAATTTTCCAGCAATATCAAGAAGCTCGACACGTTTGTACGACCCGCATGACCTCTGATATCATTCTTCTTGGAGGATGACTGCTTTATTTAGATTAACTAACGCTTTTTCTATGCTGTGCATTGATGTGTTCAACAAATTCTTCATCCATGAAAAAAGGATTTTATTATCAAAATTATAACAAAAAATATTGAAATGATTTTTACAGAATAATTTTCTAATAATGTTGACCTTTAATACTAAGTTTCTTTAAATACTTTCGAGAAGTTTATTCTTGCCGGTAAGGCTTTTGAAAAACATTTCTAAAGAGTAATATCCTAAAAACTAGCTACAGTTCATAACGTAGTCGTGAGTTTTGGCAAAAACTAACATTTTCTCCAAAATTCTAGATCTTTTAATGATTTCGGTCTTTTCCGTTGCTAGAACTATGAGAGACTTGGCCACAATCACGAAAATTTTCTGGATTCAGTCACGATCACACATAATCAAGACAACATTGGAAGCCTCTAACTTTTACATAAGCTTTGCTTACCATATTCATGGAAATTAAATTCATATCCGTTCATATAAATAAATAATAGATACTTCCTATTCTCATTTGTTCTTGTACAACCAATAAAAACCACTTCATTAGTAATATCCTATAAAGATGTATGTATTAAAAAGAACGATAGGAGCAACCGTTCATTGAAAGATTACGTTTACTGCTAGCGGTAATTGATCATTGGTAAACTCAGTGCCAAGTCTCACTCCATTTTAACGCCAATATAAAAACCAAATTAATAGATCATTAATACTGTGTGAAGCACAGCATTCATACAACTGTGGGCGATATTTTTTAACGGTCTGCAGCATTGTATAGCGACCATTTTTATTACCGAACTATATGTTGAAAATCCATATTTTGTATTTATGGATCATAAAACTAATATATGAGCCTTCAGCACATGAAGATTCAGGGAAAAGGTAATATATCATAGACAATTTAATGCGCCACAAATCAAGACCATACATGTGGCGTCCTGGCTCAATATAGTTTACTAAATTCGACAAGGTTCTCTTAATCACAATTCTAAGATGATTTAAATAAATATCTTTCATAATTTCATCCCTTTTAAGTGATGTACCAATATCAGGCATACCATCAACAGCTGTTTTACCATTTTCTTCATCATTTCTACCTATATCAGAAAAACTAAGTTATTTTTTATATGAATGATTGTTTTTAGCATAAATCTATATCGGGATTATTTTTCTCATCTTAAAATAATAATGAATTTTAGTGTTATAATACGCATTTACCTTTAACATCATGTTCATCTTGACGTGTTTCAACACTTTTTGGTTCAATTTCGTCCCCTAAAATTTAAAAAAAAGGCGGATTTGAGTTGACTTTCGATTAATTGAGAGTAGAATGGGTATACCAAAAAAAAGATGTATTTATTTACTACTTAAAACAATGTATCTTATTAGATATTATCCACTGATGAAGACCAAAGTTCAAAGATATTTTCAATATTTATTTACCGTGCAAGGAAAGCAACAGACTTCGACACTTCGAATTTCCATAAGAGACTTCAAATTGTCAAGAAAATTCAAAAGATTTCAAATGATTTTAAAAGGTCTTATGGGACTTTATAAAATCTCAAGGCATTGCAAAATATGTTAACAACTGTAGCTCAAAGACTGCCTGAAATTTTCAAAAATTTTATAGTTTCGACAGCCGTTATGGCATTCCAGAAAATTTCATGAAACTTCTAAACTTTACGATTGAAGTCTCTGCTTTTTCTCTCGATCTAGATACTCTAAGTCAACTTTAGCTTTTCCCTTTCATGACTCATGTGTTTTCGTGATGTGTGTGAAATCAATTTTTCTGTTCTTACAGTAATTTCGGTAGGCCTGAAATTTTCTAAAACCTTCAAGCAAAAATGAATATGTATCAGTTATGTTTCGCTCTGAGAAAAAAAGATCTCAACTTTTACTCATCGTCGATATATTGATCTGAAATCACAAATAAATTATCATTCTAATCAATGAATTATTATCAATATAATCTTGATGGTTCGTAATTTTTAATTTTTAAATTGTTTTTTTACTTGATCCATCTTCATTACTATCATTTAATGTCCATAAATCTTTTGATCTTTTGTCAAGTCCTTTATCTTTTGGAGCTTTTATTTGATGTATCAGTATCATTTTCTTTGTCTAGCTCATTGTTTCTATTTGCATCTAACACGGAAATTTATCAAATTACTAATGCATTATCATTTTTATTAATTTAATTTGTAGCACCAAGTAATTTTTGCCTACTGTTGAGGGGAGAGGATCGAACTGTCAAAAGAGCTTGCTGGTATTTTATATCAGTGAGATGCTGAACCTTTATTGTCGGTATCAGTACTCTGTAAAAGAAAAACGAGTTTTGTAGAGCTTTTACACGATAGCAGATCCTTTTTGGATTCCATAGGTTTTGCAGAATTTTTTTTTGAGATTCTGGAGCTTTTGCTGAACCTTGAAAAAAATTTCTGCAGAACCTACGGAACCCCAAAAGGATCTGCTATCGAGTAAAAGTTCTGAAAAACTCCTTTTTCTTGTTTTCTTACAGAGTAGTCAACCGTCTAACTTTGAGATTTGTAACCTCTTCGCTGAATATTAAGCCTCATATGACTAATGAAAGTACAATCAACAGTTAGGTGAACTTATATTTGTTGTACGTCTACCCATTCATCGAAAAGTATTTAAGTATGCCTACTTATTGACCAATAATTTGAAATCATATCTATTTCAGTTTATTATTCTTTTTTGTTTGTTTATCAATATTTACAATATAATCCGCAGTCTTTTGTTTTTTGAACTGAAGTTTTTGAAGCCATTTACTCAAATGTTTACGGCGTTCTTAATTTGCTTCCAGTCTCATCACAATCAGCTACTTTATTAATATTTTGTTGGTGAAAATACCAGCCAAACTTCAACAGGATCCGCTTCAAAACCATATTTACCTTTTATAAGTGCATCAAATGATGAGCTGATTGCAACTGGATCCTTTTCAATTTCAAAATCATATTCTAATTCTTGTGCTGTTGATAAATCATTAGTCGATAACCAAGGCAGATGATCGTTATTTATTTTTCTCTTTTTGTAAACGTTCATTTGTGATGCCTGTTTGTCTTTACGATCAAACTCATTTCCTTCACTGTTTTCAGATAAAATAACACTACATGATGTTGTGAGTGGTGTTGATGATGCATTATAATTGTGACGAGGATGTGTTGGTTGTCGATGTGGATATTGATTCATAGGACGTGGAATTTGAATTATTTTCAAATCGTTTACGCCAATTGATGGCTCACTTGGATATTTCATCAGGGTCTGTTGAGATGGAGGCCTATAAAAGAAAGTTTTTAAATTTTTTTTAGTTCTCAAAATGTATTGTTTATATGAAACCTTCACATTCACAGCTATGCTGTTTATTAAATCAATTTTCAATATTGCAGCAGTGGTATGTTTCTATTTAGTATCTTTTACAGATCTTAGTCTTCAAGAAAATTTACCTTATTCATATAGAACTTAATTAACTCTATTTACAATGATAAACACGATATTTATTCAGATATGAAATTATAGATCTTCAAAACTGATTTTTTTTTTAAAATTCCGGTCTCACTCCCAACCTGGTTAAATCTATTTTTGGCATTTTTACGCATCGAAATTCAGCATTTACAAGGCTCCGACCTCTATGATCACAGCTAGTCTCGAAAGATTTTTTAGCACAGTCAAGCCTACATTTTTCTATTTCCAACAAGTGTTGAAGTGTTTCTTTCGAATACATAAAAGTGTGATAACAGAACAGAAGAGTTCACAATAGACATAGGAAAACAATGATAAAACATATTCAAATAAGGAAATACTTAAAACGCTATTGAATCAGATGTATGCATTTAATGATTCCGATATTCAAAATCCTATATAAGCTATCGAAAAATTCCGACGATTGGAAACAGAACCAATATCAGTTAAAGGCTTTTGTCGGAATTTAAAACAAAAGTGTCGATTTGTGTATTCTAATCAGAAATGAATGAGTAGTACAATAGGCGATAAAGAAGTGAACAGGATCAGCTTGAAAAATTATAAATCTCGACGGGACTAACACTGTATTTCAAATTCTTCAATATGTTATCTTTGCTTAAAATGTATATCTTTGTGATTTTTGATCTTGCGTTATCCAAAAAGGAATAGTCCTATTTAGAATCGCCTGTTACCTTTTCTGTTTCGTTTTTTACACACGTTGGCCCTAATTCGAAGCGAAATTGGGATTAAGCTAACATTTATCTGTTGCCGTGGCTCATCCAGATCCTTTTATATTTTGCGAATTTTCATCTTTATTTGAACTTGAATTAGGTTGGTGCTCACAATGAAAAGAAAGCCTCTGGTCGAATAAGAGACACGGCTTCTTCAAGTCTTGATACTTCATCATCAGTAGAATAAGCTTTGATTTTTTCTATTTCATCTTTTCCAAGTTGTCATTTTGATTCAGTTATATTAGTTGAATATAAGTTGAATTCTAAGTATGCTATTTCAGTATTTTTTTTACCTAAAAGCCATGTAAGTCCTACAGTTACATTTTTCGTTTCACAGCAATACCGCAGCCAAGCACAGGGAAATTCGAGGCCATTTTCAGTACGTACTCTGTGCTGTAAAATAAATCTGTGATTTTAACTAATGTACAATAATAAAACTAAATAGTGATATTTCTTGTAAAGCAAGTTAAATTACAAGAGATTTGATTAAGAAAGCACAAATAGATACCGATAGGCAAAAATTTTTAAATCAGAGTTCTTGCTCCACGAAGAAGCAAAGACTACCACCAAGATATTGCTTATGATTAAACTTTTCATTCTCGAATCAAGTGCTTACGAGGGAACTATCCTAACTAATAGCAGATGTTTCGCCTGATATTGAATCCTTAAAGTTTCGAAATATAGTAGATAATACGCAAAAGAAGATGAACATTTTATCATGCACGTGCACGTGACGTTTGAATAGTGTCATTTTCTGTTTCGAAAGTTTCCGGTTTGGAATTCGTTTTGAAGCAACAGATATTTATGCATTTTCGTTTACGACAATAAAATATTCCAACAAATGTATACTTATGTAGCTCTTAAATCTGCTGACACTCAACTGCGAAAACCATTGAACAAATGTCTGAAGTCCACTGGACTTTTATTATCGAAGGGGAGAGAAAAGTGACACAGATTTATTAATGTTGAAAAATGACACTCTAAAGCTTTCCAAAAACAAAAATTAACCAAAGTGGATCTGTTTAAAAAAGGGAAAATGAGGAATAGTCGAAAAAATATGTGAATGAGCAAGATATATCCTAAAAATGTGGGCGTGGTTGTAACCCTTATTCCTATTTACCATCTGATTCTTCGCCACTTTCGAGCATTTGCGACACCGATTTTAAAATAATAACTCGGTTAACTATTTGTTTCCAAAAAAAACGAGCACGATCATCATCAATATGTACGTTGATGCCAGGTTGATTGAAATTTAATAATCATAATGCAACTTTTATTCGTAAACTTTCTTTTGGATCACCAGCAGCAATAAGTAGAGTAGCATCAGTTATATCATCTGCTTCAAATTGCTCATCAGGTATCTCGCGTTCTATGCAATCTTCTAATTCATCAAACAAGTACTCTAAAACCTTAACTAATGTGTTTGTTAATAGCAAAGAGTCTTCATCAAATGGATAAGAATAATGATTTAGAAAGCACATTGATTTACCACATAACTTGAAATCCAATAAAAAACACAAGCAAGGACCCAAATAATCTGTTCGTATTGTCTTCCTGCTTATGCCGGATTCATTCATTTTAACTTTAATATTTTCATTTTCTGACATCCTAAGAAAAAATAAAAGAAAAAATAAAAGAAAAACATTTTCTTTTAAAAAGATTCTAATATATTTCTTTCTTGTCTGTGTGATTTCAAAGTTACTTATTGGTTCAAAAGAAATACTGAGCTGTACATAATTTCTAAGAATTTTTTTCTTTTTCTTTTAAGGTAGATTTAAAGCCACAAATGTGCCTGAAAAAAAAGGTTCTCAGAAAAGATGTCACAACCCAATAGAATTAAAATCCGAATGCTCTTAGATAAAAAGGAAAATTTAGCCATCCCACCTGTACGGTCATATGTGGATTTTGTACGAATATCTTATATGGTAGGTAAAAAACTTTAAAACATTTTATCTTTTGAAAATATGATGAATATTTACTAAAACTACAAGCTTGAAAGGTTAAAGTTTCAACTTTCTAGTTTATACAATTTAATTTTTTTCAATCTTGAAAAAGAAACGAAAGTTCCCGAGAAAAAATTAGAAAATGTATTTATTACCTGTTTCACTATAGACTTTGGAAAACACCTGGAATTAATCGACCAAGACGTAGTATATCTAGAAAAAAAATGAAAATTTCCCACATGAAATAAAAACATATTATCACGTTGAATTTAAAAGATTAAATGCTTGAGCAAAATAAACAGCACCACAAATATTCTAACGTTTCTACAAAACAATAAATATTGAATAATCCTGACATATGTAGAACGATTTATATTTTTCACTATCGAAAATAAATAAAATAAATTGAAGAATGAAAATAAATAAACATGAACAATAGGTCAATAGAAATGCCCCACATTTAGGCCGTGTACACACTAGAGAAACAATACAGTATTATCTTCGTTTTAAATCGGCATCCATCCGTCCACAATGTAAGAGTTAATTCACTAATCAGAATTCCGTTTAACCTCTATATTTTAGTGAAAATAGGACTGGCTACTAGCGCAAATAGAAATCATTTTATTGAGTGATGATTCATACAGAAAAGCCAAGGCATTCATCTTTAGGAGTGACAATGTTGTTGATTACCAAAAAAGATACTGTTGATTATCACATTTTTATAGCATTCATTTCGCATAATTCATTTCTTAACAAAGAGCGCAGATACAAAAATATTGTCTTCATCAATGCACTCACGAACACCTACATTCACCGACACCCTCCATTAAGTTAGGCATATAAACCAAACAAAAACTTAAATATAATACTTGATTGTAGAAACTTCGGTGAGAATTGGTTCAACAATTATTGATATTTTTCTGTTGATCTATCGCAGATGTCAAATGTTTTATTTTGTTCTCACACACAGTTGAACACTGAGATTTTGGTGATTCCCATTTTCACTACAGAAAAGGATCAAGAAAAAAGTCTATACTCTAATCAATAGGCATTAAATGCACTTGTCTTTCCGTATCATTTCATTTCATCAACAGTTTTTTAAACCATCTGAGAACGTTATAAAGAGTCTCTTTTTATCAGGCAAACAATTCAAAAAAATAAATCACAATTGGTAAAAAGTCGAAAACTTTTGCTGGCACAATCTTATGCACTATTAAGTTATTTTCTAACTGTTGTCATTGGCATCATTTTTTCTGATATTTTATAATTATTTTTCCGTTATCAAGTAAAGAAAAATAACTCGACTTTTTCAGCAGTAGACAAAAAATCGATCGGTGAGATAAATGCTCGTTCAAGCGGAAAAGTGTCGTTCAGGTCAAAAATGAATATTTTTCCGTTCTGTCTATAACAGAAGACAAACTATAGAAGTGCAAGTCATCGCGTGTGTACTAAATTTATGTCGACCACTTTTGTCGTCACTGTTCAGAAAAGATATCCGTACACATACAACATATTCCATGCTATACAGAAATTCACAAACACCAAATTTCATTAATTTTCATTTTCATTCTTCACATTCCATCTTTCCCAACGACTTATTGAAAACAACCTTATTACCATGTCTTTCACATTCGCCACGCATCACCACAAAACTAACAAAGCTTTCACTTATATCGTAAATCATTTTCGGGATCCCATCTTCATGCAAATTTACTGATCATTGTTTTCACCAAAGTCAACCATAATCTAACGGACTGCAAAATTTTCCAACATCATTAGTATCGTGCAAACTCATTTTTCTCTTATCGCGAATACATGTACGCTCATTTCCATTACATACGAACCCATTTTATTTCTACAAGAAAAGGTGTGGGTGTGGGTGTTTGGATGTTCCTTTCCTTCGGCCACAACCAGATCCACATCAACCCACCCACCCACATCCTAAATATTCGACGATATATATAGAAATATAACTCAATCGGATTGGTAAATATTTCCGAATCATTGGACGTTATAAGACTTTCAAGTGTGCATGCTGTAATATGTTCGACATCATTTGAAAAATTGCTGTTATGTTCAGTACTTTTTGATTCATCATATTATTGGAATAATCACGTAACCGATTGAAGAAAATCAATCCCATCGCTTTCTTGACTATAAATGGGTTCTATTGTCTTCGCTAACTCTGATAATTTCTATTCGTTCATCTAGAAAATTATAATACAATTTCTTTATGAAAATCTAAAATGAAATAAAGCATACTTTATTGTAGCGTTCCAATGATTTGCTGATTAATTTACAACAAATCATGACATAGGGTGTGGGTGTACGTGTGGTATTAATGCTCTATTCACTCGCACCCACACCCACATCCTGCTATTCACAGAGACAAACATGTTCATAGAGAGTTTTGTATTTGACATCGACCAAGAAATTACATCTAAAAGTAATCTTATTTACAATACTACGGGAAAAAAGATTAATTGCTTATGCAAAACTACACTTTTTTTCTTTCGTGGAAGGAGTAGATCGCCAAGGAGTTTCTGATAATGAAAAAAAAACGTTGAAGTCAACTTGCGCATTCGAAAGCTGCTGTGAGATAACTGCAGACAGTACCTTTATGCATCAAACCAAACACAAGACGAATGATTATTTTTTCGCTGAGACAAAATATAGATTATCGTTCTTGCAAAAAAGACTGAATTGATAACATATTATTTAGGCGTTGAGCTTCAATTTGTTGTTTTTCAAGGGATTTTTCTTTGAAATTTTGCATTTCTGTCCAATCCAATCCTGTCGTTAATTTCAATTTATGAATTCAAAGACAAAAAATCAATATCAACCGAATCTTTACTTACCGAAATTCGGTGAACATTGAAAAGGATCAGAGAAAACAACCATTGAATTGCATGAATATCATCATAGGATGTGACTTTGACTGTGGATTAATTGAGCACGATGAATAATTTTTAATGTTATTTATGATACTTTTTTTCTTATTGATATTCTTGTTAATTTTCGAACTGATATTTTTAAATTATTTATATCGTTCTTTTCTTTTTAATAGATTAAAATTTATTTATTCTTGTTTTTTTTAATATGTTCTACGAAATGATTTTATTGATGAAATAACTCTTGAACCATATTCAATAGCTACCAATGAATTATTTTAAAACTTGGTTTAATATTGATTTACTTAGTGCACTTCCAGTTTATTCTATTTTTTATTTTTTTTTGTTTCGGGAGAAAATTCTGGTATTTATTCAACAGTACGTACAAGTCGAGCTATGAAAGTTCTTCGACTAGTTAAATTACTTTCATTATTAGTATTATTTCGATTATCGTAAGGGAATGAAAAATCTTATTCTAGAAAACATTTATCTTGTCATTTAAAATTTTTGCTTTTAAACACCTATGGTAGTATGAACTTGGCGAAACGAGAATAAACTAATAAAAACCCGCGCGAAAGCGCTGTTTTAGCCATATTTTAACACGTTTTTTTTAAAGATCTTGCCTACCTTGGTATAATCGGCCGTTCTCGATTATCGGGTTTTATCTATGTTCAAATTTTTGTGTTTACATAAGTCATGGGTAGTTTTACATTATCATGTCTCAGAGCAAATCATTCAAAGACCACATAGGCAAAGTGGCATATGAGTACTTTACGTATCAATTTGAAAAGCAAAGAAATCTCTATAATTTTGTGTATTGCAGATGTATTTTTGATTAACAAATATGAAACTGTAAATACTCTTTAAGGCAGCATTATGAAAATTTTGTGGAACACCTGTTCAAACTTTGATAAGTCACATCATAACTCGATTATGAAGGGAAATGATATAGAATATACAAATAGACTTTGTGTGCGATTGAGCAGTATCCGTATCATTGGACTAAGCTCTGACTTGATTCTACAAGATTTAGATTCTTCAATAGTAGGACATGCTTAAAAAAAGCGAAATCCATAATGTTGTTTACTTCAGTTTTCTTCCATGGTACGTAACAGAAATCGATAGTGGATATATATATACCAGGGCTCCGAATGGGATGGGATGGGACGAAAAAATCATCCCATGGAACCAATTGGTTTATCCCATCTCACCCCATGGGATTCCTAAAAAAATTTCTTCATCCCATTCCATGGGACAAGTGGTCTAGTAAAAAGATTTTTTAAAGCCTTGAATCGATTATCATTACTGTCATTTTGAATCCTGTTATTTTCGCTCTAACTGTTCCCCTATTGTCAGTTTATTTGATATTTTATTTTTTCTACTAATTACACAGATCCCACTGGTTTCTTGGGAAACGATATTGCGGATCTTGATGAACTCCACTGGATAAGATAGTTGATTCATCGAAATTAGTTAAGATAGATTTCAATTTAGTAGCGCCCGCTAGAGCCCAGAATCGATGTTTTTTTATTAGACTATTGCAGTCCCATGTCTCGAAACATTAACAAGTGAAAACGGTTCTTCTTTCATGCATTTTATGCTTCGAATCTCAGATTCTGATGATTTTCGTTAGGTTTCTCAGATAGTTAAGGGTTACTGAAGATCATCTTACATTGTTGCTCTATCCGATGGATTTATTTTGATGTTTTTGTGCTTCGGTGAGGAGTAAAATGTTTGGAATCCAACGTACTCCATCAAGATTTACTATCTACCAATTAGTTTTCTCTAGACCACGACTTACAAAAAGCTGTGCTAAAAATTGATTTGAAGCAAAAATTAATTATGACTACGTATTTTTATTCATATACCATAATGAATAGTTCTGAAAAGAATATTAAAAAGTATAAAATAATATAAAACTCATGAAACTCCACAAAAGCTGCTTCTATTTTCATTACTTAATACAGCAATAAAAAGATTTTTGTTATGCAGGAGAGAATTTTACTTTACTTAAAAAGAAATAAATAATAAATGGAATCCTCTACTTTTTCAGATTTTTTAAAAACGGTCACCATCAGCATAATTTATATATTAATACAACCCTAAAGCATTAACTCACCGTAAACTAAGTTTCTTATTTATGTGTGATGCTAATAATAACCCTTTTGAAACAATCTGAAAAGATTGATTATACCATTTATTAATATTTTTTTATAAATAAAATGAAATCCTCTATGCGAAAAAGCAATCGTTTTATTTTGATATTATCAAACGAATAACCTCACGCTATAGGGTAATTCATCATTTAAATCTCTGTAAAAAAGATTTAAAATTTTTCCATAAATAAGAGTACAAGAAAGTCAAGAGCAAACCCACTTGTGTTAAAAGAAAAGACCAACAATAACGACATAATAAAGCCTATCTTCCGCTATTTCTATACAGTACCTCGAACCAGATTGCAACAGAAAATAATGCGTACTTTTTAGTGGAAAAATAGACGAAGTCGCTCTCTATAAACCTATATATATATATTCTGTTTTTCGGTCAAAATCGGCATCTAATTCATAATCATCTTTGAACAACCATTACAATATCTCAATATAAAAAATCTAGTCAGCTGTATGATGTAATAGCACACGATTATATTGATTATTTACATTATTCCTATAAATCTGAGTCATTTCTTCTCTATATTACAGCTCTTGAGCAACAGTCTAAACAAAACGCACGTTCACTTATAAGCTATTTTGTATTTCTTCCTAAGTAATTCTTGAAAAATAACAATATATTGTTCAGGCATCAATATCAACAATTCACTATTGGATACAGGTATTTGACAATTTATAAAGTTAAACAATAACTTCTCACTCCAACTTGGAGTTCCACTGCTAAATGTAGCCAAAGATGCAGGTGATGCTGCAGCACAGGAGTATGCTGTAAATCAGATGGATAAATATCAAGTAAACATTTGGAAAAAGTACTCACCAGCAGTTGGACCACTTGTTGTCGTAGTTGTTCTTGCTATAAAGAATGTGAAGAACAAATGTAAGCTATTTACATAAACATAATTTTAATTTCTTTCTAATAACAATTTAGAAGAGCTATTCACTTATGGACAAAGATAAATTGAAAGACTTTCTAATCGGAGAATAACTCACTTGTACTTGAGCTTGTCGATGTCACTGTTGAAGTTGTCGTTGTCGAAGTTATTGAAGTAGTTGATGTTGTTGTTACCGAAGTATTAACCGTTGAGCCTATTAGAAGTTGGAATTCTTGCATCAAAAAATGTCAAATAAGAAAAAAGATACTCACTTAATGTTGTAACAAGTACAATTGCCATAACATCACCTAGAATAAGAGTCGTAGCAATACAAATGGTAATCCATAAACCCATTCTACGGCAAGACCAAAGTCTAAATAACGATATGTTGTTAGTAGAAAAATCTTTCAGATACAGTATATTGATTGAGTAGAAAAAAAAATATAAAATTCAATTTGTTGTCACCGATACAGTAACATGGTGAATATTGTGTATCTTTTCGAAAGAGGTTAAAGAAATAGATTTCTTCGAAATTCTGATTGTTATATTTATATGAAGTTTTACATTATGATTACCTATTCGGCTGTTTATCGTCGTCTGCGTTTTGCCCAACATTCATAGGTGATGACGTCTGTTCTGGCCATACGGTCCTTTTCTGCCAGAATATATTTCTCGTTGATAACTATAATCAGCAAAATAAAATTGCATAAAACAACAGTTAATTTCCTATTATCTATTTCAGTAAACATATGGATTTACCGCAGAAGTAACATCAGTTCGACCACTTTCATTCTATAATATAAAACAAAACAAAAAATTGTTTCAAGGCTATCAAATCAAAATGACTCATCAAACCGATAAATCTTGACCATCAAAAGTGGCAATGCTAAAGTCATGCATTGCTTGATTACGACTTATATGACGTCGAATATGAACTAATTAAGGTCCAGATGAAAGTTGTGCTGTCTCCATCTTGCGATTTACTTTTTCGATTATTGACTTCAAATGAATAGATTTAATTTCTCCTCATAGATCCTATACGAACTGAATCGTGTAATGTAATCACTTTTTTGTTTTCATTCATTGATTATAGTGATACGAAAAGAGTTCAAAAATGAAAAAAATATTCTTCAATTTTTCATGAAATCAATGGTTTTTAACTGTCATTATAAATTGACTCGCATGCTTGTCTCTCTTGTTTTATGAATTCGTATAAAGCTTACCAAAAGACAAACTTTGAATAAGAAACACAATATATGCTTGATTCTTATATGTTTTTTAAATAGTAAGGAGAAAATTTTCTAGTAATCATTATATTCTATTTAACAACGGAGTAGCAGCTAGCTAATACACAAATTAATTATCTTAAATATTTTTTACATCGATTCATTTATTTCTTCCTACAAGCGTGCATGATATTGGTTGATTGACAAGAAATTATACTTAACTTCTTTTTGTTTCAAATAAAAATGCATCTTTTATTTTATTGGTTATCTCGATATGTTTATCTTTTTTTTTTGTAGAATTGATTTAGAACTGTCTAAATCATAAGCATTGATAATTAACACCTACACTCAAATTTCATATTGTAAATTATGCTGTTTAATGAAAGTAAAACAGTGAACATTTGATAGAATTGTTTACTTAGAAAAAGCGAATTGTATTTCTGAGCGTTAAACACATTTTCAGAACAAAACAACTAATGCAATTCGTCAGATATTCAAATGAATCATGACAAATATTTTTTTGCACTTGCGTATGTAGTTTTCGTAGGATTTCATCGGAACACAAGAAAATAAATTTCAATGCTTTATGTATGTATAAAATTATTTTATCGCAACAACAACAACAAGTTAATGCAAGATGGATTTATCCATTATAAAATGCCGTGCTTTAAAAAAATATATTTCGAGGATGAAAATAATTGTTTAAAATAATAAATATTCAATCATTTGTTAAAATTTATGTAGCTACTTATAATTCTGTGATGTAGAAGTTTTCTATCTTGTCTATTGAACACGTACGACGAGAAAAAGATTGCACGAATAAGAGTAGAACTATAGAAATAAACATTCGATTCGGATCAAAATAATCATTTGAAAAAGGCTTAAAAATGAGAAACAATAAAAATTCTTTATTTTTATCGAATCAAGAAACTATGTCCTATTTATCTGTTTACCAATGGGTTATTAAAATAGATTTGGATTAAATTGAAGCAAACTTTGCATAGAAAAGAAAATGATTTTTTGAACCCATCACGTTGAAAAATGCAAAAATCATGCACAAGTACTTTTATATCGATACACGTTTTGAATGTTCCAACATCAAACTGGTTTGACTGATATATTTTTCAGTCAAATTTCTTATAAGCCAGTTTTCTATTATCGCTGCAAAACATAGGTTATCACTGTTTAAACTCAAGCATTTTTTCATAACTATCTATATCTTGTCTATACAAGCCAATATATTGGCTTGTTTTAATTATTCAACGATATCAATCCCTTTTTACTTGGTAACAAAACTCCAGTTTTCTATGCTTTTTCCAATCTTGTAAAACTTTTGTTTTAATTCAACGATTCTTGAAACAAATCCGCAGATCACCTTCAATTTTAGCGTAAGATTTACGAAACTTGACATAAGTATGAAACCAATAGAATTAGTGAAAATCGTATCATCATGTCTAGTGCGTGCATGCATACAATTTGTTTTCATTTCTCCATATGGATTCGTGTATAGTGTATGTAACTACACACGTTGTGATATATCAAACATGGCTAGTGAAATTCTTTCTTTCTCTATTTTATTCTTTTGTTCGTCATATATTTATCTAACTGATTGGACTTACGCGTCCATTTATTATCAAAATGGATCTTAATCATCGCTTGAATGAAGTTGAACAATCATCAACTGTTTATATTAATCAAGCTGAAAAATTTCATGCCGAAGCAACTCAAGTAAAACAGTCTAGATTTATAAATAGAAAAATTAGAACACTTTACTTTCAAAAATTTTCATTTTAGTTAACATCTCTTTTAGAAAAATCGTTTCTTGAAGCAGAACAATTTATCAATAGTCGTATGCAAAAATTATCAGCACAACAGACTGAAACAAGTCACCAAGTAGATAATGAACAAGCACGTTTATTAGCTATGCGTTCAAAACTTGATACAACATTAACGAAATTAACACAATGCCATCAAGAAGCCATACGCTTACAATCAAATACTGATTCTCGTTTTCGTTTAATGCTGAATACAGCGAAAGGTCGTTTAGAACAAGTCGAAAGGCTTAAAGCAAAAATGATTCGTTATGAAAATTCACTTGAAATATCATCACCAATATGTGAAGATACAAATATGATTTTAAATAAAACTGAAAATTCAACAACAAGAAAATTTGAAGTAAAATATAACGAAACTTAGCTCGGCATTGTATTGTTTATTTTTAGGGTGAATTAAAACGTGTAACTGAACAATTAAAAAAAGTTATTGACTTAGGTACTGAAGCTCGAAATGAAACGCAAATATTACACGGACAATACGATACCGATGTAAATCGTCAAATGGCTGTATTAATGCGTCATGATAAAACTGAACGTGAACAAATGAGTACATTAATCGAACATAAACAAAGTTTAAGACGTGAAATTGATTGGATATATGAACAGAAGAGAATGATTGATGATTTTATATCTAGAATGGCTCCAACACTTGATAAATGTTTATGCGAAGGTCCACCGATAAGTCATTCGAATCAAGCAGTCCGATAAATCTTTTTATTGTCATATGTTTTATATAAATAAAAATAAAAATAAAATCATTGAAAGTTTTGAAAAGTTTATTTCGAAACGATAAAATCGATTTTAAATCACAATATTCCTGTTTGTTTTTGTTCATTGAACTAAAAAAAATCATAGATTGTAAAATTTTTGATTTAAAACAAATAGATAAACAATTTGGGTTTAACCCATATACAAAACAAAATAAACCTGAAGATCAACATCTAGATGATCCTCATCGATTCGTAACTTCAACAATCGATGAAAATCTAGTAAATGTGATTTTTTCGGTTAATTTTACGATTATAATCTAATAGAATCTGCTGTGCTTTGAAATCGATCATAATTATTCGACTAAGAATCGTCTGAAACTAGCTAATACTGATTATATAATTTACCCCAATCTATACCGTTCTTTATTGTCGGAAGATGTAGATTTGCTTTATCGTTGTGTATATGGGTACCCATATCGCACAGTTTTTGTCACTACCGCCGGTATATCGCGGTACTCATAATAACCCAGGTCGAACAGTCCGGCCTGGAAACGGCCGGTTTCGGTTAGTTCCGTTTATTTTGTGGAAGCAGTATTCCGGTTGGAAGATTTTCAGATTTTTTCCGGTGATTTCCGGTCAATTACTGCCGGAAAGCACCGGAACTTGGCAGGCATCCACCGGAAAAGTCTGATCGTATTTTTGAACGGAATGCTGCTTCCATGTTCCAGCGATTTCCCGTGTTTTCCTGCAGGATGTAGCGTCTTTCCCGCATATTTCCTGGGGTATCCTACGGGATCTGGTGACCGGAATATTCGACCTGGGAACCGGCGGTAGTGCTTATAAGCTCCGGTCCGAGCAAAAAAGGCTTCCAGAAATCGTTTTTTGTCAAATCCCGATTTATTTCGGAAAAATAATTCGAATTAATCGAAAATTTTAATAAAATATTTATCTCATAAATGGAACTAATTTGAGATCTGTAGCTACTACAGGCGGTTCAGGCATATCGACATTATCGGAATGCACCGAATTGAACACGATTCTGTCGGTTTTAACAGATTTTAAAAATAATCAGTCGCTTCTATACTATACAAAAGGATGCATCACTTTCATAAAAAAAAACTGGCGGTATACCGACGGTAGACCGCACATTTTACCGACGGTTTTTTTCCGGTTTGAATCACATGTGGGTCGACAAATTAAGACATGTTATGAGAGCAGTAGAATCAAGATGAAGAGAAATAAATAATAAATTATTCTGTGAAATGGAGAAGTGTCTTGATGATCAAATCCAAGGCTGATTATTACAGAAAAAAAAAATTTAGGCTAATGATTATCTTTCATAGCTATAGTCTTTTACAAAAAGAACGAGAAAAAGACTTTAATTAATCTTCTATACAAAAAAATGCACCTGTCTTCATAATTAAAAGCCACGACCAATCAGTAACTAAACTTATTAGGCAAGGTTTGTTTCATTGCTTTTCATAATCAAACTGAAACTTGTAATTTAATGTAGAAAGAAGTTTTATCTAAATGTTAGAAAATGAAATTAGAAAGAGTTTTTATTGATACGTTTAAACCAACATTCAATCCCAACATGCAAGAAAAAATAACTGAAATAAAAAGTCCTTTTTCTTTCTCAAAGCCATCATTAACTAAAATAATATGAATAGTTCATCAGAGAAGAATAGAGGAATAAATGGATAAGTCATTAATAGCCATGCTCTCTATGCTCGATTTGAGTATATTGATTTTTGCATTCTAATCCATAAGTGTTTTGTTAAATGACCTGCGAAGAAACGTGTATTAGTACCACAATGAGTACTCGTCAAAATAATCACAAAGTATGCATACAAACAAACAAAATTCCTCCAATACTCCTCCATGAATTTGAATACTCATCTGGCAAGTCGTACTCGCTGGAGAAGTATTACATTGCAATGTCAAAAAAACTGTGGGGCCCATCCTTTGAAGTTTCCTACAAATACGAAGTAATCAGAAAGTCGCCCGATCTTAATTATTTTCTTCATGGACTTATTCGTGGTTCAGTTTGCAATCGAACTTGAATATCACATTACTGTTTATAAGCTATCTATTTTTCTATACGAAGACAATGCTTTAGGCAATAGAAAACACTTCACTTATAGACCAATCTAAGTTTCTTCACTGAAGTTTTAGAACCTCTAACATATTGTTGAGAGAAACATAGTATCTGTTTAATTACAAGTTTTCTATATATGCAATTGAAATATTATAATATGATTGGGTTTATTATAGCTTTTGCAATGTATATTAGTTGAAAATATTTGTCATCGCAAATTGCTGACTTCCATTCGTATTATATAATGAAGGTTCCATACCCAGATCTCCATTCTTCATGTATTTATCTGTGCTCCACTTTTATGTTCACCCTGTTCTTAGTTTAAAACAATATGATATTTCTTCATTTCTATTTTAATATAGGTAACACATACAAACATACGGGTTAGTAGTAGGCATAGAAGTATAAGTCTATATATAACAGTAACACATACACAAAGGCTCATAAACATATGTGTAGGGGGCTAGACATATCTATTTAGAAGTTAGATATTGAGGGTACGAGAAAAGAACTAGCTAAGAACATGCAGCATATGCATACGGGACTAGCGATAGATATAAGGGGGTTAGGAATAAGTACACTGAAAAAAAGTACGATGTGGAACCTAAAGCGTTCCGTTGTACTTAATGATGCTTTAAAAACATTGGTGATAAACTTTTTCCAGCATTGAAAATTGCAAAGGTTTCCTAATTCTGAAGATTATAGAAAAGAAATGTTGTATTTCAATTTCTAATCTCAATAAAAACTAACTGCATGCATTCTATGTTGACTATCTGAAGTACATTTGCTTAAGCGAGGTCATTAAATAAAGGTATAGCAATAACTTTGGGATTAGATTGAGACTGAAATAGTGAATTATGAGATATATCAGCACAAGGGGATTCCTTTAGAGATCATATCATATTAAGGTTGAGGAAATCAGGTAGGAGGTTAGATTAAGATTAGCGGTGCAAATTAAGTGCTATCTAACGACAATCTGTTTCGTAGAACACCGAAGCTTACTCGGATAACCATTTGGAAATCATTAGTGGCTTGTGAGGTGATCTCCGAACTCTGGCATCACTCCTGCAAATATCTTATTGGTTGTTGAGAGTTTGGAAACGCTTAGATCTCCTAAAATACTGATGTCAAGATTCGTAGTGTTTTGGAATCTTTTTTCTTGGTATTCGAAAAATAATTGGATTTTCAAAAACTTTCGGAGTATTGTCGAAAATTTATACTGCCAAAAACTTTAGTCGAAATCTTATGAGGTATGCGGGAATGTCTTTTCCGTTTTCGAGTATAGTCCGTCTCAAAATATTGCAACAACGAATCAAAATCCGATCTGGAGTTTTTATTGGATACAACGAAAAGCTTCTAGATTTTCTCATTCTTTTACGATTTTCTGGGAAATGAAACAAATCACAGTCCTCAAACCTCTCAAAGAGTTTTTTGTAGTATTCCCATGTTTGTTTTCCATCTTCTTCCTCGCTCAGCTTGAGATGTATTTAGTGAACTAAAACTGTCCATAATGTCAAGTATAATTTATTTGATCAAGAATCATCCCCTCAATGAATCATTTTATCTTCCAAATATGACACCATTTCGATACTATTGAAACAAATTCATGCCATCTATACGTTCTTGAACTGTGCTCGATTTCCAATACAATTCGACATGATCAAGATGCCAAGATAGAATTCAATAATAACAACCTGATTTGTCGCTGTCTTTCGTTTTAAGTTCTTATTGTACCGAGCGCAATGGTGATTTAGGGGATAGAAATAGATAAGGGGATAAATTAGGGGATATATTTATAGATAAGGTGATAAGTTAGGGGATATATGTATAGATAAGGGAATAAGTTAGGAGGTATATAGCAATTGTATGAAGCTATCAGGGATTACATATAAGGGACTGCATGAAATAAAATAAAGGAATAGTGAAAGGCATAAGTTAATTGGCACCAATTCTACAAGCGCAGATCTATCGCATTAGACTCGTGGCAGAGTTTCAACTAAGAAATCATATCGTATGTAAATTAAAGACGGCTTGGTCCTTAGTCATATTTTTACGAAACTCAAAAATCGTGTCGCTTTCGATGAAAATCTCGAAATCGTTTTAAACTTCGGGATGTTAACGTTTTTCGATGTTTAGGCAGTTAGAAATAAATAGTCATGAGGGGGTTTATGGATAGGCGCAGTGGGTTAGGAATAGACATATGGAGTTAGCTAGCGATGTAAAATCAAGACAGATAGGTTTTAGTGGTTAGGCATAGATATAGGTGGTGTGGTTGATTCAAATCGATTCAAATCAAATTTAACCCGTTAACTGTTGTGTTTGAGTGCTTTTCTGATTATGATCGATTGCTTCTGATTATTTGCCCCTTTTTTTATATGCGAACTCAGTCAATAATATTTTAAATACCCTTTGTATCTTAATACTTGTCAAAACAGATTATTTTCTTTTTGCTATCGATATGTCAAATCATTGAGTATACCACAATGTAATCATTTCTGAACTCCTCTCTCTTTCTCTCTCTCAAGAACGTTTGGAATAGTGATGCTTAATTTAATTATTTCTACCATTAATTAGAATTCATAAACTATTCTATAAAGTAAACATATGTAGCCTTCGACAATGTTGAAATATTTGAATTTTCAATGTAAAATTACGTGTGTAGACAAAATCTGGTTTGATCTGCATTATTGAAATTGAACACACGGAAGAGACGTGCGGCTAAATGCGAGATACACTTACAATTTTACTTTTTTTGTTTTGAATGGTTGACAATAAATCATGGATTGAAGCCATAAGATAATGAACGTGCACAAATCAATGAGACACCAGTTAGTTTCGTATGGATTTTTAGAAAGGAATTAGTTAATATTGGGATGCCGAATGCAAAACACAAACGAAACATGACAACAACTAACATATGTATGTGAAAAAAATATTACATAGGATTTCATTTGCTAAAACAAAAAACAAAACATATACGTTTGCATTAATGTAATACCAGCTGACATTCATTGATACATGTTACAAGGATTTGTATAACACAATGTGTCCTTTTCTCTTTGACATATTATTTTTGTGACATTGTCTTTCGATAAATTATTCCTTACTCATTTCTAAACTACATTTTAGTTACAAAAACGGTCTATTTATTTGTATTATTAAATATTTCATATAATAAACTACAAAGATTAAATATTAACATTGGCCAATCATATATATTAATTATGCCTTCTCTTCATCGAGCATCAATATCTGTAACGCCAGCCGTTGAAACAAATGATGCAAAAGAACAAAATGTCGATGCACATCTTCTTCAAGGAATGGGCTATTCACAAGAACTCTATCGTGGTTTTTCTCCGTTAATGTCATTTGCATTTTGTTTTACCGCTGTCAATGTACTCGTATCAATGTCTTTAGGTTTTACTTTTACATTACATACTGGAGGATCAGGCGTAGCTATTTGGTCTTGGTTGATTGGCTCAGTATTTACTATACTTATTGGTCTTTCATTAGCTGAGATTTGTTCAGTTTATCCAAGTGCTGGATCAGTTTATCATTGGTAAAGAAAAAACAAGAAAAATATTCTTGCCACCGTGTAGAAATTAATTGCTTTAATGTATCGGTAATTTTCTTTTATTAGGGCCGGTCAACTTGTATCTGCGCGACACGCTCCTTTGGCATCATACATTTGTGGATGGTTCAATCTTATGGGAAATGTTGCAAGTAATGAGAAAATTAATTTTTTTCTATTAAAGATTTTCTTCATCTAAATTACATAGGTAATACTGCATTTGCATCTGGTTTTTCTAGTATTCTTGATGCAGCACTCGTTCTCGGCGGTAAAACTTCATTAAGTCTTGGCGTTCAAGTAGCTATTAGTATTGGTATTTTATCTATGTGGGCTATTCAAAACACTTTTCGTATTGATCAACAAGGATGGTTGAACAATTTAGCTGCGTTTTTTCAAATAGCATCAACGATAACTATATTTATTGTTTTATTTGCCATGGCTCCACAGCGTGCAAGTGCTCACGATGTTTTTTTATCAACTTATAATGGTACAGGTTTTCCATTTCCTTATGTATGTTGTATTAGTATTCTTTCAACACTCTTCTCATTTTGTGGTTACGAAGGTAGGAAAAAACAAATCGATCGAAAAAAATTCAAGGAGAAACTTTTTTTCTTTGATTTATAGCTGGTGCACATTTAGCGGAAGAAACAAGGGATGCAGGTCGCGCAGGTGTATTTTATACGATAACGTAAAAAGATTTCTCATTACAGAAAATTTCTTTCTATTATAGCACCTAGAGGCATTTTTGGCACGTGCATCTGTAGTGCTATTGTTGGACTTTTGTATTTATTGGCACTACTCTTTTCTATTCCAGATATTGGCGTATTTCTCAACAGCAGTAGTGAAGAAAATGCATCAACTAATTTTATCATAGCTACTTATCAATTAGCTGCACCAGGACGAGGCGCAATAGCACTAACTATTCTTCTTATTTTAAATGTTTATTTTGCTGGAATGTCCTCATTTACAGTGGCTACTCGAATTGGGTAATATAGCTAGTTAAGTTTTAATAGAAAAAAGATGCGCACACGATTGTTTTTGTTCTTCCATAGATTTGCAATGGCTCGCGATGGTGTTTTTCCATTTTCACATTATTTACGTTGGATATATAACGGAACAAAAACACCGTTAGCTAACGTTATATTTATATTTTGTATCGATAGTATGCTTCTTTTACTTCAATTACTATCAACAACAGCTTTTTCTGCTATAATTGCTATTGCTACACTTGGTTATCAAATTTCGTATTTAATACCAATTTTTTTTCGTTTTACATCAGCACGGAAAACATTTCCATTAGGTGAATTTAATTTAGGTCGATTTAGTTTACCTATTGCTTTCATCTCAAGTGTTTGGTTGGCAATAACATCCGTTTTTATGTTCTTTCCAACGGAATATCCCGTAACAAAAGATAATATGAATTATACAATTATTGTTGTTGGCGGTGTTTCATTCATTGCTGCAATGTATTGGATTTTTTCAGCTCGACATTGGTTTGTTGGGCCTAAACGAACGGATCAACATGAAACTCCATTATCACCTGGCCATGTTACAGCGGAGGATAATGTCATAACAGAAATTCCAACGGATATTGCGCTATCAAAACTGCAAACTTCCACTTTTAATACATGAAGAAATTCTTTTTCTTTTTTTTTCTGTTGAGATGAAAATAATCAATAAAATTTAGTGAATTAAACATTTCATATCATGTTCTCAGAAAGTATAAATAAAAGCCGTATGAAACTAGTGTCAGACTAATATTAGAAATTCTTTTCTTGAAGTCAACAAAAGATAAATGTTGTCTTAATCTGTGCTGATTGTGAATGATCGATCGTATTGAAAAAATATTTTAACAAGAGACCACACACATGTCATACTTAATTTTAATTTAATATGTCTAAAAAAGAGAAAAATTTGCGATAAAAATATTTTCCATTTTTCTATTTGATAAATGCAAAGCGTCAAGAAACAAAATATTGAAACTTATTCATCTGCACTACCGATACAAGTTTATAATGAGTCAGCTTCCACGCAAGTTAAGAGTATAGGCCGATTGCCAATATTTACTTTTTTGTTCCATGCTTTCCGTTGAATGTAATATTCTCCAAGGTTTATTTTTCGTTTATATAAAACAATTAAATTGCGAATAAGTACATTTAACACGTATAAATAAGTTTGAACGACAATGTTATACTCGATTTAGATTGCTTTTATTCTTGCTTGCTATACTTTTCTCTTTTCATCAATGACTTTGTCAAAGAGTAAAGTAATCGTTTTCTCCTTTACCGATAAATGGAACTTGCATAAAACAAAATTTGTCTATGCTTGTCAGCGAATCAATTTTCATTCGCTGTGTTGTTATTTTATATTAGTATATTATTACGCATAAGTATGCATACATTTACCATTCGTAACTATGTATAAGAGATCATAAGATGGAGTTTTGTACACCAGAAAAAGAAAATAAAAAAGTTTCATTTAATAGAAATTCGATCACGCCTGTATATGTAATTAATAGGTGATCAGAAATGTTAGATTTGCTTCTAAGCAATATTGATTTGACAAAATGTGCACTAGGTCATTTTTGACATACGAAAATAAATTATGTATGCTTTAAAATCGTAACGAACAAACTAAAGTCAAGCCAATTTTTAATAACCTGTTTTATGATCGATAAAAAGAGAAGAGAAAAAAGTGTTTTGCAAGAGTGTTCTTTTTTCTTTCTGTTCTCTGAAAAGGAATTCTTTTTCTTACGCTATTTTTGTAAATACTTAACTAGTTGTTATCGGATAGGAATCAGAACGAGAAAAGTTTTTGTTGAAGGTCATTTGTGAACTTAGTGCAATAGATGGCAAATATATTTCATTACAAAACATCGTTATTTATACCAATTGCCGAGAAAATTTTGTAAAAATGCTTATTCATCTCCTCATGCAAATAATCAAGTATTTTCTTCATAAATCCGATATAAAATGTAGATAGACGTAATGGAAGCAAAATAAAAATTTTATTTTCTAATCGCTTCACATCGTTATTTTGTCGCTCATCATCGATAAGTAAGAAACAAATAACAGGACAACAATTTGAAGCCATAGCAAAAGAGAAGCTGATGAAATTGAATTTAACAACAAAAAAATAAGCTGACTTAACAAAAACAACTCCTTTTTATACTCTTTCAATATTGATGGAACAGATGTTTTTCTTTTGTCGGATTTATCACATTTTTGCACGCAGCTTCACTTCCACACCTTTCCCTTTACTACGACAATGATTCACGGAGTTTTATATGCAGCATCGATTTTTGTCTTCGAACTTTCATTGAAATTAGTGTCAAGTACAACATATACTTGTTTGTCAAGTGCTTCATGTGGATGTTCAACAAATTCAGCAATACTAACTAAAATTGTCGGCGGTGAACCAGCTTCAAGTCAAACATGGGGTTGGGCTGCGTCACTTCGTTATTCAGCTTCTGGTTCTCATTTTTGTGGAGGATCGATTATATCTGATTCACATATTCTTACCGCAGCTCATTGTACTCAATCATTAAGGTCTGCTTCTTCCGTACGTGTTTATGTCGGATCGATATCTCTATCTTCAACGGTTCAAATAAGAGACGTTTCAAAAATCTATAATCATCCATCGTATTCAACACTAAACTATCTGAATGATATCGCCATACTTAAATTGTCGACACCGTTAAATATTCGTCAAGCTGGCGTTGATCTTGTTTGTTTACCTAATATATCCCAAGCTATACTAGCTAGCGGAGAATATCCAAATGCTGGTATCAATGTAATTTTTTTTTTTATAGATTTTCCTTTTCTTTTTAACGTTAGCAGTGAAATAATTATAATTTACAGCTTGTTGCTATCGGTTGGGGCGTTCAAACAGAAAATAGTCAAACTGCATCTGCAACACTTCGACAAGTCACTGTGCAATCGATTGCATCAACTAATACCTATTGTCGTAATGTGAATTTATATGATTCATCTAAAAGATTTTGTGCAGGCGTAATGCCTACTGGCGGTAAAGGTAATTATTTATAGAGAAAAGTATGCCATTTGTTTTTCTCGGTAAAATATTCTTTCGTCTAGACACTTGTCAAGGTGATAGTGGTGGTCCATTATTAATGTTTACATCTAATAATATTTGGGAACAAGTCGGCATAACCTCAGTTGGATATGGGTGTGCAAGACCCAGCTATCCCGGTATTTATACACGTGTTGCAGCTTATCAATCTTGGATAAATGCAACAATGAATCATGCGCATAGAGAATTTATGATTTCCTATAGAATGTTCATTCTAGTTATTTTATTAATTTTGTTATAAAAAAATTATTCAAAATTGTTTTTCATATTTTGATAGAACAATTTCAACAAAAAAAAGCAAATTCATTTATCTATTTTATCTAATTTACATTTTTATTTCGTGTTTAGCGTCGAATGTAATACGAAATGACAATTAGTTCATTTGTTTTTCGTATTGAATTCGTTCTTAAACAAGAATTCAATATGAAAATTATTTATAAATTCTACTAGAAGAGTTTTCTATAAAGAATAAATAAGCAAAGAAAATAAAGTTGAATCATTGACTTTTGATAAAGAATATTTGCACTTGAATTTAATAAATTTATTAATTCTAAACGCGTAGCATTTGAGATGAATGGGTAATCATTTTCGATAGTTTCTCGTATATAAGTTACGTAACGAGCTATTCGTGTATAAACACCGGCAGTATTTGGATTTGCACAAATGGATCCGTAACTTGTAACACCGGCTAATACCCATATTCCTCTTTTGAATAACATTAATGGTCCACCGCTATCACCTTGACATGTATCTTTTCCACTTTCAAGAACTCCAGCACAAAATTGTACTTTCGTATCATGAATTATATCATAACACGCAAATTCATTTTGGTCAATTGCTCGAATAGTAACTTGCTGAAGTATATCTGTAGCTATACGTGTATAGGGATCTGTAGTACCCCAACCAATTGCAATAAGATTTTCACCTATTGGTGGATATTCAGCTTTTTCCAAGTTGAAATCTGATTTTGAAGGTAAACATAAAAGAGCAACATTTGAATTATTTAAATCAACGGGTCTATCGAGACGTAATATAGCTATATCATTTGTAAATGACCGTTGATCATATTCTGGATGTATATATATATGAGATATATTACGTAATTGACCAATATTCGATTTATTTCTCGTGTCGAAATTTAGTGACAAATGAGACAATGATTTGATATGTTTAACGCAGTGTGCTGCTGTGATAACATGTGATGTTGTTATCAGAGATGCACCACATTGATGTTGATCATTGCGCCTCAATGATGCCATCCATCCCCAAGAATGAGATATAGAAACTGGTTCACCATTAATAATTTTTGATATAACAACGGATGAACGTTTCGAACATCCACATGTTGATTGACGGTCACATGTATAAGCAACTGAAATCGTGACCTCGAATATTGAAAATAGAAATAATAGAAAGAAGGTTATCGTCCAAATAAAAGTCATCATAAACACAATGAACCGCTCAACCGTGCGCGTACTACCGATGTTAATAGTATCTGTTTAAACCTACGGAATCAATGAGAATCACCTTTTTCTCTCTGTCTCTCTCTCTTGCCCCTTTCATCTGTCTTTTGCATTCGAGTGAAACGGTTAAAGTCCCGTTCATTTGACAATGAAGATATGTTCATCAAGGGCTTTTGTATATATATATATATATATCTTCATATACGCATATGCATATATGAATGTAACAATGCACGCAACCTACGCTATGAAGGAGAAGAGAAAAGTTTTTTTTCCTATCTATACAAATGCCCAAATTTTAATACTATAACACAAAGAAAAAGTAGTAACATATGATTATAACATATTGATGATCCTATGGATGAAAATTGGTCTAGTTTTAATGTATTATTTTCAATGCAAATTGTATCATTTGTTAAAAAGCAGGATATCCAATCTATGTAGAATGCAGCACGTGTATATACACCAGGATAATCGACTAGAGCACAACCAATTCCATAACTTGTTATACCAACTAATATCCATTGGCCATTAGAAAAGATCATTAATGGACCACCACTATCACCTTGACATGTATCTAAAATAATGGATACGAATAAAAGTTTCTTTTCTTTTTCTTTTTCTATTTGAATTTGGTGTAGTAGTGTTTAATACCTTTTGTCCCTCCTTGCTCACCAGAACAAAATTGAGTAGACGTATCTTGAATCAGTTTTCGACAAGCCAACGTTTTCGCTGAGATTGTTTTTAATGTTACTTGTTGAAGTGTATTAGATGGATTTTTGTCTCCTGCTAATAGAACACCCCAACCAATTGCAACAACGTTTATACCTATTGGTGGATATTCAGTAGTTTTTATCGATGGTAAACAAATAAGAGCGATCGAACTATCATTCATATCTATGGGTGATGAAAGACTTATAATAGCGATATCATTCACTAGATTTGTTGAATCATAGTCATGATGAATGTAAATTCTTGATACTGTTCTTTGTTGGCGAATAATAAATAAATAATTTGAACCAATATTGATTCTAAGACTTGCCATTGATTTAATTGTTCTGAGACAATGAGCAGCAGTTAACACTAATGTGGAAGATATTAATGAGCCACCGCAGATATGACTATTTCCTATACGTATGGATGCAATCCAACCCCAGGTATCCGTTTTAGCTTGTTCACCACCTACTATTTTACTTAAAACAGCCGAATTCGATGAGCAACCACAAGTTGAATTCGGTAAACAAGAATAAATCAATCCAGTAACAGCTGTAAAAACGAATTGTATAAAAAATAAACGTAAAGCCAAGGTCATTGTCATTCTTATATGTTATTTCTTTATCGTTCTCATCGATAGTTTCTTATTGACGTTAGTGCCACTCGATACACCATATATATATATACATATAAATATGTGATGACGTTTTTTATTTTTGCTTAAATCAAAGTGAAGCATGTGGAACGTGAAAAGGATACGAAATGAAAAGAAACCTGGAAGGCTCGTAGTCGTTAAGCAGTGCACATAGAATATTTTACAGAATAAAATAAAATAAAAATTATTATATATGTCAACATCATAAATAGTTGGTCCGTTATTTTCGAGATAACGTGTGCTCATTATCATCTACTTTATCAAAAAGTAAAATCTATAAATTAACGAATCCCGTGAAGATATTTTTAATGAAATATTTTCATTATCTTGAGAGGAAGAAAACGATTGTAATTTTATATTGTATTATGATCAGAGATTTGATGTACGTCCATGATCTTAAATCTTTTATAATAATAGAATGGGGTTTAATGAATACGATTTACTTTCGATTAAATTGATGAGGAACATGTAAATGAAGATAAAAATAGTTTGCCAGAAAAATCTTTCCGTCGAACAATATAAAACTGGAGAAGTTCATGTTTTTGACACCCGATAAACTTTAATTGGAATTTTATAAACTACAGTTAAAATGAGAACTGAGATCTAACAGATATCTTTTCTCTGGCATGTTGCATTTGCTTTTTGTCATTTTGACAATAACTATTTTTCATATAGATTATGAGAAGTTTCCTTCTTGCCGAACAAAAACTTTTCATCAGAACCACTGGCATGTTTTATGTAGTGGAATTGTTAATCAGTAGACGAGTTCTTTTTTTCCACAGAAAAGAAGAAGAATAAGAAATAATAATAGTTTTCTTGGTTGGAAATTAAAATTTCTTCTTATACACGCTTCATATTCTGCCTTAGCTTAAGATTGAGTTTATTACACAGCAAACATCTTTCATGCTTATAAAATATGTGAACTATTGAATTGAATGCTACGTTTTTTATATCTTACTCTAATGAATATACAATACAAAATCTCGCGGTGAAGCTAGGCAACGGAAATAGTTATTTTCGAAGCAGACTACAGTAAAAACTTACGGCGTCATTTGTCTCCTTCTCTCTCATTTTACATATTTATATAAATAGCTGAATATTTTGCTTTAAATACAGAGAAGATCATTATAATTTTCAGAACACAGTTGAAGAATTACTAGCTACATAAAATATTTTTCAATGAAAACAGAACCTTTAAAAATCTTTATTAATGTCACACAGTTGTCGAGTATGTTTTCATACTATATTAAAGTATTATTGATTTCTATGAATGTTCCCGTGTTTTTTTCTCGTCATTTAGGTGAAGTTTCTAATTTATTTGTCATGTCCAACTACGATTGTTTTATTTATCGATCTATGTCAACTGTATTTATTATCAGTTCAATTATATTTTTTATTTTAAATATTCGTTTTTTACTTATTGATCGTCATCGATTAAATCCATTAGCATTAAATTTAATCATAAATGCACTAATATCCATTTCATTTACTCTACCTTATATAACTATCCAAGCAATCAATTGTCATCCGATTCAAGAATATATTGTCTGTCGTCTGCAAGCTTTTATTTGCTTTACATGTGGTATTTGCGTCATGTATACAATATCTTTATTAGCAGTAGTGCAATACATAAGATTATTCTACAATTCAAGCATATTACACCAAATATTTGAACATAAAAATAATTTTCTTATTCCAATTCTATGCTGGTTGATATCATTAGTATGGTCATTTCCACCATTTATCAACATAAAACCAGGCTTCAAGCGCCAAGGTAAAGGATTTGATTGTGGTATTAATTGGAAAGCAGATGATCTTCGCAGTGGTCTATATATCTCACTGGTTTTTTTATTTATCTATTTTCTACCGTTGTTTTGCTTAATATATACAAATGTTCGAATATTAAAAACAATACGCAAATTAATCTATCTACGAAATTCATTAATACCACAAGCAACCGTAGGCATACCTAGAGACTCGCGTCATCATTTTATTGATGTACTTACTGTGGCTGAAAGTAATCGCCTCAAACGTCTGCGTATCGATCGGAGATTTGCTCAAGCTATCATGATTGCTGTCATACATTATTTATTAGCTTGGACACCATACGCAACGTGTGCAATTATACAAATAGTTACAGCTATGAATTATATTCAATATCAACTGCCACTAATGTTAATAACCGCTTCAGCACTATTAGCAAAACTGGCCGTAATGGGACAATCATGCGTTTATTTTTATACTGTGAGATCATTGAATCGATGAGTGTTGTTTATATGAGTAATTTTAGAATAAATAACTATCAGTCAAATTCCATACTGGAATATCAATCATTGTCTAACATTTATTATGTGGTCATATTAAATTATAGTTAGAAGTCAGATTAAATTTTAAGTTAATGAAGGGTAAATGCTTTTCTAGAATATTCTGATTGATGATACGCATAAACGCTAACTGTGAGCGCGTGTTTAACTTAGTTTTTAATCAAGTTACATTCTTTAATTGCTCTAATTGGCATAAGAGAGGCCTTGACGTTTCTTTGTAATAATAAAGTTCATTAGTACATGTACGAGTCTGGCATTGTTGACTTCGATAGAAAAAAAAACAGTCATTTTCTAATGTTATTCAAAAGTGTATCATTAATTTTGCTAGACTTAGCTCGATTCATTTGATTATTATGGTCTTTTCAATTATTGGCGTTGTCCTAGTATTCTTGTCTAAATCGCTTCGGCTGCAACATATAATAGCAATTAGACTAAGAAAATAACTCTTCACCTTATTTTCCCCTCATTGTGAAAGTGTTTGGTTCAAGGGGGAAAATCCTATAAATTGAAAAGCATTTTTCCTTCTGTGAATGACGTAGTTTCGACCTGAAATTCTTCCCATATATATAGGTTTCATGGTCCATAAAAGAACCTAAAAGTTTCAACTCGAACAAATGTTTCCTTCTTAAAATCTTGAATTTTCAAAAAAAAAACTGGATTTTCTGACCGTGCCGTGAAATGAGTATTTCTTGCGCATTCATTATCTTGAGAAGGAAACATCTGTTTGCGCTGAAAATTTTAGAATATTCTAAGGATCATTAGACTTACATATGGAAAAAAATTCAGATGGAAATTTCATCATTCACGTTTTGGGTTTTGGGGATTTTGACAATCCCAAATCCGTCTCTTCCCCCTTGGTTTGGTTTGATAGAAACAGATTGCTTCCTGATAATTCACTAATGAACTGGTCTTTTCAAAACCTATAGAACGAATCTCAATAAAACAGCAATGAGCTGAAATATTGTATCATAATGAACTAAATCGAATATACAACAATAACAAACACAACACATCTATTTATAGCTTCAGAAAAAATGTTCATCGTTTAAATCATAGTCTAACGTGATAATATTTTTGGCGCCCATTGATGATATCTGATTTTAACAATACATGTATTTCTTTAAGCTAAAAAATGGTTGTCTCTTGATCCACGCGGAGTTTTCAATTTTTTTAAATACTGCCATGAATTTTGTTTTACTCGAATGATCTTCCATTATCATAATCACGAAAGGAAATAAACTGATCAAGGTTGAGTTGATTTCCTTTGTCTAGGGATGTGCAGTGTCGGTTTACTGAGCACTGACTTCACTGTCAGCGATGCCACTGACACACTGATTTCACTGACACCGACTTCACTGAGAACATCGAAAATATTCGGTCAGTGTTCACTGGAGCACTGAAACTCGGTGCACTGACCGTACCGACATCAGTGTTCAGTGGATCACTGGCACACCGACAACTTCTGGTTGACTGAAATTGTAATACAGCTCCTGTGACATTTTTTGAAAGCAAAATTCGCATGTGAAAGAAGCTTACATTAAATGACAGTATTCGCGTATTCGAGTAAAACAAGAGGTAATGCAATCCACTGAAGTTTGTTGTATAATTTTAAAATACAGATTACTCAATATTATGATATCTTTGACAAAGATAGAGGTGCCTATTTCACTATAATGTATTGTAAACTACCATTAAAATTGGCAAAGATGTATACTTTGACGGGTGCAGTGACTCAGTGTTCCACTGAACACCGATATCGGTGAGGTCAGTGCACCGAATTTCAGTGCTTCAGTGAACACTGATTGAATATTTTCGGCCTTTTCAGTGAAGTTGTTGTCAGTGTAGTCAGTGCTCCACTGAGCACACTGTCGGCGATATCAACCCCAGTTTTTCGGTATTTACACCGACGCTGCACATCCCCTATTTGTGCCTATTATTAATCGATGCTGTTACGCATGAGCAGCCGGTGAAGCAGAATTGACCATTGATCTTTCTCACTTTTATTTTATAACATCCTTCCTCTTCTTTTTTTTCTTGTCACATAAAGAAGACGAAAAAAGCGTCTATACCTGCTTACTGTCTTATTATGTAGAAGCTTATATCATCGACGATAGATTGTAGTTATATAATTCGTATTTTACGAGACAGAACACTATGCAATAAAATCAAAAGTGACCACGATGATAGTTTGTTCTCTCTCGTTCTATATCACTGAACAGAGTAACTATTATGATTGACCTTAACCTATGATATTAAAATAGAATATTATGAATGACAGAACAAGTTCGTATATAGTTTTTCATCACTCTAAAGAATTATATATGAAGTTGCCACTTATCTTTAAAACTGCGTGACTTCATTTTGTCTTCAAATAAGATAATTATCATCTCGTATAATAGCTCTTCAACAGTAAATTATTGAAAGCAAAAAAAGAAAATGCTTCAGCAATTTTGAATTATACAGAATTGTCTACTGTACCACTGGTTATAGCTCATTATGGCAGCTTCTTTTAGTAGTTTTGGAAGTAGCTAGTAGCGAACCGATTAACAACGATATAAAAGAGAAGGGCCAATCGTTTTCATATTACTAATGAAATAATAATCAAAAATCGACACGATCATTCAGTCAATATACTTCATATGTCCTTGATTATGTTCTTGCATTAAGGATACATCAAATCTAATTCTATATTTGTATTTGACTGGTGTTGATTAGAGTTGCATTTGTATTTTTTGCATCTCTAGACTGCGTCGAATATTGAAAATGATCTAGATATTGTAGCCATGAGAATTTCTGAAGATTCAGTTGAGTATTAACTGAACAAGAGATGTATATTGAAGTGTCTGGCTTTATTCGCATGTCCTAATTGTACGTTTCTTTTATTTTGTCTCACCTATCTTTTTATACTTGTAAAAGTTTAATAAGTTACTCTGAACTAAAAGTATAGGTAGCATTGTAAAAATCTAGCATCGTGGAATATCTTAGAAATCAATGAGTAACTGAAAGAAAGATTTCACTGGTAAACTTGTTCAATAGCCTATATAGAAAGTTACTAGAACTACAGAATACTCCAAAGGCCATGTTAGCCTTACAAACATTTCTTAAGTTCACTTTACTATTGCTTTTCTTTTGTTTAGTGTCGTGCGTTATCTTGATTCAATTTCATATCGAATTTATCGGTAGGAAACAGCAGGTGTGTGACCTGAAACTCTTTTCTAAGTATTCGCTAGTTGAAAGTATATTACGATGTTCCAAACGATCAAGTCGATCCTAGCAAACCAGGAAAGCACTTCCCTCTGACAGACTTTAAGAAATCGTTCAAATTACTTCTATTCTTTAACAAAGTCTAAAATTTTAACAACGATAGATCATTCACTTTTTTCGGACAAAAAGTTTGTAACTGTATTCACTACGATATCCAATCAAACGGATGACTTTTTAATATTTTTATTTATTGGCGTAATGTTGGTTTTTCAGCATTACATATGTCGTGCGATCGAATCGATCTAGCTTCTGCTAAATGGCTATCAATCTGCTCCGAGAGAGAATAAATAAAAGTTTTCTCTTCAAAATCCATTGTTTCTGTCTCAATTGATTTATCATCCAACTGGAATCTAATTAGTTCATGAACTGTGACACATATTCAAGGTGATAATGTATTTAAATCGGAAGTAACCTGAATACCAAGTGTATTTTACTAAAGTCTAAAAAAATAAGACTTGACTTTATTTTTTTGTTTTTGTCTGTTTATATTTACAAAACCAGTCTTCGTGCTTTGCCCCGATGTCACTGTTTTCATAAAAAAAAGAAACTAAAGCACTCATAATAATAATAAATAAAACAGCAATAGTTTTTCTTTTTCATTGCTAATGGTCAATCATTCAGGCTTGTACGCCGATTATTTGGATCAGCATCTATTGACCATTCATCACCCGATTCTAATCTACGCAAAAGTAAACGTTCATTGGTAGTCGTATCTCCATTCGTCGATTTTTCTTCTACAAAAAAAGCTTAAGTTTATTGAAACAATTTTCATGTTATATTTTATAGCATACTCTGTAGTGCACAGAATTTGAGAATACAATGAAAGACTATACCAGTGAGACATATAACAAGACCAATGATATTTAGAGCATTTAATTGATTATCATTATATTCAACCGCCAAATAGAGCATCACAACTTCCTTTAAATGAAATTGAGAAAATTTTAATAAATATTCTTATTAATAAATAAAAATTCATAGCTCTTGCACCAGAGCTGGGCAAGTCAGAGATTTTCCAAGTCACAAGTCAAGTCAAGTCAGACTTGACTTGACTTGCCCAGTGCTCTGTAGCACTTATCGATTGTTACAGTGCCGCGTGCAGAACAGATAAGAAAGAAAAGAACACTAATTGTTAGAAGGTAAGTGTAATTGGATTCCAATTGTACTTATCTTGCAACAATTGATATTCTTTTCTTTTGTTGTTCTGTGCGCATTATATTTACATAGATAAATAAATTTTCTCTTTTATTGTTTCCTGACCGTGGTGTATTCTCACACAACATTAAAAAAATCACACAATCAAAGATCACAAAATTTTAAATTTTAAAATCTGGAAAATTCATAGAAAACAGTAAATTTGTCCAAAAATAGAAAATTTTTTTTTATTATTATGTCAAGTCAAGACTTGACTTGACTTGGGGCATTTTTGACTTGACTTGCCCAGCTCTGCTTGCACCAACAAAAACGAAAGGTAGCTGGTAGATGGTATCATTTACTAGTTTTTGATATAGTAAAAAGATACACCTATGTGATTCCTTTTTTAGTAGAATATTTACAGGTCGTGAAGGATTACATGTACAGTTAGTTGTTCATAGGTACAATTGATGATTAACAAGTTTTTTTAGATCATCTTTAAAAACCTTTGTTAGTCTTAAAGAACAATCAATTGAAACTCTTAAATGTAGTGCTCGACAATTTGTTTTACCTATTGCTTTTAAGAAGAAAATCTTTAGCTTTTAATCTTCTTCTTTCCAAAATTTATTACAAAAACACGGCTGAACTGTGATCTACTTCTAGAAAAGATTAATCTTAAGATTAATTATATACATCTAAATTATTTAGTGAATTGATCATTTTCCTATCGGTAGCAATAAGCAAAATATAGTGTTGCATGACTTTCTACATAGATTCAATGCCAAGTTGAATCTTCCACAGTAATATTGACAATCTCTCTTCAAAAAAAAACCAACATTTCTTAATAACTAGGAGTCATGATATTAGGTATTAGATTCTTAGCGTTGTCATTATCAAATTGCTCGTTAATAAAAAAAAACAACCTCTCGTGATAGTGACGAAAGGAATTGCTTCGACTTTGTCCTCTCTCGAATTCTAACCTATATGTGCATTTTTCTTATTATGAAAACGAATGCTTACCTTAAAAATGCCCGATACACTTAGTGTAAGTGAAGAGGTATTTGAAACTAATAAATATTCACTGAATTCAAGACTAAATGCTAATAAAGCGCTAGATCCAAACATTCCTACATAGTAACCTGCATTAGCAAATGATTTCTTATTAAATAAATGTAATTCATATAATAGTTGTTGACCTAAGAAAACAACAAAAAAAAAGAAGTTACAAAACATAGAAACGAACAATAAAACCAAAAAAATGATCGTACCTTCTCTGATTCCTGCAAGCGGAATGATTACGGCAAGCATCCACGGTTGAACATAATACATAGCATCGACCGGATTGCTCAAACCTATAACGCAACGAAACAAAGAAAAAAAAATGAGTACGGCTTAGCCGTTACTAATTATTTGTTGATCAAACTAAATCGTCCTCCTTATTGTGTCTTTCGCTTTCTTCGTTTTTTTTTCTTTTGCTTTATTTAATACAATCGAAAGCTAGAGATATGGTGATCAACGTAACAATAAAAAAACGACAGATGGTCGAATGAATGCACGGTTTGACAATCGTAAAGTCACTCCTAGTGCGAGTGCTTCTATTAGCACATGGGCTACTTTGTACATGGCGTGTTATTGATACAAATGACAATCAATATTGTTGGATTATTCTTGTTGGTCTTGGCTTTTTACTTGTAGAAACAGGTATTGTTATTTGGCTTCGAAATGGGCATGAATTTAAAACGTATGTTGTATCAAAATAAAATATTAAAAATAGTGACTGTTCTTGTTTTGTTTTTTGAAACATTTTTAGCGTTGCTGTTTGCATCATATTTTATCTCTCTTGTATAATTCCATCATTGTGGTTAATTCATATTGAAACAGCAAATAGAAAACTATTTCATCTTGCCGAAGACAAACTTAATGCACGAGCTACTCCACCGCCGATTCATTATCGACAACAGCATTCGATTTCTAACAGTACACTATTATCAGATGGTCCATCAGCGCAAATGTCACATTTATTAGCAGCTACTACTCCCGTTATAATATCAATCGGACATGTTGAATGTCATGATAAGGCATGGTACTATATGGACGAACAACGTTGGCTTGATGCACTACAAGAAACAATGTTTATTGTTTTATGTGTAACTCGTTTAGTGATAAGTCGTGAACATATGAGTGTACCAAAAAGTGGTATTGTTCTATTTGTAACTCTAGTAAATAGCATCGATTTATTAGCTATGTCACATTCATTGCAATATCATGATATTATTATTGAACGTATTTGGATGTATGTTGGTCTTGCTCTTCTATCAATTGGTTTATTTCAAATGGCATTTATTGATACAGACGGCTTAGCGCCAATAACAGATCGATCAACATTAGATGATAAAAGAAAATTATCAAAACGAATACATTTTCTTCAAGATCAAACTATATGTCCACTTTTTCGAGTATATATTAATATATACATTTCAAAAGTAACATGTTTATATAATTATTTCTTTTCTTTTCTTGTTGCTAGTCTTTATTTATTCATGATGGCCTTCTGTTGTTGTATCGAACATTACTAGTTGCAAGAATTCGATGTAGTAAACCAACAATTATATTTTTTATGGCGAAAAATGTTTTAGTGATGACTTTGCATTGTTACCGTGTTTATCGAATATCGAAAGATCGCCATAAAAAGAGAAAATTTGCTGCCTATGAAAATCTAATAAATGCAACAACAATGTCACGAAAATATCGCCATCCATTTTATGGATTTGAAAAGGATCGTCCGCGAAAACAACAACAAAACCAGCAACGACTATTGCATCGCACATTACGTCAACCAATGTCGATCAATCATCGACGAATGGCAAAAACTCCCCGAACAGTGCGTACGTTTAGTCTCAATTCAATATCATATCCATTTGCAAGACGTCGAAATGACGGTGGTCGAGCACGTACAGCCTTTGCTCTCTATGGTCTTCCGTTTCAAGCACCAGAAGCTCCTCAGCCGGCAACAATATCTTCGGCTTCAAGTCTTATTGCCAAAGCGTTTGTTCATTAGATAAAAATTAAAATTAAATAAAATTCTCACTTTACCAAGTTCATGTTTTTGTGTTATTAATTGTGTAATTGTCCAACGAAGGCCAGAGATAAAAGAAGCAAACATAATAAGAATAAAACCAAGAGCATCGAACTCTGTATAATGATATGTGAAAAGAAATAAACCCGAAGCTATTAGAGCTACGACACCAATTAATGAATAACGCTAAAAGAATAAAGTTTTTAGTAAGCAAATTTAAACGAGATATAACATTACAAATCGTTCAAGTCCAAATATAATGCCAAAAACAAGAATATAAATGATTACAGTTGATTTACACATAACTATTTATAAAAAAAAAAAGAAAATAGTAGATTGTGAATTTGAAAAAGTGAGATGTTAGTCGTTAAAAACAAGAATCTCATTCATCATATTTTAGAAGTCAAAGTGTTTTTTTTCAATGATAATATTCAAATTACTCGACGAAGCATTTGCGAATATTTAATCGCTATAGGATGAATTCTCTGATCTAACGAGGGTAGGTCACCAAGTGTTCAATCGCTTTTAAGTCAGAACTATGTGTGTCATGTAGACCCCAGTGAGGTATGATAAACTCCAAAAGGATAAGAGCGGATAGGCCTTCTGTCCAGAGTTATAGCCATTTTACTGAAATATTTTAGCCTCTGGCATAGTATATATCAACAAATCGAATGTCAGTATTTTGACCTGAAGTTTTACCCATCGACAGATCTCTTTGTGAATAGAATGCTCTGAAATTTTCTGCTCAAAAGAATGTTTCGTTTCCGAGATATTAAAGTTCCAAAAAGCACTCATATTTCACGACAGACAGACACTAAAATGTTCTGATTTTTGAGACTTTAATATTTCGGAAACGAAACATTCTTTTGAGCTGAAAATTTCAGAGCATTCTATTCACAAAGAGATCTGTCGATGGGTAAAATTTCAGGTCAAAATACTGACATTCGATTTGTTGATATATACTATGCCAGAGGCTAAAATATTTCAGTAAAATGGCTATAACTCTGGACAGAAGGCCTATCCGCTCTTATCCTTTTGGAGTTTATCATACCTCACTGGTGTCTATATGACACACATAGTTCTGACTTAAAAGCGATTGAACACTTGGTCACCTTCCCTCGTAAGCGAAAAGAAAATATATACTTCAATTACTTATGAAGTTCTCATAGAAGCTCACTGACATTTAATTCACTTGATTATATTCTATCTTGTTTTTATTTTCGATAAATATTCTACTCATCCATTTTATTCCAATCAAAATCTCTTATAAGATTCGGTAAGAAAATGAACAAACACAGTAGGAAATTTTTCTACTTACTATAAAGTGAAATAGTTATATATTGCAAAGACCAATTCGATAGACTGATATCCAGGGAAGCTGTGATACCTAGAATATGTTATATATATATATATATATTGATTTTTATTGGATAACTGCAGAAGAACTTTCATGTACCGGTAGGGGCAATTTTTCGCCAGAGAATAGACCATGTTAAATTTACACGATCTCTATCATTATTTTGATGTCGCCCATTTCCTTTTGTGCAACATGATGAATAATTATACTTATATAGAAGCCAACGAATTAATGCAGAAAAAATAAATTTTATTGCCATATGTAATGTTGTTATAGATAGAGGAAATTTATAATCACGAAATAAATGCCTATTAAAAAATGTCAATGATATTGAGCAAAGCCAATAAAGAGAAATATAACTGCAAATTTTGAATAATGCTATCAATGTACTACATAGCGATGATGATTGGGAAGAAGTTGATGATAATAATCTGTATCCATTATGAAAATTCATTGTATTCTTTCGAGCCATAGTATCAAGTTAGAAGTAGAATGAAAAGAAATAAACCATTTCTACACAACAATACAAAATTTAGAATAGAATCAAATATGTAATCTAGAACAAGAAACAGCTGGTCTTGATGGTAATATTTAAAAGATTATTTCCATAGAATCAATAAATGAAGGAGTGACAGGGTGAAGAAGGATTTTGTTACTCTTACAACTGCGTCTGGTTTTTTTAAACTATAAATAAATCTCTTTGGCGTAATAGCACGATTCGCATGCTATGTTAAGAATAGAATCAATATGCTGTTGAATTTTAGAATGTTTCATTGCATATATATAAGCAAAATTTTTCTCCAGTCTCGCTTTTACAAATGAAAAAAAGTGAATTCCTAATTGAAAATAGTTTTAGAATACAATTACTTGTGATCTCAGAGTGAATAATATGTTAATAGATAATCTCTCACGAGAAAAGAAAAAATTAGACATTCACTTATGTTGTTTGTTCGATAATATTATTATACTAACTTTTCTAATCAGGACATTGATCGGAATCCAATGCAACGCATTCCGCGGTAGAATGAATAAATATATTCCATGGGAAAAAAAGAATCTCATCTAAGACTTAGGGATTTGGAATCACTCTAGAAACTTTTGCATTAATTTAAGCATTAATTAAAATAAGTAAAAACTGTTGATGGGTATCTGAAATAAAAAAAAAACGATGAATTTCCTTTCCCCTTAACAGATAATAGAAGAAATACGATGCAACCCATTCTAATGGACGACGTCAAAATTGTAGGGGAAAAACCAACAAGCTTTACGCTGTTTTTATTCATAGGCTAGGAGTAGAACTCGATTCTTGCAAAAAAAACAAAAGGAAAGATATCCATGTACCGTTTTATATCTATCCCAACCAGCAAAGCAAAATCTTTACAGATTTATTTTACTCAAATAAATACATTCAATAAAAATTTCTATTTCTTATTTTGTTTATTTTTCATCATCGTATTATATAAAGAAAAAAAAAAACAAGACACAAACATAATATTATATATATATATAAGCGCAAATAAAGAAATGGGCAAAAAATAAAGAATAGTTAAGATATACATTTCATTTAGTGGCTTCATGTTTAATTAATTATAATCAAGTGTGTTAAGAGAAAAAGTAAAGAATGTCGATATCTAAATAAGAAGAAGCACGTGACAAGCTAAAAACGAAGAGAATATGTAGCACCAGTAGACAAGCATAATAATCAAATACAAGCAACCAAGACCAAAACAAAAACAAAAAAAGAAAAAGAACTGTCGAAAAGATTAAGAAGAAAAAAAAGTAATATTGCATTAAATGGTAATTATTGATTAATGGTGAGAAAGTTTGCACGTGAAAAATAGATCCGACCAATAGAGAATATAAAAGCAATAGGAAATTCGGAATGTACATGTCAACAGAATAAATTCACTTGTTCAATAATTCGACGATACGTACGAGGTGTATAAGGTGGAGTTTGTGATGATGCTAAAAGAATGAGAACAGAAAAGATATACATAGCATTTTACTTTGTGTTTATCAAGCAAAATTCGAAGCTCGATGTGATTAGAAAAAAAAGCACACTGAGAGTTATAAGCATGTTAACCAATCGTGAAAACACAATCTTACTTGGAAATGTAAAAAGGAAAGATTTTTCAGTTTAAATACCTGTAATTTCAATTTTTTAAGAACGAAAAATAAAACAAAAGAAATTTTTTTTTTAATAGATAATTACTTGTTGTAGTTGTATGCGATGATAATATCGTTTTCTTATCATTGGGTGCCATCGGAGAATTTGTTGTTAACATACGTGCGCGTTCTTTCACCGACAATCCTAAGAAAACAAAATAAAGATCGAGTTCAATTAGAATGATTAAATTATAAAATACATACGTTTATACTGTTCATCATGATCGCCATTATTAGATATTGATGGAGAAACAACCGAGGAGTCAGCAGTACTACCAGATCCAACTTCTGATGTAGTAGTAGTATTGTCTATTGATGCATTATGACCTAAAAGCATTTTAAAAAGGTTTATCTACTACAACAAAAGTCTTCGCTTGGCGATAATGTTAAAGAAACATATGGTTGCATTTGATCTTCTCTTATAATAATATTAACGAAACTGCTAGTTGATAAGAGATATTTTACAACTATTTAGGCGTGCCTGAGTGATTACATTCAATTTGTTCATTGAAGAATCATGAGTACTAGAACAAATGTTCCTACTATTAGCTTGATTTTTTTAAAGAGATGATGCTATATTGTAAGATGTCAGCGTGTTTTTACTCTATTGAAGATAATTAGGTGTTAATGGGTTACAGAAAATAGAAATGCATCTTAAACTCTTTCTAAATTCCTGCTCATTCAGAATATTTCATTCTTCTGATTCTGAGATACGGCTATGTTGAAAGTGACTGTTTAAATATTACTCGTTTACATCGGCTCTTCAGATATTCTTATTTCTAGCTAAGATCCAATCAGAAGGCTTGGGATTTGTGAGATAGCTTGAATGATTGATTTTGAATCAAGCATAGCTTTTCAAAACATTTGCCATTTTTTTTTTCGTTACCTTTTTTCTCCGCTTGAAAATGTCTTAATCTAACTGGTGGTGCATCTCCATTTGGATCAAGAACAGGCAGTACTCGGGTGCCAATGGCTACTTTGCCTGTTCGCGCTAATACTGGTGGTACTGATGATATAATAGATTCTGTTGAATTATTGATATCTTTTTGTTCATTAGGATTCGGTGGTATCAATGATGAATATAAACTTGTTGACATAGAAGTTTTCGTTGGAAATGATTCATTGGATAAATCGGAATTGATTATTGGGGATTGATCATTATTTGGCATTATCATTGATTTGGACATGGAATTTATAGGCACAGGACGTGGTAAGACGATTGGAAATTGTTGAAGATTTTTCAGTGGCGTTGTTGCCGTTGACGAAGGAGATGGTTCATCAACGACTGGTTTTGGAGTTTTTAATGCTGATTTAAGAAATTTTGTAACTGACCTAAGAAATAATAAAAAGAAAAGATTAATAAAACTGTACTAAGAAAAAGAAACAAATGAATCCATGCAATAGGCTATTTCGTATTCTTTCCAATCTCACAAAGCCACACGATAAAATTCATGCATTTGTTTTTACAAACTTTTTAAATCTGTTTCGTTTTCTAAGATACATGAAACTTTGTATGTTTTTTTTACGAAGTTTAATAAGTAACAAAAAAACTACATAATAGTTTATCAAAGAATTCTACTTACGTCGATGGTAATTCAGTGATTTGTGGTTCAACAGCCGATATAAAATTCCCTTGAACTTCAATAATTGGTTTGGAAACTATATCTTCAATGCTGTTATCTTCATTTTCGTCTGTTAAAAGACCACCATCAGATGAACTATCATTTGCAGTAACGTTCGCTGGACGTTTTATCGGTCGTTTCACATTTGCACGACGTGGACGTTCTTTTCCTATACGATAATAAGTTTTCATTGATTATAAAGAATAGTCTATGTCATCGAAATCGAAATTTTTCAAGACATTTTAATTTCGATGATATGAGAAGTAGATCTGTTTTTGTCTATTTTTACCTGGATGAGTTAATTTCGTTGTTGGTTCAATATCGAAATCGAGATTATTATTATCTTTGGTTGTGGTTAGACTTCCAGTTCGTGTTTTAATCGGTAATGCAGGCGGTGCATTTCGTTGTTCTTCTTTTTGTTTTTCTTGTTCGACTAGATCAAGTAGATCATGCTCGATCAGATCACCTTCATTTTCAAATGATAATTCTCTATTGATAGTATTTGGTGATGTTTGTACATTGCCATAAATAGGATCAGAAATATTTGAATTTGATTCTTGTTCGTTTGAAATAACTAATAAAGATGTACGCCAAGCAGAAGTAGTTGGTTTTGGTGAAATCGGTACCGGTCCTTTGGTTTGTATAGTTGTTGATAAACGATGCTCTTTATCATTTGATGTACGAGCTGTTGAATGAATTTGTTGCGGTGAAGAGTCTTCAATAAATATAAATTTAAGTTAAAATTCTCAATAGAAAACATGTTTCATTACCTATAATACATTCATTGGAATCAGTTTTTTTCAATGTTCGATGATTTAACGTTTCATCATTTGTTTCTACGGATGTTGGATTATGTTTAGGTGTTAGCCGATTGCTAGTATTGCTATTACGACCCATATTACGATCAAGAGCTAAAAATGTTCATGAGAAAATTATGCTGAGAAAATTAAAAAGAATAACATACTAGATGATGACACAGAATTTTGTCCATTGATTAGTAATGATCCTTGTTGAGGAACATTTGTATGAAGCATAGCAGTTTCCTAAATGATGATATGTAAGATAAGTTGCTAATTTTAAAATTTTTCTATTCATGTTTTGTGCAAAAAAACTTTAATACTACTATCTTAGAACGGATGGAAACTATTGATTATAAATCGTACGTAGTGTCAATCAACAATAGGTCCCCTCGTTATGGATCTAACAATAAAACTATATGCAAAGATACCTGTAGGATTAAAAACGAAGCGACAGATATCGCACAAGTGAAAGAAAATATCTGTCGATTTATGAATCTCTACTTAATGTGACTAGATCACAATATATTTTAATCGCTGTAGCCAGTTCTGTGAGAGGAGTTCGAAGTTCTATACTTTTTCAATTCAAAATCTCTTTGAGATCGCACGTGAGAAGAAGAATATAATCTTTAAGCCTGCATTACGCATTACTTTCTCCCACATAAATTTCATTATCTATGTTCATTGAAAATTTGGCATAACTTAAATAAATGAAATTTTATTTATTTTTCGTTATCTTACCATTTGTTTATGCATTTCTACTGCGACATCATTTATTGTATCATACGCTCGTTTTTGTAAACATGTAGCCACATTAATATAACATTGGCGTGAATATGTTAATAATCTATTTGTTATATCTTTACGTAATAATTGTTCAATATTATCATTTGCATTGGAAAAAAATGCTCGAATTTGTTCTTGAAATTTCTAAATTAATTTAAAAAACGTAAAAAATAAATATTTAATTCTCATTAAAAGTTTTTTACATCATCATAATTAATTGATGTCTGTTCTTTAAATAATTGATAATATTTTCTTGATAGACGTTCGTTTTTTTCAGCGACTTTCTCTTGAAATGTTTTACATATGTGGTCCCACTCGTTTTTTAAATGTTCTTCTTCTTCAATATATGATTCATATAGTTGAGATGAAATCTATAGAAAATATTTACCCAATAAAAGAATTCGAGCATAAAGTAATATTTACTTTGTTGATGTGAGTTGTTCGCGTCAAAATTGAATTTAACTCATTATTAGTGTTGTTATCGTTATTGCTGTTTTGAAGTATTCTATTTGAACATGATGAAATATAATCAAGTGATGCTTGATCACCAACTAATTGTTGCTGATTTTCCCACGATAGATTTATTTCTCGCGATAGATTTGCTGCTGTTGTCAAAAGCGAAGAATCATTCGAATTCAAATTTTCTCTCTGCTGTTGATTTCTCGTACATATTGAATCAAGCTATTCATTACAAAAAAAAGCAGTCATAGAAAAAGACAAAATTTGTTTTTTCTTACTTTATTCATTAATATCTGAATTTTTTCCATTCGATCTTTTTCAGTTATTTTCATTAGAATTATATCAGTTATTGGTATAGGTAAATATTGAATTGTATAATTTCTAAAAATTCGATTCAAAATATTAAGAAAAATTATACTCGATAATTAATGGAAAATTCTATGAGAAAATACGGATGAAGTCTAGATTGAAAAGTCACGGTCTTTCAGGGTTCGAATACCGAAGACAATTGAGTCTCTCGAAAAATTCAAATCTTCTTTTCGGAATTTCAAAAATCTGGACCGAGAATTGTCAAGCGGACAATTTGTATGCTCGCAGTAGATTGATATCTTACCAAAAAATAAACAGCCAAGTATTAGTTCTATGCAGCTGAAAGTTTTGTGTCAATAAACAGAACGATTCTAACAATATTATCAAACAAAATTATCTACTTATTACTGAACACTACTGTATATATGAACAGCGTATGAAATGTCCCCACTGTTTATAAAATTATGTGTTTTGAGGAGCAAAAATATTTCTTTGAACTGATGTGCAAAATACTTCAAAAAAAAATATCATGGGCAAGTGAGATGAATTAGGCAAATATTAAGATCTGTCAGTTCTATAAATTAAAACGATAAATCTTATTAGATTAATCTAGATGTGAGATGATCGATTGTTTTCTTCGAAATCTTCTGTTATTCATATAGAGATATTAAAAGATTCGGAAATCGATTTGTAAAATGATCAGTTAAAAAACGACTCCAACTGTTATATGAAACCTTGAAATTTGAATGCGTCCACCTTCTCATACGACATTGATCTTAGAAAAGAATTTTTTTACAAATGTTAATCGTTTTGTAGATGAAATGCTACGCAATATCAAGACTCTCTCTTCATGAGTTAGGATAATTTTATTCAATTTTCAGAATATTAAAATCGAATCAAAATCTAAATAAAAACTTCGACTAATTTCTACTTACTCTTCCATTGCATTAACAATATCTTCAAAACTATTGAAGGAGAGAAGATTTCGATCGAAAAATAATGTATGCAATTGGCGATTTATTTGTATTATATGAGTAATGACACGAGCACCTGTATCACCCATTAGGTTTCCTCTGTTATCAAAGAAAAATATTTTAATAAAAGATCAAATGAAAACTTTTCCGTTCTTACCGAATATCAAGTATTTTTAATGATGCATTATAAGTCAATGCTAAAAGAAAATCAATTGTATTTTCTTTTAATTTTGAATCAGCTATTGATAAATATTCCAAATCCTAAACAGAATCAATATGAAATAAAGAAATTATTTCTTCCTTTATTCGTACACTATCTATAACAAGATCTTTCATTGCACTTATTGTTCGCTGCATATTTCTATAAATTGAAAACAATAGAATAATAAAAACTTGTATTACGAAATTTTTACTTTTGTTTTATATTATTAAAATTTTTGCCTATGTGCAGTGACTTGATTTTTCGATTTTTCTTTAATTCTCCTAAGAGAGTTGGAATTTCATTGTCCAAATCTAAATTTGAAAAAAATATTATAATTATTGAATGTTGTACTTCTGAATGATTCGATTAGGAGTTACGAAAGAAAAACACAGCTAAGACTGTTGTATCTTATTCGTCATTTTCTATAAGGCCTGCATATAGGATGATATCGAATAAATCAATTATGATCAACCTTTAACTGAGTTCCTTAGAATATCATCAGGAGTTAATTTTACAGCAAAAATAGCATAACATTTCAAAGGTCAGAGAAGTAATCTTATACGATTGCATTAGTAAATTGAAAAATTTAGAAATAGATAATGAAAATAATTTTTGAGAATCTCCCGCTACAACATTTTATGTATTTCTGCATGTTTGTTTAACCTAAAAAAAACTCGATTTTCGGCCCACGTAGGTTCACATTATATTCCTATGTTATAATCTTTTCAAACAAGTATCAAAAATGGCTCAGATACTAAGCGAAAGTACTCTATGAGATCTCATCCTATCGATTCGTAGAAGAGAAGCGAATGCTACCGACTGTTACGAAGTAGGATGTAGCTACAAGCCGAAACAAACGTAACTTATACACATGATATATTCTAAAAGTAAAGCCGCTGTTGCTATTTTACAGTCGTTAAGAACATGAGTAGTCATAGAGAAGAAAATCTCTTCTTACCACACGCAGTAAGATCCAATGCTGTTAGACTTGGTATAGTCGCTAATTTAGCTGCATTTTCATGAATAAATGTCTCAAGTTGATTGCCAGAAAGACGTAAATCGAGGTTATTTAAATGAATATTTGAATGAAGCCCATCGCATAATTCTCTGTAAGTAATAAAAAAAAAACAACAAAAGTGTGAGCTTTTAAGTATGAAACATGTATCAATTTTCCTACTTGAGAAATTCATTAGATAAATTTGCATTGGATAATTGTACAATTTCTAATGTTTCAGTTTTCATAAAAAATGATTTTACACCACCGATAACCGATGGTGGAATAAATGATTTGATAGATGATATAAATAAACGACGAAGTTTACATGAAATTGACGACATTGAATTAAAAAACTAATCAAAACAAAAACAGATTGTAGAAAACAAAACAAATATTTCATTACCGATTCTAAATTAAATTCAATGTCACTTAAATGCAATTCTTCAAGGACATTATCATTATTCTGAAATAAAATTGTTATACACTAAAAAAAACAATGGAATTAGTTGTTAATCATTTTATGCACTGAATCGAGATGTGTGGGACCAAAACTGTAGTAGGCAACAATAGAACTACGGGTGAATTTCCTACGGCTATGGCCGATAAGGAAAAGAAAACAATATAGGCCCCACACTCATCTCTAGACTAAACATACATTTTCTTCTTTAATACGGTTTCCTGATAAATTAAGTATTTGAAGATTTTTTAATAAATTATTATTATTAATTATTGCTGTATTGAATACAAGTAAACTTTTATGTGTTAATGAACATGATTGCAAATTAATTGATATAAGAGGTAATTTACGTTGTTGTAATGATGAGCTTAACGCGATTAAACCTTTATCTTCGAGTGCATTATTTGATAGATCAAGTTTTTCAATATGACAGACAGGTAATGAATGTGTAAAACGTGTACAGAAATCACTAGAATTGAAAAACCAATATATATTTTTGATTTATTAATCAAATCGAATTCCTACTGTCTAAGGCCGCAATTGATTAAACGTAAATCTTGCACTGCTTTACATAGACGAACGAAAGTGCAAAGTTCGTCGATATTTTCTGATGTCTAAAAATAATATTTATGAAAAACTCAAAAACAAGAACATAACTATTTCTTAGATCACGAACTAATTTAATATTTTCGATTGTTATTTTTGTAAACCATTCATTGTGACGTAAAGCACCAATGATAGGTAGCCAATCTTTTTGTGTCAGTGATTCAAATTCTCGAAATGTAAATTCACGTGATGTTCGATGAGCAAATACAGTGTCAACGAGCTAAATAAAAAAAAATTAATTCATTATAGAAAAGCCGATCTATTGAATCTTTAGAGCATAGATGTATATTAAAAACATAGCATTACAATAAGAACTCGTATTTGTAAACAATTTGTTTGGTTTCACTCGTACATGTATCAATACCAATGGTTAGTCTGTTTACAATAGGATTAAAAATGTGACATTTTAGGCAAACAAGTCGATTAGTGTTACACAACGTGAGATTTAGGCAAAGTGTAAAGAAAATGTTTGTATTAAAAAAAAAACAGTGAATCCAAAACTTGGCGAATATAGTAGAATTGCATTATATCAAGAAAGAAGCGGATTACCTGCTTATCAGTTTGCATGAACATCTCGCAGATACAATAATGTCATTAGGATATAACTCTTCAATATAAAAACTCAAGTATACACTTATTGTCGATTCATTATAATTTGCTTAATGGATGAAACAAAGATTTTGAACTACAGAGTCGAGAGTTTTTAAGACTAAGATTTCTCAATTGTGTACAGTGAGGTGTTAAGAAAGAATTTCGCGTGTACAAAGGACTTAGCCTGACGTTAAAAGATGAACTCTTCCATGATTAACCATCGATCTTTTCAATCATAAACAACACTCACGAAGTCAAAATAATGAAATTCTCTTGATTTAAAAATAGATGCATCATCTATTTCTGTAAAGATATCACAGTTTATCCTATTTTTTCGATTTTGAAATATGAATATTCACTACTATCGTTCGACATAAAAGACACATTGTGATCATGAATGGTTTTTTCTTAGAATAGGGTAGATAGCAAAGTCAGACGAATCTATAATCATTAACAATTGTCTCTTCAAAGTTTTGATTCAATTTTCGTAAGGATGGCAATATCTTGTTATATTTTTCAAAACACTCTTGTATCTTGTTTCAGTAGTAATATTGCTAATAGTCATAAATGAAAACAAAAAGAGGCATTCAATGAATTAGAGAGCGCTTCTCCTCTGAATCAACAACTAGTGATCTTTTCAATAATTTCCCTGGAGCCATTTTTATAGATTTCTAAAGTTCATCTACTTTGTTTTATCACAAATTTATAATTGTTATTACACTTTCTACATTAGCACACATTATTTATCACACTCATGGTGTATTTCCACTATAAAAACTAATTTCAATTTCAAGCGTTTTCCGCCATGTTCAAACTTATTCTATCAAAACACAAATCGATCGTTTTAATTGATATTATGAATAGTTCATTATCGAATTTGTCTGTCTGATGTTGTTTTTAACTTACAGTTTGTACTGCTCTATTGCAGGGTATTTGGTAAAAATCGCAAGCACACTCATAACGTTGAGAAAATCCTCCACATGGACGTGATTCAGTTGACATTATGTTCGGATCTTGATAAAATTCATTTGATAAACGTAATAATTTATCATATTCATTCTCAGGTCGAATTTCCACACTACATGGAAAGTCAGAAAAAAAAAATTCATTTTTTCAGATTAAACTGAATTAGAAATACTTACATTGCTTGTAATCTATGAGGAAAAACAGCATGTAAACTTCGTACAAGTACAATTAGAAATGGTTGCAATGATGATTTATCATGAACACCATATAATGTATGGGCTTGTTTCTCATCAGTTTCTATCAAAATCTATAATTAAAAATAGATGAAAAAATTCATTTCCAAATACACAAACAAAACTAATAATTTACATGAGAATCAGTCACACGTTCAATTAATTTTATTGAAAGAATATTAAATTGTGATTCGATCTGAAAAGAATAATAATTTATTTTTAATTAATAACAAAATTAAGTTATACTTTAACAGGAATTTTAACCGAACATATATATACTCGAACGGCATCCATACACTAAGAAGAAGAAAAAACCGAAGCAAATAAATAAATAAACGCTTATTATTATTTTTTGTTTTTTACCAGAAGTCGTTCTTCCACCTTTTCCCCTTTAGTTCCATATCGAATACGACCATTAAAATAAAATGATGGACATTTGATTACAGTGCGAGCACTGCCTAGAAAAAAAAATGATCACGTTTGAAAAACTGTAAATAAACAATCATTCGGTCATACCGATTAATTCGGCGAAATCGTCTCGGTCATTCATCTATAAGTAATCGTTTAAGTAAAGAGTTGTAAAAAAATATAAATGTAACAGAACAAAATAGTCTAACATACACAAGCAACTTTACACCACATTGAAAAATACCATTCATGACATTTGAAGAAATAATGATTGGGCCATAGAAATAAACATCTTAAATTACAAAATAATCAATATAAATCCATATATACATGTATAAATGAGTATCTGATATGAAAACAGACTATTTACGTGATGCACTTCACCGATGATATAAAATAGATATTAAAAATACAGGTATATAAACACGCCAATCAACAAAACAAACGAAACAAGTGACAAACGAATCATGAGGCAGATAGGCAAAATAAAACAAAACAAAACATCTGGGAGATACGATGAATCATCAAACCACACCCATGATGTATCACAGCAGCGACACCTTTATTTATTAAATTCATTTTCCAACTTTTGACATCAATGACCTTTCTCAAGTTTATCAAAACATTTTTCATTAGAATTTTAATTACAAGTGTCATGTACATTGGCATGAAGATGCAGCACTTTTTTTTAATTTGACGATACACCCACAACGGTGGCTAACAGAGCAGCTCGAAACTCACATGTAGTCGTTTCCTATGCAAAAATTTCGAATCCTACAGATTCTACCCAAGAAAATATTGCCTAATTCAAGAGGCCATTAATTAGCTGTATAGCGAAATTTTCAATATCGAGAAAAAAATTATATTTCCGTAGATCCATTATTATGAACTAAATCACCATTTGAAAATACGAAAAAATAACGTTTGAATATTGTATACAGTTATTTACTCTTATTTTTCACAATATATATCCATATAGTTATCTGTTACAAAATAGCATACCCGTAAAATGAGTTTGTTTCTTTTTTTTCTTAAAATGAGAATTAGAACGTTCACTCACATCTGTTTTAATTATACACAGTTCCTAGAGACAAGCATTCACTTTAAACAATTAAAAATATGTCCGGCGAGAAAATGATAATTTGTATGTGACAAAATGTTTGAATGGAAATAAATAAATAATTATATTCTATTCTTTTGAATGTATCTCGAATCATTGGCGGACCACCACGAGGCAATTGGTGCCAATTGTCACACCCAGTGACGGAGTCAGGATGGATTCAGCCCTCTAGCGAGCTTTTAGAAAATGTACTTTATATATTAATATGTATTCTTGTTTGCAATTTAACGTTTCAACCAGTGTTGCCTGATATCAAAGTCGAAAATCAAAAAAAAACTCGAAAAAAACTCACAAAATCCGGAAGATCTGGCAACACTGTACCTGAAGTACAATTTTATAGGTTGCGTACACGCCCACAGTTTTTGGATGCTCGCGACACCCTTGGGGGCTGGGTTGAGTCGCCACTGGCCGCGCCTGAAAAATGATCAGTGTTTATATATACATACATTACAGTAAAAACATGACTTTCTGTTAAAAAAAATCGACATCATTTTTTGTTGCCACACCTCCATATGAGACACTTGCCCGCCAATGTCTCGAATACATGAGGACTCCGAAATTTGAAAAGCGTTTCTCACGATCAAGTATCCCTTAATATCTATGATAAATATAGATTATTATTCTTTTATGAAAATCATCTTTTGCAATTCATAAGCTGATAGTATTTTGACGATTATACTTGTGCCCTATATTATATTGTTTGAGAGTAAGAATTAAGCATTGGTGATAAAACATGTTCAGCATGTTATGCTTGTCTTCTTCTATTATTAAACTCAAATGGTGATGAATTCAAAATCAGCACATACGTAATAACTGAATTTTTGTCAGTAACACGGGGAATTTCAATTGTAATTGGTAGTTTTCATGAGTTAGTGTCAAATATTCTAGGAAATGACGCTAAAATACATATTTTGAACGTTTATTATTCTACGGAGAAAAGCCAATTTCATAAGACATTTAAAACTTGCTGTCCGAACATACTTCATGTAATAATAAATTGGGCTACACAGATGAATACTTCTATTAAAGTATTCAAATTATTCTTGTCGAGCACTCGAAATGTTGATGATTGTTCAAGGTCTCGAAAAGCAGAACGGAACAAATACAAAATGCGTATTTCAAATTGTAGGTTGCCATGTATGACCTATATATATATATTTTTTTTCCTTGAGTTTTGACCTTCTGTTATTGATGCATTTGAAACAAACATTTCAATTTTTCATGACCTATAAAATGATAAATCTGTTCATTCATTTCATGATAAAAAATTCTATTTGCAATCGATCTTTGTTCAGGTTTTTCTAATCATTAGTTAATATTTGTTGCACTTGTATAGTCAACAATGAACTTTGATCAATGTTAAGCTCTTTATACACAACGGAAAGAAATCTTTTTCTCTTTCTTTCGATGTTATAGTTTTTAATCGAATAATAATAATTGATTAGCTTCTAAAACATTTATTTTTAAAAAGGAATTTATTTTTATTTTGCATAATTATTTATCCGAAAATAATTCAAAATAAAACATGATTACTAGACTTGTTCGTTTTGTTCACGGTTTATTGGTTCTAAGACACTACTTGCTCCTAATAATCCAATACCAATATGTGAATAGTCTTTTGCATAGTTATATTTTGAATATATTTTCTCATGATTCGTATCAGAATTTGACGATGAATGCAATGGGTTTTGACGAATAGTAGCCAAAACATTTGGATCTTTTCGAAATTCAAAATAAGCATCCTCTGCCTCTTTAGCATGTTGTTCGCCATATTTAATCACATACACGGCCCATAACTGTTCTACTATTTCTTGTACGATAAAATCTGATGAATTTGCAGATAATATACGTATGAAAAAATATCCGTCGGATTCTAAATAGTAATGTAAAAAAGCATCAACAAGTGTGGTCTGTACATGATCGCCAACGCCACGTGTAGCGTGTTTAAAGTCAAAACGAAAACGTGGAATTTCTGATCGAGATGTACGTGCAAGACGAGAATGTATAAAATTATATTGTAGACTAGATGAGCCAATACGTACACACCATAAAATAAACGCATATATGTTACACATCAAGATAAAGACATACCAAATCCATAATAATGTGAATATTTGCTAGAATAAAATTATAATTAAGATTTCTCTGTATATGAATTCTACAATATTGTTCTATACTAATAACTCATACAAGGGATGGGACACGGTAAACTTTAATTTAGAGGATTGTACAGTTTTTGACGCGTTGCTTATTTTGTTTCAACAATTATGTTGAACAATAAATAATTTGAGAGCATAAGAAAGATGCTTGCTTCTTGAAATTTTTAAGAAAGATCATTTCTAGAGTAAGTCCACAGAGGAGCAATTGGGAAAAAACTAGAAGAATTTCTTTATCACTCCTCTGGCTTGAATTTTATGCACAATTTCAAAGATTTGTATTTTTTTCTTTCTACATTGATCGGCAGAGAAAAAAATGTAGAGAATGCGACACATCGTCACATTCTAGTCATCCCTTCAATATAAAATATTAGTAAGCTCCCAAACAAAGATGCATATCATACTTCCGTTTTGCGGATATTATCTAGATACAGGGGTTGAGTTAGAGACAATATTGTTTAGAAGATTTTTGATAGAGTCAACCGGATTTGGGACGGGACCGATGATTTGTTTTCGAATTTTGTTGAAAACAGAAGTTATTAAACACAAGAAAAATTGGAGAAGAAGAATCGTCTCGATTCGAAGTCATTATTCTAAAGTGCTTTTTTCTCATTGAAAATTGATTAACGATTGTATTAAGGAGCTGATTTAATAATTATTCAATAATAAAAAGAAAATCTATGTGTGAAATTTTTGTTTAATACCTGATTGAATAGATTCACAGTTAAAACACATTGAACGGTAATTCTTTGTAATGGTTCCCCACCGCGTAGTGGCTCCCGTACATGAAAATCACAGAATGTTTCTCTAGGAAAATATTTTGATTCTGGTTGATTAAGACCATATCGAAATAATTTAACACTTTCAAAACCAAATTTTAAAAAATTTGTACCAAGAAAAAGACTCAGTAACCATATTTGTAACAAAACATTCACTATATAGTACATCCTATTAAATACAAAAGGCAGAAAACAGTAATTTTTCTTTCCAGAGCAAAAACCTCGGTCGAAACTTTTCAACTTACTTAATAAATATATAGAGTGTAATAAAATAATTGCCTAAAAATTTTCCGGTCATAAAGCAAATTAATTGGAAAAGCTTTTTGAATAATGATGTTCGTCGATTTTCTGCATTGGTTTGTCGACGTGCATCATCAACATACATATCAATAGTATCAACAATATATTTTATTAATTGATCGCGATCATCAAAGTCATTCAGTGTTTTTGTTTCACCAGCTGCTTCAACTAAATCAAGAAGATCAATACCTGAGCGAACACTTAATGAACGCCAAAATAAACGTGGCAAATAAAAGAATAATGCCATTAATAAAATAATAAATGGCGTCCATTGATAATAGTTCAATACACGACTTTTCCTATAAAAGCATAAACATAACCACCGCATAATCATTTTGTTTTCTTTTAATTTCATCAAATTTATTCATATCTATTCTTTCGGAAGAGGAAAAAAAGCGTGTCAAATAACCTGTCGTGCATTGTACTTGGTATTGTTTCATTCTGGTCTAACCTGTATGTGCTCATGATAAAACAAAAATAGTTCGTATAATTAATATAAGCATCACGATAATTAGCTCGATTCCAACATGATATTAACGATGACATATCATCAGCTGTTAAGAGAGAGCCTGATATAACAGAGAGTATAAATAATCCATAAACAGTATATTTCCTATTCATACGATCAAAAAAGTCATCGTCCGATGGTCGATGGTGAACGACAAATGTCAAAAGAAATGAAAAGATGTATATAAAATGCTCCATTGTTCTTTTTATAATCTCAAAACTTTCCTTATGATGATAATACGACGAAGATAATATTCAGCAGTGAACAAGTAATGAAACATGTAAGAAAATGCACCAGATGGAACTTGTTTTCTGCTCTGTTACTCTTAAATTGATGAATTTTATCCATCGACAACATATATGTTAGCATCTATATGGCACATTGCAAAGAATTGATCAATTGGGACCTGAGAAAAGTGTCATAGGAAAGATAAAGAGAAAATGATGCCTACTAACAAACATTCCAAGGACAAGTTTTATGAAATAGTTAAGCAACAGCAACAGTAAGAACACATCATATTCTATAGATGAACGTGCCTAAAAATGTCTTTTTGTGTGTGTTCATCTGGTGACAACTAGACGACACATGCTCGCTAGAATGTTTAAGTTTACAAATTAAATAGCAACGATTTTCACCATCAATGTAGTCTTAATGGCATTTGAGGATTTTTTTATTTCCTATAGATATCAAATTAAATATTCGTCAATATCAATACAACATTGATACTGAATATTCATTGTTCGCAGTTAAATTTGATCGCTTGTGTCTATTGATTCATCGAAAAGAGTCCTTTTCTTTTCTTTTTTTTTTTTTATAGAGATTTGATTGTTAATTATAGTGCTAGTTAGAAAAATATTAGAGATAGAGAGAAAAAAGAATTTCTCGTTGCATGATTATAAATCAAAAATTTTTAGATTTTATTTCCAGCGTAGAATAGTTTATTACACACTTAGAGAAGCCTATCAACGATTTCGTTAAGTAATTATACAATAAAAAGAAACTTTTCAAGATTTGGGTAAAGCTTAATTATTATCATCAATAGAACGTGTAAATTAGTTTTTTCATAGAATACAATCTAGTTCTTTATTAGACTATGTACAAAAATAAATCAAATACTCGTACACCTTTGCAAGATTTTCAATACATAATAGTATATAAAATTGTAAAACTTCTTTTCGTTTGAGTGTCAAAAGACGGAGAAAAAACAACCGATTCGTTTGAGATCACTAAGGAGAATAACCAAAGTATTAGTTATGCTTTTAGTGTTTGTTTAAAGTAGTAGAAAATTGAAGTCTTAATTTCTAAAAGATATTTCTTGTTCAATTAACATTTACACTGAAACGTAGATATTTTCCTAGATCTTCGATTTTACTGCATTTATCCATTTCTTTCTAAACTGCGATTTTCCGACGAAACTGAAAATAAGCTTGTACAAAAATAAATATATTGAAGAACAATGTTCTTAAGACACTCATTTTTTTGTATCTATTTAGTATGCGTTGGATGTAGTAATTCACAGGAGAACTGAAGCGATAAAAAAACGGAGTTAAAGAAGGAAGGAAATAAATAACGATGATTGCAAAGTCATTTTATAAAGTGTTTAATCACTTTTCAGCTTTTCAAAGTACGCGAGAAAAAGTTAAAAATATTAGTTTACAACTGATGTAGAACTGTAGATTAAGGTATTTTGAATCGATACTAAGCAGAAACATTAAGTTCAAGTTTAGACCAAGAAAAATTGATCGCTAATCTCTTCCATTGCACACTCTATGTTACCGTTCTTTTCCTATAGAATTTATGACGCTATTATTCGTAAGAAAGTAATGCAAAAATCAAACATCTGAGAGCAGTCATTCAGCAGTACACGAATTAACTTTCTAAATTGTAATGTAAGTCGAAATCGAGTGACTGCTTCGGCTAACATTATATCTCAGTTACCAAAATATTCACAGTAGACACCAATGCTGTTGAATTAACTAATCATTACTCTAATCGTTTATTGAGAAACATTATCTTTTTTATTTTTTTATAGTTATCATCTTATTTATCGCTGGTTTCAATCATTTCTAGTTAGTTGAAATTCATTCAAGTTACATTTGCCTATTTTAGAAAATTTCCCTTTTCAATGTTTGCAAATGAGAAACTTCAGAAAAGTGATGGTGACTTCGAATCTTGAAATTTCTGAGCGCTTCTTAAACATGCAGAAACATAAGGAAAGCATTTTATCAAATTACTTTTCGAGCACTGATTTATATGAAGCGAGTATATAAGTAATGAAACCTAACCATATTCACAAAAATCTATTACTAACTCAAAAGAAAAATCATTTAGGGCTAAAGTAAAATAAACAATCATAGCTTTCATACATAAAAAGATAGTCGGTTGGTTCTTCGTTACATTGCTAAAATGTAAATATCTATATGCGTAAACCTCTCATCTTCTTGACTATAGAAGACAGATGTATATATATATAATTCATTGCTGTTTTAGCTGATAGCTAGCTTCTTCGTGATTCATTCTTGTATAGTACCGTATCGACGATGCCACTTGTCTATTATAATGTTTCGATAAAAGCGATCACTCCGTAAGCCATTCTAATTCATCGTGTGTCTTCCGATAGTTAGATCTATTATATAAGCACTGCTTCTTTCGGTCGTTGATACACGATTGCATGCATTGCCAACAACTTATTTTATCTTTTTGGGAATTTCCTTTTGAATTTCAAAAACATTTTTCTTATTCAAAACGTAATCTTGTACTTCAGCTTTGATGCGATATATGTAATTAGAGATTTTCAATATATTTGGCAGCAAGACTGATTTGATGTATGGGATGTGAATCCGTGATATTCCATTAGCAAAGAAGTTTCTGGGTTATGCCGAAGAATATGATCCATTGCGATTCTGAAGGAATTCTAAGATGATTTTCAAAATATGTTCTCTGTGCATCTCCTACTTTTATGAAAGCGCTAAAAATTAAAATTTCGATTGCGCTATTGAAGTTTAGTTTTTTATTGCTCACGAAAAGTAGGTTCATATGAGAAATATAAAAACAATAGTGTGAGAAAGTTTTTATCAAGAAATTCCTTTTCTTTACGTGAAATAGTTTATAAAATTAATATGAACAACTGGTAGAATGTTTTTCACTGTATTCGATGTCTAATATTTTTTTTTCAATTTTTCAATTAAGAGCAATATCATTATGTGTTTTTATTAGTTATGTTTAATTTCTTGTCTTTAATCTTTTAGTTTTATTGTCAGTAATGTTTCGGCAACGATTTTACCTTCGTCCCGCTTTCATATTTTTAGTCTAAGTCTAGAAGCAAAATACGTGTATGTCGATGCTTATAGATAGATGTTGGAAAACTTAATCAAATAGTAGGACGAAAGCAACATCGTTGCTGAAACATTTCTGAAAAGAAAACGGAAATTAACAGATCAAATGGAAGGGCGAGAATAATTAACAATAAATAACTAATTAAAACGAAAGGTTATTACCATAACATGTTTATCATATTTATGATGGATACATTCCTATGTCATTTGTGAATCTGATAACATCGCGATAATGTCTATGTCTATATTCAATTCATTATCTTTCGATAAAAAAATATTGAATTAGCGCATATTCAATAGTTGTAAGTGTGATTCGAAATAATGAAACAAATAAAAATAGTTCATTTTTATCAATAACCTATTCAGATTATTTAACAAGAGCTATATCAACTTTCCATTTCAATAATACGAATATCACGTATGGCGCTATTATCGTAGAAATCAATTGAATGCATCCTTTGTACATTTATCGGTCCAATTAGAATCTAACATAGAACTAACCATACGTCTGGCATTTTCGTAGTTATCGAATATCGGACAAACATGGATAAGGTCAATTTTTGGCTGCGATATTTTTAAAAACTGCTTATGTTTCGTAATTAGGATGAAACTTTTATTGCAGTGATTGTAACTTAATCTATGAAAAAACGGCCTTCATGTTCATTGATAAAAGTCTTTTTTTTTGAATTCTATTATTTCAATTTGTATGATATACGAAACTTCATTCTGATTCCAATTTTTCAATTAGAAAATACTTAATTGCATTGCAGAATACTATTTTTGCAGCCTATTAATCTCACGAGAACCCCTGAAATAAATTTATTTGTAGACAAAATTATGCTAACTACTAAAACCATACACAAAACTCAGTGAGAAGTCAAGTTTTTTTCATATAGCTTGTAAAAAAAGAAAACTAGCTACGAAAACATATTTTTGTCACCGTTGACGTTGGATTCTATGATAATGAAATGTCTACCTAGTGCATGAAAAAATTAATATTGGTGAACGTTCTTCGTGCTCTATCTGAGTATTAAATTAAAACAAAAGTAAAATTTGTTGATTGTGTCACTGTAGGAATTTTCTGAAATGTCTAATCCAGAATCTTATGAATTATCAGTTTTTGGGTCATTAGCATAGCATGTCTCTCAAGGCTTATTTTTCTCACTATTTATAATATGAATCTCAATATATTAAGAGACACAGACGGTTCTTGCATCTACTAAAATATAACTGGCTTGCTCAATAATTGGTTTGAAAGAATCATTCTTGTTAGGCATTCTTCATATGAAAGTGCTCTTGAAAACTTAGTGTCTATAACATTCTAAAATAGACTTTCTTGTCGGTCTCAAGGAACATAATCAACAACTTATTCGTTTAATTTGAGCCTAGGATAGAACCTGAACAGTTGTACCGATCATTATATTATATTTATTGGTAAGAAATTCTGTTTTTCTTATAATTATACCCCGGGAACTACGAAAACACATTTGTTTTTCTTTAGTCCCAATAGCTATTTAGGAGTCGGTTTGCAGCTGATGTTTTTGCATTGCTTTAATTGTGAATGTATATTTACATATGATTAAAAGTATTCAAGACTTTTCATCGAATGAATAGGCTACTCAAAGACTGCTGTGGGAAATCACTCTGTTTGAGAACATTACTATTTCTTATTCGCAACTCAATAGAAATCTACAGAAAAGAAAAACATTTTTCTTTCGATGACCCTGAGCTCTTGTCAATATGTACAATGAAAAATTTATTTTATTATGTAAAATCAAGACGAGCGAACTTGATATTTTAACATTGATTGACCTTATTGTATTCTCTCGATGAGGTATGTCTCGGATACAATTAATAGTGTTATCAACATCTGTCCTGTCATTTCAAAGTGTCTTACCGATCTTGAATATTTGTTGGTATTGTTTTATTTCTATCAACATAATAGGTTGATGAAATATAGCATATTTGATTTGTATAATCAACATACGGTTTAATATAATTTGCTCGACTCCAACATTCAATACGATCATCATCAAACTGTTTTGTTGCTGTTATTGTTGAGAAAAGAATAAGTAAAGCGACTGTATATTTATAATTCATTTTATCGAATCCATCATCGTCAGATCGCAGTGTTGATAGAAGTACTGTTGGGACAAACGTTATTATGTAGAGTACATCGACCATTATATTATTTCTTTATTAGCTACGGTTGATTTCTTATTGAAAAAGAATCATCTAAAATAGTATACAATAGATTTAAAAAAATGCTACGTGCTATTGCGTACTACATAACACTCTATGTTGAGTATCCACTCAAATTTCTATGAAAATCGGTGACAAAGAATGTATTCTTTTATGTTAGATGACACTGATACATAACATTTGACGAGAGTCGAATAAATATTATTTTACTCTTCTTAATGAAATATCAAAAAAGAAGAAAAAAATGAAAAATGCTACTCGCGGATATTTTTTTATTCGCATTATTAATTGGATGCGAAACATCTATTACCTAAGAATACGACTGACACGTATGCATGTAGTAGTAGTACTACCAACACCACCACCACGTTATTACTCCTTGTAGTTTACCATCGTTCTAATGCGTTTTTTTGTCCGTATGAGAAAAAAAGATGTTGCTGGAGAAAAGAAAATGCTTTACAGAATAAAAGAAAAAATTGCGTGTGAGAGCTGTGTTCCCCTCTCTATGACTTCGTACTATAACTTGTATTCATTCGGTGTATTTCTTGTTCGCGCTGTGCGAATAGCATATTCAGGGAAAAGAGAAGAAACACAAAAAGAAGGAGGAGTAACATACAAGAAGAGAACTGCAAATGTTAGTGACTTTGTGTGTAGGGTCAGTCTCCAATTAAAACTTGTCCATACTCAATCAAAAACGATTATGTTAAATAGAACTATAGAAACGTTAATCGTTTTGATCACAGTGCATTAGAAAAGAGGCCTATTTAAGATTCACTGATTCTTATTCTTTTTAATAGTCGATTTTCTAATGTAATTGAGTCTTTTTTTCTTTCTTAATCAAATATAAATCTTTACGTAGTAAACAAGAATCATAGTACTATTGAGAAAATGAATAAGTATCAAAAGCCTATAATAATCTTAACTCTATTAAGAGCATATAACAAAGAACGAATTTCAGCTTTATATAAAAATTCTAATCAATAACTATGATCAGCTTTCGTAAAATACACGATACTTTTTGTTCTTGAACAACCTATTGCCATAGAAAAGTAGTTCGTAACTAGACAGATACAATCATAAAAGCATGTGGATTTTGTTTTTGTATTCTTCTTGGCGCCCTTCCGTTCATTTCATCTTCATATAAGTCACAAGATTACGCAGCCCATCATGTTCCTGAAATGAGATATGATCATCCGTCTGACATGACAGTTTCTTCGATTGAGCCGTTCTTTTTGTCGGCTTATTTATTCTTTGGTCGTCGACCGCTAAAAGCATAAGTCTACGCAAGACATAATTTCTTGGTTTAATGGAAATGGCAAACAATGATATATATATATCACTTAGATATATAGGACTAATCTTTTTTGATGAGAAAAGAACGAGATGCTCAACTCTTGACTATCTAGTCTTCAATTGCATGCATTACTACACATAAGAGCTGATGTTTTAAGTATTAGTAAGGTAATAAAGCTTGAATTGATGAATCAGCCAAATTCTATTAATGGCAAAATCTATATCGAATGATCTTGAATATTCTATGCTTTCCAAAATTGATTCATATTTAATGATCGTATGAGATTCATGTTAAGTGAAAAACCAAACAACAAAAACTAAGTTACAACTGAAATTTCAAAGACGAAAAGAACAAGAAAAAACAAACACACGATAATACATACAAAAGAAAAGAAGGAAAAAAATCGCATTTATTGGTTTATTTATTAGAAAGAACGTACAATGTCACTGTGATCATCGTCATCGGCAAAGTCATTACTCGTTGTATCATCAATTAAACGTAATTGATAAGATGGAATCATTTCTTTTGGATGATGATGATGATGATGATGATGATGATTATGCTGGTTTGATGGTGAAGTACTTTCTGTCATCGATGAAAAACAGCCCGATGTTGATGAACGACATTCACCATTATCTGAACCTTCAAATGATATTGATGTTGGCGGTTCTATATGACTTAATACACAATCGAGAACATTACGAGCCTTAAGAAGATAAAATTTATATTTCAATAAATAAAAGTTAATGTTTCGTTGATTTTTACCGTTGTTGATGATGCTTCATTCGAAAACCATATTGATGGTTGTTCCTTATTTTCATCCATTATTATTTCATTCAAATGAGAATGAAGATCCGAAAAATTAATACGATCTTCAGGTATATATTGCCAACATGATAGCATGAGTTCAAATCTATTCGAAAACAAGCATATTATTAGACATATTGTAGCTATATAGAACTAGAAGCAGCTGCGTATCATCAAAACAATTTTTTGTCACGAATCAGACAATCGAGTTCTTTCGCGTGTATGACATAAATTTCATCGAGGAAAGAAAAAACAATTTATGATTTTTTTCTTTCTTAAATCTGCCTCTGATTTATACGAAAGATTTTGTTCGAAAAAAATTCAATTACATATATCGAGTAAGACATTTGAAATCTGCATGCGCAAACATTAGTTTATCATGACCTATACATCTTCTATTGAATTTATTAAGTTCAATTTGTGCCTATAAATAATCTGCTATTCACCAAATTTTGGTGTAACCGTTGCCACCAGTTTACTAATCAAGGACACATGACACATGAGGGAATAGGAGCTTTGTGATGAAAGAATCACCCGTTCTTATTTGGTTGCTCATGCTATAGTCAAATATGACAATATTGAAAAAACGTGCTCGCCATTAGTAATACAATAGAATTCATCATGCCTTTATCTAATAAGTCTGATACATGTTTTTTATTTGCATACTTACAAAGCCTGTGTACATTGAATAGGTTTTTCTAATGTGCCGCGTGTTGTTGTAATTAATGAAATAACTTGTTGGTTACTCATCGGCGAATATGGTACATGACCTAGTGTTATAATTTCCCAGAGAACAATACCAAATGACCTAGAATTTAAGATTATTTTGTTTTGATTTTTCGCTAAACTACACATACCAAATATCCGAGTTAGAAGTAAATATGGCATCAAGTAATGATTCTGGTGCCATCCATCGTACCGGTAAAAGAGCTTCACCTGTTTTTCTATAATAATCTTGTTGACTTAACATTCGGGCTAAACCAAAATCACCAATTTTTACAAGAACTTTTCCATCATTGATATCTTTTGATGACACGAGACAATTTCGAGCTGCTAAATCTCTAAAAAAAATACCCAAAAAATAAAATTTTCTTCTCAAGATTCATTTTTTTACCTATGAACATATGAATGTTGTTCAAGATAACAAGCACCGTCAGCTATTTGCCTTGCTATATCAAGACAATCATCATATGACAATTGACATTGATCATTATCTTTTGATGGTCTCGAACGTCGCAAATAGTTTTGTAAATCTCCTTGTTTCATTAATTCAATAACCAAAAATTGTGGTTGATAATCATTATGAAAGCAAACGCCCAATAAATGTATTATATGTTCATGATTAAATTGATTCATTATAATAGCTTCTTTAAGAAAATCAACACGTTGTGCTGAAGATGCTGAACTATGTAATGTCTATAACAAAAACAAAAACAAAAACGAAAGATGACTATATATTTAAATCGAATACTACTGAATTCTTACTTTAATTGCGACCGATTGATTATTCGTCATTAATCCAGCATAAACTTCGCCTAAAATATTTAAGATTTTTTATATTAAGAAAATTTTGTAAAAATTGAGATTAAACAAACCAAATGCTCCTTTGCCTATTAAACGATCAAGTTTAATCATAGCTCGTTCAATTTTAGGTAATTTTTTTATGTCAACACTAGTTGGTGTATGACTAAAAACATGTTTAATTCAAAATTTTATATATTTTTTTTCCAGAAATATCGCTTACTTCCATGTATAAAGTACATTATCTTTTAATGTATTACCAAATGTTAATGATCTTAGATGATCTAATTCTTTATCAGATATATCGCCATTTTGACCATACTTTTTTTTTAATTTTCCATAAAGTTTTTTACTACGCACTAAAATCAAAACAGATAGGATGAATTTGAAAAGAACCGAGATCTATTCACTTACGGTAGCACGCAAAAAATATAAAGCCAAAAAGTATAAGAAATAAAATTGAAATTAAAATCGTAATAATCACTATTTGATTATTTGAAGTTGAATGATAAATAGCTGAATACAAAAAAAGAGCTGTTAAGGAAGAATTTACTTATTTAAATAAAACTCACGATCAACACGAACATCCAATTGTGAATAATGTGTTTCTTGTCGTCCATATTGATTACCAACGTAAAGTCGAAAAGTTAAATTAGTTTGTTCTAACAATGTTTGTTTTAATTGATATTGTGTATTATTTCCTCGATAGATTAATGTCCAATTATCATTTGATCTAAACGAAAATAAAATCTATAGAGAATATCAAGGTCCTCTAACTCGCTTTCTCACAAATGATAGAATACTGTAAAGGACAATAAGTATCCGTGGCCTTTTCTCAATATACCGGGACATACTGTTATTAATACGTCTTGTTATCATAAAAGGAAAAAGGCATCGAAAATACGTTAAGATTTTGTTTTTATAGATTATAAACGTCACTTCATTAGTTTCTACATATACATTACGTTAATAATCGTTTATATCTCTATATATAAATTTTCGTTTTTGGGTTTTGTTTTTTCAATTATATACATGTAATATATGATGGCATGAAATTGAAGATATATAAAATTATTGCCAGAAGGATCCCCTTACTTTTCGATATAGGTCAATAATCTCTCTCTAAAAAACATATCCTGTCTTACATAACGACGAATGCATGTTTGGTGGATATGAATTATAAATTAATTTGAGATGTTCTCTTAACTATCAATAGAAGCTTTCATGAGATTCCTCTATGATATGAATCGATAATAATTCTGCAAAGCTTTTGAACGAAGAACAAGACAGAAACAAAAACAGAACATTGACTTACTTGGTAAATAATTCATAATAATAATCCGGACCAAGATAAGACATATTCGTTGATGGATCTGTCCATGTTAATGTTCTATTATTGTTATAGAACGATAATACCAAAGGAGAATCATCTGGTAAGCCACTTGATGTTTGAAATGGATAAAGTCGAGCTTGATCATGAAAAACAAATGATAACGATGATGATGTTGTAATTGGACATGTAGCCCGTACTGATAATGTATAGTTTTCCTCAGGTTGAAGCTTATCAAATACAATCGAACATTTGCCCTTGGTTATATCAGAAAGCGACGTATCTTTTTTATTTATATCACATTGGCCACGAGAGACAGCTTTCTAAAAATAAAAACATGAAGCTAAAACATTTGAAAAGCCAAAGAAAAGAGACAAGGAGTATACTAACTAAATCATTGTAAACAATAGCTTTAACTTCAATATAAGATAAACATAAATGATTTATGAATACACGCATTGATCGAGTTGATAAGGTTAGAAAATCGACAGTAATTGGTTGAGGATATTTTATCATAACTGGATGATCAATAATTGATTGTCTTCGATCGTTGGAATAAAATAATTGAATAGAAGTTGAATATTCAATAGAAGTATTGTTTTCATTTGGTAATTCAATAGAGAAAGCTATTGTTTTGCTTGCTATTCGACCGATACGAGAAATAACATTATTATCTAACGGTTTGACAATATGATGATATTTGTTTTGTTTTTCTATACACATAAAAACAATTATTTAATACAAAAGACAACAATGAAGTCGTGTGTTTTTTTTTCCAAGACTTACGATCTATTGTATATGAAAGAGTTATATTTCCGAGAATAGCTGTTCGACGGACATGTGAAGGTAATGTAACAATATACATATGTGTATGAGGGAAAATAAAAGATTCAATTTGTTCAACTGTTAAAAGATCATCATTTGATAGAGTTACAGCTAAAATGGAAAAAAGCCAGAAAAGTTCGCCTATGAAAATCAATGGTTTCTTTTCTTTTTTACTTTTTCGATTAGATAGTTCAAGTGTTTGAAAAATATATGTGGGCAAAATACGTAGAGATTTTTCATCAGAAACTTTTATTATTACTGAATAGTCATGATTTGAAAGTAATCGATCCGTATAGAAATTATTTGTTTGAATATCCTATATAATGCAAATAACAAATATGAAAACTTAATCAAACATGTTTGTTGTTTTTTCTACTTCAAATTTTTGTTCAATTTCATTTGTAAGTGTATTTGTTATCGTTGCTGAGACGTGAATTGTGGAACATTGTAAATTAGAAAATATATTTGTAAATTGAATATTTATCGACGAAGCTGTTAACTCGACATATTCTAATTGACCGAAGCCTTGCCGATGGATACTACATAATGATGACGATGATTGAATACGACTCCCTAAATTGATTAACAAGTTGTTTCTTTGAAGAACATGATGGAATCAATACCTGTTTGAATAAATTGTTCTTGGCTATGAACAATATGAAGGATGATAAGGATAACTGAATAGAAAGCAAAATTCAGAAAATACAGTTTTTGTTATATTAACTTTAAAAACTTACCGAAAAAAACAATACTACGACTCATCATTGGTCTTATTGTTAGCCTAAAACAAAATCATACAATATTTGATTAGCATGTTGTTCATGTCACTCACTCAATTCTTTTCTCTCTCTCTGCTGCTACTATTGCTCTTTTTGTACGGTACCATACATACACAAATTCATTTAATCGAGTAAGCGAAAGAGCTTCACTTCACCACTTATGACGATTATGAAACAATAGCGACACGATCGAACATATACGCATACTAAATCGACGCCACGTTCTCCCCCTATTTTCTTTTCTTCTTCTCTCTCTTTTTCTCTCTCGTCACTTTCGAGTGGAAATATATAAAGAGCCGTAAAACAAGTATTTATACACACCTTAAAAAATTTACTACCATCACCACCTAAATGTCTTCCACGTATTACTCTCTTATTCTTCATCTCTGCCTTTTTTTTTATTAGTTATAAAGATAATCAATTGCATATTGAGGATGATGCTACTAGTAGTAATACTAATGTTGTTGTTATATGCTTGTGTTTATCCACTACGCACTACTTCTTCTACGAATACGTCATTAACGCCTTTTTCAAGTACGCCGAACGACTGTTATCGTTGTTTTCTTTCTCTTCATTTACCAAGAAGATATGCAGCTCAGTTACATATTGTCTTTGAGAGCTCTTCATTAAGTAAAACCAACAATCTTGAAAAATGATTTCTACGATTGGATTTACGACATACAAGCAGTCTAATCATGACAATGAAACAAAAAATTAATACTAAAAGGTTTTCTTTCTAATTAACGAATAGTTTTTACAATTGATAAGATAGTGTAAATAAGACAGTGATGGATATAGTTGATGTACAACTATGCGTGTACGCAATAAGAAAAAGCCAATTAACAAGAAGAGAAAGACACCATCTGGTAATGTGCCAATGATGCGAACAGGAGGATCATGTTGTTATGATATACGAGAAAACAACAATTTTTTTATCATTCCCGAAAGCACGAAGATCAAGTGGAGAGAAAAAAAGAAAGAACATCAAGTCATTATCAATAATAAAAGAGTCACTAAAGCATAGTATAGTCTAGAACAGTTGTAATCTGAGATAGTAAACTAGCCTATTGAGCACATGTGTTTGCTTGTTTAGTAGACATCTTACTTATTACACAATACTTACAAGCTATATAAATGAAGAGTGACATGCACTAAAGTAGCTACAATGGGTTCCGTTAATATACTTTGACAAATACCAATGGTAGTACTGTAACTAACCCATCCATCATTCAATGCATTGACTGTTCATTGAGGGCTTCTCTTTTTCTTTATTTCTTTTATGACATAGCTATGTGTAAACAAGCCATGATGATCTGTATCTGTCTTTTGCCTACGTGGAAGTATATCAACATTGGAAAAAAGAAGAAGAAGAAGAAGCAGGAAGCTCAACCTTGGCACACATACAAAACCAGCAGTAGTGATGCCTAGTGGTACATAGATATTGATACAATCCTCATGTGTGACATTTTGTCAATTATAACATTCGTTACCGCTCAGAGCGCAGATCTATCTATGCAGACCTATTATAGGAGTACCTTTTTTTTCTTGTCTTGCTTTATTCTCTCTATTTTTTTTCTTTCGTCGTGATAATGAATGATCATTAACTATTGATCTTTGGCGAATTAAGGACATCAATTAAAGTTTTAGATAAGAAATCATCTACAGATGGGTTACGGTTTTATTCTTTTCATTGGAGCATAAGAAAACTGACGCAATTACCTTGAAAGATGTAGATCGATGATTGGAACAATGATATTAGCTAAACAAAGACACGGGTGTCAACATGCAATGCGAAAACGAAGTGTCACTGGATACAAAGATACGATACGGAGACAAATATGAAAGGAAGAAAATGATATAAAGCCAAACTCCGCCCGTTTGGGAAAGAAATAACTAAATCGATGTTTCCACAGGAGAGAACGAGAGACAAGACAGTTGCACTCGATCAACATCAATAAGAAAGAAATATAACAACTGCTCCTATTCTCCCTCTCTCTCTCTCTCTGCAGCTTCTTCTTTTTCTGTTTGTAGCATCTTCTAACTAACGAACTACCGGCATATGTGTATATATCAAAATGAGACGAAAGATTGATCAGTTTGAGTACACAGCATGATGTCTATAACTGATGATCATTATAAATCTAAGTTAGAAATCAAAACAGTTGGAATGGTGATCGAAAATCATCATTCCATTGTACTTATTAAGAGACAAAGAAAACAATTAAATGTTTATGAAGAGTAATGATGTATCAACATGTTGAAATAGTAATGATTTGCATAAATAAAAAACACTACTGATGTTTCTTTGATAGAACGGATAAAAGAATAAGAAATCGAAGAGTGTGTTTACTAGACTAGGTATATTTTATTTTATCGACATTTAAACAGTTTTTATGTAGGTATTCATCAATATTATTTTGAGACAGGAAAATGATTAAAGGGTGTGCTGAAAAATAATAAGTCAACAAAAGGAAATTAGTCTAATGAAAATAAAACGAACTATGAGTAAAAACTAGGAAAAATATTTTTTGTTTATCCTTAGCTCAAGTCTAAACATAAACAGCTTATTGAATAGCTAATATTTGTTTTGATTGTAATAGCATGTGATAGATGCTTCATCTGTTTCTATGTGAACAATCTTGATCACTTACATTGATATAATGGTTTTATCTTTTTGATATATCATATATGATACTTTTCTACGTGATGCTAATAGTTTTCTATAAGAAAAAAAAGAACCGACAGGGTACATTTCTTTTATACGGCAATTCTCAGTCTCATTTCGATCACATTTATTAGGTTTACTATGTTTATCACGATCATTATATCGTTTTATAGATCTTTACAAAAGGTTTATTTAATGGTATTTTAACGATTCAATTGACACTCTCTCGCAAGACTTTATTACACATTAAGAATCAAGGACAAGATCATTAACATGACGTTCTTTTTTTCTCTTCTATCTCATCATCATTCTTCTAGTGATTTATTACGGTGAAGTCTGATATCAGACAATTTTCTAAACGATTATCGTCGCGTTCTTTCGACAGGATTGTACTGGAGACAAAAACAGCTTCAACGGAACAAGAAAGATCATCCTGTCGAATTTTTTTAAAGAAAAATATGACGATTAGTAAAAAAAAAGGTCAGAAAAATGTTTTCGATTGGTATATATGTAAATGTAAGTATTATGCATTCATTACTACTATCACATCCGTATTGAAGAACTTGCGCCACCGACATAATGCAAATATTGACACTTCCTATCCAAACGTATAGTATGTATTGATTGGTAAAACCAAGAAAAGCTATACATACAACACAACGACGACGACGACAACGCAACTTGACAACTATATGAACAAAGCCTTCCGGAAATAAAAGAATTGTTGATGTAATGAAAAAATATAGATAAAAGAATTTTGTTTGTTATTTGATAAATATTTTAATAGGCTTAGTAAGACAATGGGTAGAGCATTACATCACAACATTTTAAGCACTATTTTATTAATTATTAAATAACGTTCTCATATCTATGGTTACAATAGATTTTTCTAATAGAAATCTGTACTTTTTTCTTCATCATAAAATCATCGATCAGAAACCGAAGGAAATACAAATGTTGAGTTACTTATCAAAGCTTCCTATTCGATTGACGGCACTCTTGTGATTATTAACAAACAACTTTGAGCTAGTATTTAAATTTCCAAAAAAATGAATGTGGAAACTTCGGATTTCATCCGAGAGTTATGTGTACTGAAAAAAGTGCATGGGACATATGAGTCATTCTAGAATGGCTGAACACCAAAATTATCATGAGAAACTAGGCAATTTGATTTCTGGATGCAGTTTTTGTGCATTTTGAGACGTTTTTCAGGCGATGTTTCGTTAGAAAGCTACGATTTAGTTCAAAACTAATATCAAATTCGGAATCAGCGTTAAAAACTGAGTAGATTTATATATGTTGTGGATAGTTCTGAGAAAAATTGTTTTTTTTGAAAAATCCCTGTACTCCCCCTCAGGGATGGTCTGATCAAAAATGACAATTTTTTCGATAACTCAGCCATTTCTTGACGGATCCTTTTCATCTTCGAACTCGACCGAGACACTGATGAGACAATTCTGCGCACAAAATTTCAGCTCAATCGAATGTAATTGTGAAGAATTATCGAATAAACGGACGGCCGGACACACTGACCGATTTTAGTAGTGTACTCACTTTTTGAGTACACAAAAAGAATATCCTAAGTAATAATGAAATGGTATCAACTAGAAATTTCGTAGAATTATCAGAATAAACATGATTCATCGATTTCATGTAAGTCTCTTTCTTAAAGATATATTTTATTGTATAAAAAAAACTTCAAAATTCATTTCTTATGAGATCAATCATAGATACATGGATTTGTAATGAAGCAACAAAAAAAAAGAATATTTTAATCAGGATCAAAAAGTCGTTGTGCAACATCATTTACAAGCCAATCAATGCCTTCGAGAAGATTTTGACCAGTTAATGCCGAACATGGCATCACTGTCCAATGATGTTTATGTATGGAGTCCAGTTCCAATAATGTACGGATTTCGTGTAATGAACATGCTCCAACAATATCTTGTTTATTAGCAAATACGAGAAGAGATGAGCCCATTAAACGTTCTTCTTTGAGTAGTTCTTGTAGTTCAGCCCGACATTCACCTAATCGCATTTTATCAACACTGTCAACAACCCAAATAATTGCTTCAGTCGCTTCAAAATAGTTGCGCCAATATGATCGAAGCGATTTTTGTCCGCCTACAAGAAATAAATAAATAATAAACAATCGACACAAGTTTTGAATTAATTCTCTGATCTCAAAACAAATTCAGGATTCTAATCTAACAGACGTTTTATTGTTTAAAGATGGACGCATCGGAAATTCGCATGCTTTTTAATCAATGATAGCATTCGTAAATTAGGCACGTGAAATATTGTTATCTATTTAGACCTATTGAGAGACTGCGTTTTCATGTATCAAACTAATTATCACTGGCTTAAAATTCATTAGATCAAGAAAGTGTAAGATATTTTTAGAATAAATAGAAAATCCCATAATATCTTATTAATTAAGATGATAAAAAAAAAAGCTACAACATAAAAAGTGCACTAAATCATCCAACATTACAAAAAAATCTACATGTAGCTATGTCGAATTATTCTAAAACAATCAACATATTAGTAAATCTCCCAACCTACCCACATCCCAAACATTAAGTACATAATCAGCATAATTAAATGTTTTTATATTAAAACCAAGCGTAGGCGCAACAGAATCGATTTCTTCACCATTGATTCTCGATAAAATAGTCGATTTTCCTGCATTATCAAGTCCAACAAGTAGTAAACGCATTTCTTTTTCTTTTCGACGTAATTTTTTCAATATGCTCAATAGAACCATGATGCCTCTTTTTTCCCGACAATGAATGTAATTGATCTACAGTCACACATACACACAGGTAGAAAGAAACGAAATTAAATAAAGGAAATATTTTCTTTTTTTCGCAAATGAAAAAAAAAAGGAAAAATCCCGATAAAAGACACAAAATTTTTCATTGAAAGAGAATAAAAAGAACAATAAAGAGAGAGAGAGAGAGAGAGAGAGAGAGAGAGAGATCGAATTACTGCCAATATTTTGATGAATGGAAGATAAAAGCCAATTAATATCTATCAGAAATAAATACACAATAGAATTATTTGTCTTGTCATTGATTATTAAATAAGCAAACCTGTAATAATTCGGCTTGAATGGTCCAGCTTTATTGATGCCGAGATATTTGCATTGATCATCACTTAATTCTGTTAAATGAGCATCGAATGCAGGTAAATGAAGACTCGCAACATATTCATCTATGAAAAAGCATTCATTTTGTTAATCAGAAAAATGAATTAAGACAAAAATTTATACCCATTTTTTTCGGTAATAAATAAACATCACATTTATATCGATTGGGTGGAGCATTAAAAAGTTCAATCAAAGCCAATGCCTAAGAATTGTTGTTTTATTTTCAAATAAAAATAAAGATATATATATTATCTATTTCTCATACTTGAGTTGCAGCTGTAATCGAAACAACAAATGACGGTACACTTGAACAGCATAAATTCATGATTCGACCCTAAATTAGATCAACAATCAATCTTGTATTCATTCAAAAAAAAAAGAAATAAACGTCATGGGTACCTCAGCCAATAATACAATTCTTTTCCCATTGGGCCAAATAACATGATCCACATTGGTTCGTACCCGTTCTACTTGTAAATCACTTGTTGATGAGTCACGTAAAAAGCTCTTATAACAAGAAAATATTAAATGTCAATAATATGATTAAGTAATCTTGCTATTCACGTACAACATCAATTTCTGTATTCGAATGTCCCATATTACAAACGATGGCACCATTTTTAAGTTTATCCAGTGAATCTCTTGTTATTGTATTCTTACTTCCCGATGCAGTAACAACAATATCGACTTGTTTAATAACTTCTTCAAGACGAACAATTTTGTATCCTTCCATACTAATAAATCAAAGCAAAGTCATACATCATCGAAATGTATTCATTTTAAATTCATTGTCATACCATGCTTGTAATGCGCATATAGGATCGACTTCTGTTATATAAACAAAACAACCCATACCTCGCAATGCTGAACAACATCCTTTACCAACTTCGCCTAATAAAAAATAAAAACATGCGACAAATGCTCATCATTGACAAAATTGTAATAGGATTCCCTGATGATTAAGAAATATTAGCAGAAAATGTCAACCGGATTTTTGTTTTTGTAAAAAAAATAGTTGATTAGATTCGCTTCTAATGGTTGACATTCTATGGGTTTCGAATTATGAAATCATTGAAATTTAGAATAACAATGCAAAATACATCAATTTATTTGAATGGCTACGAACGTTTCGTAGATGGTTATTTAGTACAAGTTTCAAGGTTTATTATTTTTAATTACTATGAATCAGGACCGATAACAATATTAACGTAGATTAGACAGACACAGATATTAGCTTTTGTGCTGATGTTCTATAAAAATGGAATATAGAACGCAAGTTTCTATATTGACGAACACCGTTATTATTAAGAAAATAGAATTTTTTTTAAAATTTTATAAGCGTTTGCCAGAAGAATGTTTGCATAGAACGAATGACGTGAGAAAAAAAAGAAAATTAAAATTCTACATATGAAAGACATTAACCAAAACGAGAAGTCCTTGAGAACATTACTGTGTAACTAGATATAGACGAAAGAACGAGCAAAGTACTTTATTCTAATTTCAAAGAAATGCGTATGTCTGTCTGCCTGAATCATAGACAAATGATGTGATAACCCTCATCGATAAAAAATTTGATCTCAAAATGGCAAAACAAATGTCATTTCCAAGGACTCATTGAATAATAAGTACTGAATGGAGAATGCTTTTTTTTGCAAAAACATTTTCGGTGGAATGGTGATATAGAAAGGTTAACATTAGTCCATTATGACTGAATCAATTCTGAATACCATATTAATCATATATTCGCGATAGACTAGACTTTGGCTGCTCGCTATTACACGTAAGAAAATTACATTCATCATAGGCAACAAAAGAAACCATAAAATATTGTTTTTGACTTTAAAAATCTGTCTTTTATATCATTATTTTAACGTGAAGCGAGAGGAAAAAATAACTTGTCAAGGTGAAGTAAATATACTAATGAAAAATTACATTGTTGTTATAGACTCTTATTTATAATGAAATTGAGAACGCCTAAACATAGTACTCAGTAATTTCCGCACCAAAATACAAATAAATCTGGGTGTGAAATTCACGATTCGTCGATGACAACAGTTATTCGTGTGTCGCTGAGAATATTTTGAATGAAGAGGATTCCGGATGTCCTTATTTTTGACACTCGATTAAACAAAATGACTTTAAAATCCATTGTTTTCTATAAACATGGAATGTTATTGCATACAAAGGAAATCTTCATCAAAAACAGACAAAGAATATGCTAACGTTCATCAAAATTTCACTGACTAGATATTTTTCAACGTTGACATGTGAGAATAGGATTTTCTCAATCGTGCCGTAAACCATAGGCATGAAATTCATTTATCTGAGGTATATGGCAAAGTTAGAAGGAAGCAGAGTAGTATGTTTTGCGTGCTATATGGTAATGATGGGATTTAAAACAATTCTGTCTTATAGACTATCAGGCGACGAGAGACAGGCGACGAGAGAGAGAGAGAGAGAGAAAGTCATAGTTCTTTTCCCTCTATTTATGGACATAGCAAAGCTGCTAGCTACTGTCAATTCCATTTCATTTGGATTGCATTTATTCTTAGAGATATGTCAGTGTCAAAAAATTGAAGAACTAAATTTTTAACCGAATTTCAGAACTTCTGGGAAATTTTTCTCGTTGAATAAAATTCTTCTTCGAAGAGGGCTCCGATCGATTTCTTATGATTAATGCAACAATGGCTAAGTTCTTTAGGGAAATTATTATGATTATTCAAAAATGAAGCAAAGAAAAAGAAACCAACGAACCATATCCACAAACGACAACTTGTTTTCCACCAAACATGATATCGGTACACCGTTTAATAGCATCGATAATCGATTCTCGACATAGATATAAATTGTCAAATTTCGTTTTTGTCACACTATCATTAACATTCATAGCTGGTGCAGTTAATGTTTGTGTACGACACATTTGATATAAACGATGAACGCCAGTAACTGATTCTTCAACAATACCTTTGATTGTTGAAAATAATGTTGTAAAGTGTTTATGACAATAGTGCGTCAGATCTCCTCCATCATCCAATATCATATTTGGCTGCCACCCTTGATCAACGCCAATTGCTTTTTTAATACACCACCAAAAATCATCATCCGTTTCTCCTTTCCATGCGAATATAGCAATTGATGCTTCTGCTAGTGCTGCAGCTACTTCATTCTATATGTGAATGTGAATACCATTACAGGGAAAAAAGAAAACGGAATTTATTTATAAACACTTACTTGAGTAGAAAATATATTACAAGCACACCATCGTACTTGCGCTCCCAAACGAGTTAATGTTTCGATTAGTACCTATTTATTGTTATAGACTCGATATAAGAAGACGAAAACAGTCAATACGTACTGCTGTTTGAGCTGTTATATGAGTACAACCAACAATTTTCGCTCCTTGTAAAGGTTTATCACTTTCAGCTCGACGACGCAATGCCATAAGGCCAGGCATTTCTATAAATTTAAAATAATGAATGCTTTTTTTCTCAGTATTTCCGATAGTCCATTAAATATTCTCAAGATACTTTCTTTAGCAGAAATCATCAGTTTTTTGCTTTTCCTTATTACATTATACTAAACATACAAAAACTTTCGACGCTTTGACTCTTTTCCCTCTATGATAGTATTTATAGCTTAACAGCTTGTGGCAAGTCTATTATGGTTTTATTACCAAATATAAAAAGCATTTTTCATTCTATGTAAAGGATAATGATGTATTTTTAGTTTTAATCGATATAATATTGAGAAAATCTACTCAACTTGATTATTTTTACAATTCATAAAATTAGCTATTTCCATAAATAATGAGTAGAGTTTCATTCTTTTTTTCTCTCATTTTAATTAGTAAATACACGAACCTTGTTCAGCAATTTCAATTTCACGTCGACCATAGGGTGCCTGTTTTATACGGCGAACAGCAAACTCACCGAAACCAGATGAATTTTTCTATATTAGATTGAAAAAAAACATACATAATAGATGAGTCGTAATAAATATAATTGAATCTTACATGTTTCATCTCTCGTATATCCGTACCAGCACCATCTTCACCATCGCTATCGGTATCACTAGCAGTTGCTGTAAAATAAAACAGAGAAAAGTTATCCAATAGGAATAGACATGTTGTTTTTTTGGATATATTATCTTCTAGGAATACAAATATTTCTTATTATTACTATTAGTCATCAAAGAGTATTCTATATTATATTCAAAATTCTCACAGTATTGCTTTTGATTCTCTACTTCATTGGATTCGTTTTCATCATTAGAACCAATTGATGGTAAACGTGGTCGTTGTTGACAAGATGATTGTTGTTTTTCGAGGCCCGATGGATGCCGTCGTATAAGATTCTTATCAATAAATTGTACTGATGGACGACGATTTCTACGGCATCGGGCCTTTTCAAGATCTGATAAAGCTTCTTGATCGGGTTCGTATTTAGAATTTGACATTTGTTCAGTCAGGAATATGATATGCAGTCAAAGTAAAAAGTAAATCGTTGAGAAGACAAAGACGATAATAACAAAAATATATAGGCACACAGATTGATCGAATAGCGGAAATGAAGAGAAGGGCGAATATGAAAGGAGGTGTTTGTGTTTTTTTGTATGTCGTTTTCTCTGCGTCTGGTAGAAAGACGAGAAATGAGAAACAAAAAATGATACGAGCATATAACTTGCATCATACATCTTTTCTTGGCCTGTTTTTTCCTATTCTTTGCTTTTCTTCTTTCTCTCTAATGCATTTAAAGGCATGATGATTGAAGGGGAAATAGTGGAGAGAAAATACGCTAAATAGAACTCACACACATCTTCCGAAGCATTAGTCGCAGAAGAAGAATCATCATCTGGTGCTATATGCGGTGTTGCTGCGAATTGAATAAATTTTTTATCAAGAAATTGAACAGAGCGACGACGAGTACGATATTGTTCTTCATTTGCATATGCTGGAGTGGCAGATTGGACTGAGATCGTTTCAACCGAATCAAGTTGTTCATTTTTTTCATCAGGATTTAGATTTGTAGTATCATTAATGGTACGCACTAGAATGCTACGACGAACTCCATCGGATGATTGGGAATGCGGACGTCGCGAATGATGATGTCCACCATGAGAATGAAGCGAAAATAAATGTTTAAACGACATATGTACGGTGATAGTTCTTTAATTTTGATGATTGTTTAAAAGAATCGAAGCAAATAAATAGTACGCAGTTTTATGCAAAAATAAATCTCATTTTTTTCTTACAAAACTAAGAACAATAATAAAAATAATGCAAATAAAACTCTTTTTCGTTCTTTCTATCTTAATGTTTCTCTCTTTTTTTGTTGTTGGATTATTCCGAGCGGATGAATACATCGATAATAATTCTGATTTTCTTTTACCAATATGGCAGCGCACTTGTACGATTTTCTTAATGTCCTTCGTATGAACTACAAAAAGCTACGTGTGTTTTGGAATAATAACTTTTGCGCGTTTAATATGTAAACACGTAAAAAGCTTAGGAACCTTTTTCCTATGCCAATATAAAAACAAACCAAAAATTCGTATTTCTTGGTGATTTTATGGGTTTTAAACTTGATTGGTCGATTATTCTTTCGATTTGTTGTTTTAATACTTACCTACTGGTTGTATTGTTACTGTTGGTGTGGGTTGTTCAACAGTTGAAAAACGTCTTTGAATGATATTAGAATTCGCACGTGATCGATAGTAATATGGTGTCAGCGAATCAACAGTTAATTCATTCGGACTTGTTTCTTTTTTTAACGGGTGATACATTGTTGTGACATTATTAAGATCAACATCGACCAACGAAGTTGAATAGATGCCTGGCACAAGTTTTGTTAAACCACTTTTATCCATAAGGATACGTTCCAGAATCAAATAAAAACCGTGTAGTAATACTTATGATGATCTGGTTATAAACAACAACCATCACGCAAACATTGGAATGAATGACATTCACCAGTCGCAATTTGTATTACATCAATCTCTCTTCACACTTTGCATTTTATCTTTCATCATCATTCCAACACAAAAAATCGAATGCCTACCATCATGGCATTATCTTTCTCATCCGTTCTGTTTCAAATATATATATTTATATATACAGACAGAAAAGGACGATCATGTTTTATGATGCACTTAACAACAAAAAAAAAGAGCTACGTTCTGGAATTCTCTATGCACCTATCGAGTTCTATTCTATTTTATATATTACACACTTACTTCCTTCAGACAAGACCGAACTTTGTGAATATGAATATTGCCGTCGTGTTGTTGGATCAAGACATATGCGATGCTAAAAAACAAAACGAAACAGTTCGATTATAGATTTCAAAGTCTTTGAAAAAGAAAGAAGACAATATGCAAAGGTAATTGTTTGAATATTGAAAGAAACAACATAACTTATATTCTCAGTCATAAAAATATCGTAACCTTTTAGCTTATAAAATAAAATCCGTAGTACATTGCTAATTGATAGAATTTTTTCATATGTGTGCGATTCGATCGATTAGAATAAGTTTTGATATCAATGAAAAATCAGTTCGTTTATTGAATAATGATTTTTTAAATATGTTTTCCAACATACTCTTTTTTTTCTATTTAAGTTTTTCTGATTTCTGCCTTGATGAAAATTTCATATACTTCTTCTAATTTATACATTTTACAGATGTTAAAAAATGCAAAATGTTTCAAGTATATGTAACGACCTATCTTTGTTCGAGATCTGGTGCCCTCCACAAAAATTAAAGTGAAGTGCCTGTACTCTTCAGGATTTTATACTGGCAACAGCTGATGATGATTTCGATATGATATAGATCAAACGTATTTTAAAGCCCTTCATCAACCCTTTAAAAACCATAGAAAAGTCATTTGGCATCAGGTAGTTTTCTCTAAAACTAGTCAGAATATGCAAATATATTCGACTATGAATAGAAGTTTTGTGTTGAAACATAAAGCTGAAGTTCATCGAACTGGCGGGCATGACAAATCAAAAATATATCGAAGCGGAACAATATTTTTATGCATATTTTTATATGATAATGGATTTTTAAACAGTTTCAGTTTATACAATATAAAATGTAAAGGTACCCAGAGTTTTCCTCTACTATGCTTACATATATATATATATATGGGTGAATCCATGGGGGCCATTCCACTTTTCTGGAAAAAATTTTTTTCAGTCGAAACTTCCGGTATGCTGTAGAAAACGTGTTTGATTAAAAAAAATATGATCCTGCTAGCGGAAAATATCGAGTTCTGGTTGATTTTTTCGGAACGACTATGGTTTATTGTCAGACAAAGGGAAAACGTCAGGAAAACACCTGAAACTTCTCTAAAAATATCTTTTTCAGAATTTTTCATGCTGAAAAATACGAAAGCTGCTTAGAAACACTTTAGATGGAAAAAAATTAGACCATTGAGTGTGGGTGTGGGTGTTGCTGTTCTAACTGCTTCACCCACACCCACACCCTCAAGCATTTCGATCAACACACATCAGGGCATTTACATTTAAATCAATTTCTTTTTTATGTCGATTTCAATGTACCAGATTTTGTGGAATGAAAGTTTAACAGTGATATTCAGCTCTTCAACACATCGGAAATTTTTCTTAGTTTCCTGAGGGTGTGTGGGTGTTGCTGTTCTAAGTGCTTCACCCACACCCACACCCACACCCTCATCCTGAACATCATTATCTTTATCACTAGTCTAATGAAAATCCTTCAAATAAATCAGTGTCACTCAGTATGATAAACGACAGTTATCGTTATTTTCAGAGGAAACGACTCAGAACTCAAGACTTCCAATAGGAATGGTCTAATTTTTTCCATCTCAAGCGTTTCTAAACAGCTTTCGTATTTTTCAGCATGAAAAAATCTGAAAAAGATATTTTAGAAAAGTTTCAGGTGTTTTCCTGACGTTTTCCCTTTGTCTGACAGTATACCATAGTCGTTCCGAAAAAATCAACCAGAACTCGATATTTTCCGCTAGCAGGATCATATTTTTTTTTCATCAAACGCATTTTCTACAGCATACCGGAAGTTTCGACTGAAAAAAATCTTTCCAGAAAAGTGGATGGGTCTCCATGGATTCCCCCATATGTCTCTAATTTTAGTGCTAATAGTAGTTTTTAGATTTTAATGCTTTCAAAAATAATCGTCTACATTCGAGTTTGACCTCAAATAAAATATTAGTACTTTGAATGAATAATTTAATATTAGTCAGTTTTGAACGTCAATTGTTATAGAAATAAAGAAGAACGTAGTAAATAAAAGATCAAGCAAAAATACTGCAATTATTTTTTAGTTTAAAAAACCCACTGCATTTTTTTGCGCAAACAAAAATTTCATTTAGAACAAAATCAACATATTTAAATAACTACTTATTTAACCGGTAAAATTGGTCGATTCAACAATTTTCGTTAATTTGCGCAGGAATTAGTGAAACTACTGATTCTCAGACCAATTATCATAAGAGCAACAGGAAGTTTTCGCACTTCTTTTATAGAGAGAAAAAATATAAGTTCATAAAATATAACACTTCTGACGAGAACTTGATGAGAGGATCTAGTTCAAATTGTAATAAAATGTCACTTTTTCTCCCGGAACAGAACTATTTTGTTTCATAGATTGTATCCAAATTGTTATAGTAATTAACTGTATCTTCGGATTAGTATTGTTTAGAACACTTGTTCATAGTCTAAAGCTTTTGTTTAGTGTTCGATTATTAACAAAGAAAAAGTATTGATGTAAAAGTATCAATAATTTTTCTATGTCGTAACACTATAATATTTCACAAGGAACACTTATTACTATTCATATGGCTTTTTCTGTTCATTTTAAAATTCAACGATAAGTTATTTTCTAGTAACATATATATATATATATTTAAGAGATTCGAATCTACTATCACTTAGCAAAGTCTTATTATATAGTTTATGATGGTTAGTGTACCTTTTCAACTTTATAGTCTGATATGAACAAATTTTTTGTACTAAGTTTAATCTCAACCGACAAATGCATTCATCAATTATGATTAGATCTAAAAAATGATACAATCTTCAATAGGAAGATTATTATCTATACGTGCTACCGTCAACATCAATTGACATAGATCAATGTCAGATTTGACATTTGGCTCACTAGGTATCCAACGAAGGAGGTAACTCCGTACTAAAACTCGACTTTATTTTCTCCACATCGACCTTTTACTTTAATTCATATTAATGGACTAGCGACCGAGGGGAAAATGTGATTATAGGGTGATAGAATCATTGGAATCAACAGAATCACTGAGATTCTTCAGTGAGTTCTAGTGGTTCCGGGATGATTCTACTGATCCCGGGTGATTCTACTGATTCCAAATGATTCTACTGATTTCGAGCGATTCCATCGATTCTAAATGATTCTGGTGATTCCAATGCTCTGGATTCAGTTGTTTTCATCTTGATTACAATTAGGTTTTCATTCTGAACACGAATCTGATATTGGTTTCTGTTTAGTCATAAAAAATCAAAGAAACAACAATTGATTTTATAGTACTGGAATCACACAGAATCAATGGAATCGCGGAATTATGGAATCAGCTTTTCCCCCCTTACTAGCGATGGCGATGAATGTAAACTTTCTATGACAAAAGAATGATTCGGTGGATGTTATGATCAATCAAACTCACCACTATGCTCAATGACTGGGAGAATTTTAATTGAATAGACGAATTAGATAACCTTACGAGAAGTCTCTCTAAAAGCTTTCTTAAATTCATACACTCAAATCAACTTTTAACGATACTAATAAGACTCCTATTGTTGTCCTCTCAACTAATCCAAGCGAACCTAAAGACGACGACATCAATCTATAGAGAAACTCGAGTCTTAATTCAAGTCTTCTACTTAATCCTATATTTCATCTTATTTTATTGTATATGTCAACATATAGTTTTATGTTAAAGGCGAAATAGTTCTATCATTACTCGTGCAAAAAAAAGGATATCGTATACTTAGCAATAGAATAGTAAGACGAAGAAAAAGCTATTTACGTTACTGTAAATATCCTTTACGATTTATGTATTCCTATTTTGTTACTATGAATAAAAATTTGCTGCTATCAGAAGCAAAAACAAATTATGGTATTTGTTAAATATTCAGAAAGTAATTTGATTTCTAACATCCAACATTAATCAAGGGAACAACAAATCTAATAAGTAGATTTCTCTTCTTTTCAAGACTGCAACATATATTCTTATCTCACTTTCGCGTCTTTTTATTCAGCATAATATAATTATTTATGTTATTTCTTCTTTTTTATTCTTATCTATTATAAGCAAAAAAACGAAGAAAAAGACAGAAAACGCCTTCAAAGAATGATTCAAGCTGATTGTGATTATTCTTATATTTTACTCATTTTCATTGATGATCATCAAATATGAATCACAATAGACGTCACAGTTTGAAACCATATGACACTTATATAAATCCTTGTGTTCTAGTACGTTCTTTTTTTTACATTTGATTGCACTACGACCTCCTTAAACCTTACAACTGGTTCGATAAGTATAAAAAATAAATTGAAAAAAGAAAAGAAAATTTTTTTTTTTTATGTCAAATGAAATCATTTGAAAGGAAGAACGATTATTGATGGTCGAAATAAATTGAATAAAAAGAAAAGCGTATCAAGAACTATTAAATTAGTTTACGAATCGACTCATGATGAATCAAAAGAGATTACAAACAAGCGGCGATCTTTGTTCGTGCTTATCCTCACCGATGCATACTCATGAATAATAAAAAAACTCTCGCGAAATAGTTAAAAGCTACGTTGAGACCATTAATATATGCTACTGTAGTAATAAGGACAAACTTTGAAGATGAAATAAGATCAACAGATCTTGTAAATATGTATATACACCCACCGAGTGTCGACCATTTTCATTATTGGGCATTGTTGTAATCGATGTTAAATCGTTCTCTGATTCTTCTGATTGTATGGAGCTTGGTGCGTCACGTCCATCGAGGCTCAACACTGGTAAAATACTATGCGATTTATTTTGAGGAAGAGGCGCTATTTGTGAAACGCTTGGAACATTAGGAAAATGTTTTGTTTCACTTGATGTACTGAGTGATGGTGTCGGGTTTTTTGCTGGCTTTCGCTTGTTCTTACTTGAACTTTTGAATCCAAACATATTGATTGTTTAAACTGAAATTGATTTGCTTTTTTCTGATATTTCTACAATATTAATGAACAGGCTTGTGGATTCGACATTTTTTGACTTGTATGATCATCATCACAATCCTATATATATATATATATATGCTTCTAACACAAACAAGCAGACGTAGAACATAGACACACGCGTTCGCTATGTCAACTCTTCTCGTTCTTGTTCTCCTCTCTATTTTCTGTGCTTTTGGTTTAGAACTGTCTGCTCAGCATGTATCATCAAACAGCGGACGAAAGCACGGCCGGCCGCTTTCTTGCTCGATGGGGACGAACGAGAAAAAAGAGAGAGAAATTGAGAGCGATAGAAAAGAACAAGAGAAATGTCGACATGAGGTCGTGTAAGAACTGCAAAGAGAGAGCGAGAGGAAAAAGACAGAACACACAACATACAGAGAACAATAGCTAAACGTTACGAGCATCATAGCTAAAATGGACCAAATCAATAGAATTTTATTCGCCGAACGGCTATTGCCTTGGTGTAGACTTTTTTTTACAAGTGCATATTTTCTTCATAAGACCCCAAACAGACCAAAAAAATAAAACAGAATTAAGCAACGTGATTGGTTAATTCACACTTAGGTCATCTTTTTGAGACGATTTAGTGGTTAATTCTGTTTTATCTTTTTGGTCTGTTTGGGGCCTAACTGTTGTTTCGATTATTTAAAACTCATCATTTAAAAAAACAGCTGCACATTTCATTGAAATTCAATGTATAAAATAAAACAAATATAATCAACTGTCATGCGTGTATGTGCACAGCTGATAAGACAACTTAAAAAAAGAGAACATATATGCATGCTTCGCCCTGACAGGTCGAGCAAATATTAAAACGAGAATAAACCAAAAAAAGGAAATCATCTGATGAAATAATTTCACGTTTGACGTATAACTTGCAACGTGAATAACAAGAATGAATAAAAATGAAAAAGATGAATAAGAAACACTGAATACTATTTTACCTCAGTTAAGGAAGTTTGTTTTGCTATTGTTTTTCGAGTTGATACTGCTTTTGTTGAATGTCTTGTTGGTGCCCGACGACGTATTTTAGCCAGTTCATTGTCTCCGTCGTGTTTCCTATCGATATCATCATTATCTTCTGAAACCAATCGTTGAAATTCAGTCATAGGTTGAGAAATTGGTTCGACGTCTTCGGATTGTAATTGATTCATTGTTCTATAACAAAGTAAAAAAGCAAAAATAATAAAAAACAAGTTCTCTGAAAAATAGAAAAAACACAAATCAATTTCCTCGCAATAAAATATTTTGTTTTATAGGCAAATAAAATTAGTCTTGCGAATATTGAGTAGCCTTGCGGTATATGTTTTTGTGAGAGACGGATAAACGCTTATTTAACGACTAGAATATGAAAGAAAAACAAAGCAAACGAGCAAAAAAACTGGTTTACTTAAGCATCGTAGGAAAAACAGCATTTTTTTCAAGCTTGGCTAATGAGAACAAATATAATACTAAGAGAAAGTATCATAGTCCATTGATGATGCCGATGGGCTTTTCTTCATAAAATCAGAACACTTAAATACACTGAATTTACTTATATTTCCCAAAAGCAACATTATTTCGATGACTATATATCTCAGCAGCTTTACTACGATATGACCCTATTAGAAAACGACAGGTCGCTAGTGTGTAAACCACTAGAAAAGAAAAATTAGAACGCTATGAGCGATAGAAATAAAACAATAGCGTGGGAGCCTAACCTATGAAACATGCAACTTTAGCAGAAAAAATAATCTAGTAAATAGCAACAGCAGAAGCATCCTTTTTTTGATCGTGAAGTTCTTAATTAAGCTAGATTTATTTGAAAGATGGATTTTCTTTTCTTTTTCATGTAACCTTATCGAAGTCTGCCAATGATATATTGTAAGCATAGCGCAGATGGGGAAAAAATAGAGTGCAAATAACAAAAAATATATATATTTATATGTTTGTAGTCCTATTTATCAAAGTCGCACATGTAAATGATTTTTCATCCAAGTATTCGTCTTATGGTGCTGAAGAAGCCAAAGAAAAGAGTCCAGTTTTAACTAGACTCATTTCATCTTCGTCCAATTTTCCTACAAAAGTGATAGCAATTACTTTGATGATGATGTTTTTGTTTCGTTTTAATTTTTTTCTCTTTTACAAATTAATGAATATGTTTTACCTCGTTGATTGCACTCCCGAAAAAAGGTAACTACAGCTTGTTCGACTAGTCGACTATGAGCATGAATAGTATTATTCTGATTGCTATTTATATCCATCATTTCGTCCACTGGAAATTTTCGTATAGAAAAAAAAGAGGAATATCTTACGTAAAATTAAAAAATATATAAAGTGTAATTCATCGTACGTTCACTTGAAAGCGTATTCGCATCATATGCTGTTGAACTTCTGCTTTTATTATCTAGATTGAAGAAGAAGAAGAAAACAAAATAACTATTTAGTCATTACGACAGTTTTATTTTAATGGGTACCTGCAGAAAAATTTCGAGCGACAAGTAATTGTGCAGTCATACGTTGAGCCCGATCAGTTTTTATTAAAGCAAATAAGCGTGCATGTAAATCCTGAATAGAAATAAAGTCCACTTTATATTTATTTTGCAAATATATGTTTCCGAAAAATATGTTGATTTGTTCGATGCAAGAAAAATATGCTACAGTTACCAATTAAATGTTCTTTTTTTATCAGGAAAAATAACTTGCAATAAACAAATACTTTAACAGCAAATATGTTGTTTTTTTTTGTATATAAAAACTCGTCGATCATCATTTATATTAGACAGATGATAGTTATACATAAAAAGACATTCGTAGCAATAATAAAAAAAGAGAAAATCTAGGCAAGTCATGAATTTCAAATGAATTCATTTTATTAATAAAAAAATTTGACATATGATCACAATGATCTACCTAAACCTTCAAACCAGACGGTAAAATAAACAAAGCTTGCAAAAGTCTGAATCGCTTAAGTGCCTCGTTCAAATTGCAATACTAAATAAATATTTCATATACAATTAGGATGATAGCTGAATGCCATAATTAGATGAAGGAAATTTGTTGAAGTCATTATTCGGTATAGATAAAGGCGCTAAGTGTGTTCATTAAAGAGCCTACATTAATTTAAGTGAAGAACAAAGACAAGAAAACTAAAACTAGAGTTCATTTAATATTGCAAAGACCGTTCATAGAGACGCCTACTAGTATAGAAAATAATTTCAAAAGCACCGATTCTCTTCAAGAAGATTTGTTTTTACTCAAATTTTTATATGTTTTTCGTTATAGATTTGACAATATGTAAGAAGAAAGGTCAAATTTCATATAGGAACAATGTTCTTTTGTTTTACTGAAAGTACGATTACTATCTCTCGTTGTTGTTCACTTCAACATAATTATTTTTGTAATACTTCGAATTTCCCACGATACATATTTTCGCCTGACACACCACTTAATTCTTATTGTTTTTTTAGCATGAAAATATTTTACTCATAAGTTCATGCTCGCTACTTTTGTCTTTCACTCTGTAAATAAACTTCTACTACATCAGTCCTTTCATGATTATCAGCGTTTTTCCCTACTGACTGTTATTGAGTTTTAATAAGATGCATCGCGTAGATATCAGTTATCGTCGTGCATATATATAGTCATGTACGACAACAAAAAACGGATAAAAATGACACAGCTAGAATAATAGATAACGTGTTTTCTCCAATCGTATAGTGTTACTCGGCTCTGGTACCTTCCGGCCGGAACTCATGGGAAATCTTTCGTTTCCGACAGGAAGATTCCCGGTTAACGGTAGAAACTTCGCTACAGGAATATTAAGCGACTAGTTTTATTTGATTTCTACTACAACTGAAAACAATTCGACAATGCAATCTCGTTATTGAATTCTTGCTTTTATGCTACTATTATTTTCCTATGCTATAAGATTCGTCATGGGAACCATTTATCTGTATTTAGAACATTCATATTTTCCTCCGGCTACTAGAATGACGTTGTCATTTGACACAGATTCCTTTGCAAATCAATACTAAGAGTTTGGTGCCATTAACGATCAGACATATCATCTCATGTTTCTGTTACACTACATTCTGGCTATCGCATTCTATGTCTTCTAAAGACTTCGAAAATCGAGATTAGAAGCCTAGTTTCTGTATTACTACTAAGTCAAAATCCACTGTGTAACATGTTGAAATCAGTTAGCGCGATGAGCTCTACGCAAGTAAGAAATGCACTCCAACATTCTACCAGCATGAACTGCACTGCGAACTAATGATGTCAACAAAGAAACATGATGATAGAGACCAAATATTGTCTGTCATAAAATGAAGTAACAACAACTGACAATACGATTACTCAATCAACACATCTGGTTGCAATGAAAATCTTATCAAATCAATGGACTCCATATTTCAAACACATGCTGACAAGATTCGATTAGCTCTTTTGTCTTCGAACAATGTTCATCAGATCGAATTTAGATTGTGCATTAATGAAAAAGCATCTGAACTTTGTTCTGATTAAATTTTCCTATTTGACAAAAAAGAATCCGATTTATTTTTCTCATACACTCATCCTATTCTATTCGAACGCACTAATGAAAAAAATATTTTAGTTGTAATCAAATATTGTTTTCTTTTACCCCATTCGTATTTGGTAACATAAAAATAAGTTGTTCTTTGACTGTATATGATTTTGGTTCATCATCTAATTCTAGAAAGAAAAAAGAAATTTGACTAAATTAATTATTTTCTCCCAAGATTTCTAACCCAAAATAATTCGTGTAACAAATTCTTCCGTTAATATAAGAATATTTTGATCGATTGCAGCAACAAATCTATCAAATGGCATAACACGATATGATAAATCAAGTAATGTTCGTTGAAGTTCTAACAGACCAACAAAGAAACCAAGAACGATTTATTAGAAGAAAAAACAATCATCTACCTTCGGTCGGTGAAAAACCAAGTTCATCCATAGCTAAATATAACTTTTCAATTACTACCAAAAGTGGTCTATATTTTCCCGATGATTCTCTAAAAGAAAAAGGAGTATGTAGCATAGGATTTTTTCAAATAAAACATGCCCGTATTCTTCAGTCACTGGTAGACAATCCGTTGTAGCTAGAGTATCACGCTACTTTTGAATATAACGGGTGTTCCATAATGAATGGCCAGCTCAGTGTTTTCTGAATAGCTCCTTCATATTTTATTCTCTAGGCTTAAATTCCTCCACAAAGATCCGCCATTCAATTCTCTACAAGACTTGTATTACAAGCTTTTCTGCCGAAAGGTAAGTGAAATTTTTTTTAGAAAGGAATACTAAACACGTATGAAAAGATCGACTTTCCAAGTCATTTTTTTAATAAACTTCGGAATATTTTTCACGGTTACATACACAATGAAACCAAAGTGAAGGTGTTTCTGAGTACTTTGAAGTGTGCTCTTTCTCTACATGTAGCTCAAAGTCCGTTGAAATCGTATTGAAGATCATAAAAATCTTATTCAAAATGGCTAAAATACAATATTTGTCGCCACCTGAATTGAATAAAATAATTAAAGGCTACGTTTCCTCTCCGAATCTGATATAGTAGTCATTTTCCACCAAAATGAAAACAGCTCGAACCCAAACGATGCTATTTGGACTTAGTTATGCCTCCTTTTTCAGGAGTACCGAAACCGCCGTTTGAAAAAGCTAAATTCTCGAAACTTTGAAAGAAAAGATGCACGTAGTACCCCGTAAGGATGAGTGCTGAAATTTTCTAATTATGATCTATCAATCGAGCTTTTCAAGGGCTACCAAATTACTATATTGTTTATTTTGTGTTTCGTCAGTGGCTAACGAAAATCTCTGAAAAAACTATTTTTCAGCTTTGAGAGTTGATCTTTGTATACGGGTTGAATATTCCCTTATAAGAATTTTTCTCTTAGCTTTGAACAAAAAAAACTTATAACACAAATCTTGTAGAGAATTGAATGGCGTATCTTCGGAGGAAACGTTAAATCTAGTGAATAAAAAATGAAGGAGCTATTCAGAGAACATTGAGCTGGCCATTCATTATGGAACACTCGTTATATCTTCAGAATTTCATTTTAATATTAAATTAACTGATGGTTACAAAATCATTATGTTTATGTATATAGAGATGATTTTTGTAAACAGAACGACGCCATTGGAAAAGTATTTTGAATTTCATCGACAATACAGATTTGTACATTTCAGAAGTGTAATTTTAGAAGTTTTGAAACAACATTAGTTTAAAAGTAAATTCTGACTGCGAAACCAGAGAGAGTGAAACCTTATGAGTCGAACCAGGTGTCTTAAAGCGATAGAAAAATCAATCAATATGAGCCGCGTTGATTTTTGCATTATATGAATAGAAAAAAAATTGCATATTTTCATACTCAGTATCGATTAATCCTTGTGTTCGCTTGAAATTTGCAAGACCAGTAAATAATTCAATTAAACCATTGCATTGATTTTGCTGAAATTCAAAAGAAGAAAATACCCTAGAAACATTGAATAATTGTAATCCATACTGTAGCTTGAACGTATTCAAATGCAAGTTCTTTAACTCGTCCTTGTTCCCAAGTCGGGTGAAGTTGTTGAATTTCTCGTGAAACGCCATTGAAAAGCTGAAACAAAACCATAAAATAAATAGAATCATATTTTTTCTCTCTTCTTACATATTTGTTTTTTGCATCTAATAATATAAAAGATTTAGAATGTTCATTTGTATTACGATCGGGTGTTGTTGGCAATGTTGAACTGACAAAAAAAGAAAAGAAAAGAATAGTTTTCTTTGAAGAATTTAAGAAAAATATTGAACCGTTTCATTCCAAATGAAAAGCGTCCGGTGCCTGGTGATCCGCGTTCTGGTAATGGTGCTGGTGTTGCAGCTGCAATATCATTTTCCTCCATGTTTGTCATTATTGGATGATAGTATGACAATTTATGACGATATTTACGAGCAAGATCAAATGAGGATCGAAGTTTATCATGATATTCTTTATCAATATTTGTTATACCAGTATGTTGCGGGCCATTTTCGCGATGATGAGCAAATGAATGAATTGATACCTATGAAATTCTATTTGCTAGATTGATTTTATTTGAGTGTAGTTTACTTCTGTATTATTTGTATGACGCTGACTGACTGTTGTTGCAGGAAAAGCCAAGACATATTTATTGTGATGAATTCGTTTTGAAAGACGCATGAAGATTAATGCTAAAGTTAGAAAACAAATGTACAAATACAAAAATAAGCTTTTCTATCTAAATGATAGTTTTTATAGTAAAGTTTTTAATAGTAGTAGTATTCTAGAATAGCTTTCGGCTATGATTGGATTCTCTGTCGATTTCTTTCTATGAAATTCTCCATATGAATGTCTTGACACCAGAAGTATCAACAATATTATTATCTCTTTGTCTAATCTAATTTTGGTAGGAAAATTTTCACTGTCGAATAAATGATTGCGAAAAACAAATTTATGAAACAATGTTGAACTACAATTTCTGTGCCGAAAACACACATTTTCGAGTCATTTTACAACAGACAAGAGAAAATCAGCGTTTTATCCAGGCTTTCTTTTACGTGGAGCGATATAAAAACTGCAGGTGGGCGACTTTAGAAACTTCATAAGGATCTATTCAATTTTCGGCGCTTAGCTTCTAGCGCACTAAATAAAATACTCGAAAGTAAAATCATACTTTATTATGTACGCAACGTATTTCGATTTCCTTAACAATAGGCTGTAATTACGCTCGAATTCATTTATATTCAAGAGATAAATAAAAATATTTTTGTTTGTCTATATGGAAGTACATTTCTTCATTTTTCTTTCACTTATTTTTTCAGAAGTGGTTTACTACGCATAAGTTTTGTATGACTAGACTGGTGTCATAAAAATTTAACAATTCATTTCCAACATAATATTAATTATCTCCTTAAAAAAGGTAACTTACCAGTAAGAATTTCTTTGATATACGCTTTTGTATTCAAATCATCGTACATAACGAATAAAATATGGTGCAGTATTTCTGCTACAATAGCATTATTATTAGCGGCTACTACTCCATAAGCAATAATTGACTCCACTGTAACTGGTGAAAGTGTTCGAATGAGTTCATCAGGATTTATTTTAATCGTGTACGTAGAAATATTTCTCTTTTCATAGAGCAACGTTGATGTTTTCGTAAAAAGTCCACGTTGTGTTGTATATTTTGTATCATATGGTAAACTATTTGAATCATAAGGAATAAAAAGATGATTAAGAAAATTTAATTGAACGTTAAAATTAAGTAAATGAATAAATTCGCCGCGTAAAGCAGCAAAAACATAATCTCCATCTAAATATAAAGTTCATACATAACTTATAAGAATTTAAAAAGAAAAACAGAGTCTCAAATTTACCAATGAGACCAAAATGAACTCGACGAGATTGAAATATTTCCCAATGCCCTTGCTGTAATGATTTCGATAGATAAAGACTTCGACCTGAAAAGATATTTATTTAGTTTCCAGAAAAAAAAACAACAATAAATCGATTGTTGAACAGACCATGGCCAAGTGAAACAACTGCGTATTCAACTTTTTGACTTTCTTCCTTGAAAAAAAGGATTTTTACTATGAAATATTCAATATTAAAACATTTATTTTACTTTCATTGTTGATTGCCAACAAAGAAAAAGACTTGTCTCACTGGAAAGTATTTCGAAAATCAATTGGCTTGATGCAGGTTCTAAAAATGAATTCTATATATTTTAACAAAAACTAAAGTGGGTGCAACAAGTTTAGAGACGACGTATTTTTGACACTTTTCCTAAACACTCTAAGCTAGAATTAGGCAGAGAAAGGTCTAAGTAGATGAGAAAAATTTCCTAGCACGAGAAATAGTTTTAAATAATAACATATCTCACAACTCTTTATGATCTCTATTGATGTATATACGAGCTCAGCGTGCGATATATACTGCTTATAGGTCTATTATTTTTATTGAAGAAATATCTTCTGTATTAGATGAGTTTGTATGCAAAACTGTGTCAATAGAATCGAGAGTACGGGAGTTAAAATTCCTGATATAGCAAATGGTGTTTAACCAAATACGATAACAGTAACTTAACAAGTACCTCTACTCACGATAGATCAGTTTCATGAATTAGATATTTACCCGGTAGTTTAAAATCGAAATCAATTTTCATCTAGAATTAAAGAATATTAAATTTGATTCATAGAGAAATCGACTTACAATATTATCGAATTGGCCTCTAGCATTTATGGTAAAAGCTTTATAGACCAAGGCATCAAATTCGGTTGTTGGCGTTGCTTTTATTAATCCTGGCTGACGTGTTTGTATGACGTGTAATCGTTGTTGAATTGTATCCCATTGATAATAAATGCAGTTGCTTATTTGTGCATCTCTATCAACAACATAGGCTTTATCCTATTAAATTGAAATAAAAAACAAACATTTTTTTCCTCCAATCTGTATATAACATACCAAAGCATTGCCACTATTAGGCATTCGAAATAGAGTGACGACTAAATAAAATAAAAATATTACCTATGATTTTTTTTTTGTTCTAAATTAATTTCAAACCATCACGATTAAGTAACAAAATAACATCGTTAGGTGCGAAATAGGCTCGGATTGAACTGGAACGTGGAAATTTAAGTGAAAATAAACGTCCTGAGTTTGATGAACCAATTTCAGCGACAAATACATCAAAAGCATATGATTCTGTAAAGACAAAAACAATCATATTAACGAGTCTGTTCCTTTTAGTGATAAATCGAAGTTAAGCACATAGCCCGAACCCAAACGAACTGAGTATCTTGAAAAGAGCTAGCAGTCGAATCAGATTAATTCTGAGATGTCTTACTTTCACAATATTTTTTTTCAGTGCACGCCACCGTTTCTTTAGGGTGAAATGCTTTTCGACTACTAAATCGCACGAGAAGTTATGCCCGTGAAATTCTGTTTCTATACAAAGTTTCAAGTAGACATCATCAACAGAATTTACTGGTGAAGAGATTATGACATTTGTTTTTAAGATAATACTGTAAACGTAAAACATCTCTGCAATAATCAGATAAGATCGTGAGATCTGTTTATAATTGTATATATATTCTCAGCTAAATAGCCATTGATCAGTTAGAGGAATTTCCTCTTGCGAACAATTTCCCAAAAAAATATTATCATTTGAACAATTTATCACAGCTAACCTGAACGTGTTACAAAGCCTATATTAGTATATTAGATATTGTTTTGGCAAACAAAAATATACAATCGAATAGAAAATACATTAACTTACAACATAATGATCGTGATGCATTAATACTGGCATGTGTGATTTTGACGCATGATGGATGGCGATGATAGATCTTGCAAAAATGATAATAGAATAAAATTCAATTTCATATTTATTAAATTGAAAAATAATTACTTTTTGATCACCGTCCATTAAGTCAACACCGCCGATGATTGATCGTGGAGTCGATGAATTCTATTTTTTATAAAATACTAGTAAATAAATTGGAAGAAAACAAAAACACTCGTTACTCGAGAAAGAGTTGTCGCAGCAAACAATAAAATACAGCCTTGGTCCAAGCCAAGTATGGATACATTATCCATATCATTGGTAGATATACCTTTAAAACAAAACAAAAATTCCAATTAACTAAATGAATGTAGATAATTACTATACGTATACTTTTTTCTAATTGTTTTACTGCAAGAAGAACCATTTTTAATAACCTATTATCAGTAACTCAAATGCAAGTAAATGGACGCGTTGTTGTTTTCGTCACCAATGAATCATACCACACCTTTATTGACTGGCTTCTAGTTTTCGTTGATATGCCAACACTTCTACAGATGTCACACACATGCTTCTAAGATTTAAATCAAAGAAAATGATGCAATCAAGAACAGAGTTAACACTTGCATTCAAATATAAACTTAGAAGAATAGGAGTTGTTTGCTGCACCTAAAAAAACGTTTCCGATGTTGAATGTAATAGTGTGAAAAAATGAGCATAGTAATCATTTCTATTTTTATTTTATCAAAAAAAAAGAAAAAAACTAATCTTCTGGTTTTTGCATATGCATAACGAATCGTAAGATAATGATAATTACGAAAATCTTCAAAAGAAATATCGATCCGTTTTTATTTACACATTCATTGTGTGATAGTAATAAAATAAAGATATTTACAATTTATGTAATTTAAAAAACTAATAAAAAATTGAATATGAAATACTTAACCAATGAAAGAATTTTTATATTAGAAAAAAACTTTTCTATGATATTCGACAAATTTCTAACTATGATAAAATGCAATAATCGATTTCGTAATTTCAAATTAGAAAAGAATATTGCATCTAACATATACGTAATTAAGGATATATATAGCAGAACATATTCTTGAAAACATTTTCATCTGTATTCATGGCGGAATATCTGTTTACAATAAATTCACATTGTTTACGAGGGATCTATATATTTAATGACTAATTTAAACATCTCAGGATTATAATTAGTTTAGAGAAAAATATTCACATCAATAAACTCCAACGATAAACGATTGAAATCTTTTATTTTTTATTTTTCAAAATTATTTATGAGATATTCGGTTTGTCTCAATAGAGAAATCTTCGATATGTTAAGAACGGCATCATAAACATAGGAACTAAAATCAATATTGAAGAAAAACTGTTTGATTAATATATATATATATCTAGAAACTAGTATTCATTCGAAATCTAAATGTAAGATCTTCGTTCATTACTTTGTTCTAGGATAATGATTAAAACATTTGAATACAAACAGACAAACAAAATACAGATTTTATTATTTATCTTCTCTTTTATCCTACTCGTTTCGTTTCGAGATTATACCATTTACTATTGCAAAATTTATATAATGCTATTTTATTTTACTTCTCCATGTTAATTATATTGATATATTGTACTATAAAGCACTCCGTGTACATGTAAGCATTGATCGTAGACAAATATAAGTATTCAAGTTTATGGCATCGAATCTATTTTATGGATAAATAAAGGATATAGTTTCGAAGCGAATAATATATTTAGCTGAGTTTAGCAATAATAAAAGATTATTCTCCATAATTTGATTTTCGTTTCATAATAAAATATTGTCAAAAAATGGTTATCTTGAACTACGAAGAATCATAACAACAATTTCGTTCGATACTTAACCTAGTTATCATTAATAATATTGGCTGTTTCTTTTCTTTCTTATGCTTAATGGTAAATTAATGTTCTGTCATGATTGAATAAAATAAAAAGTAGAAAAAAACGGATAGAAGCACTCGCTATTCACATTTATATTACGTCTCTACTTTTCTTCCTAAAAGAAAGGAATATCGCTAGTCGACAACGTACAGACATTGATCTTTAATATGAAAGAACTTTCATCTGCAATTATTTTGATTAGCTGTGCATCTCTTGTCGATGGTTCACCATCTTCATCATCTTCATCATCTTCATCATCAAATACAACAGTTGATCGACCTCATTTTCCGATTGTTCAAGTTACATTTGAACATGTTTCCAATGTATTTGGCATATGCCTTTGGATTCTACTTGGTATTTTAGCTAAAATTGGTATAACAGAAAAGAATATTTATTTCAATCTATAATTTTCATTTTTTTTGCACTAGTATTTCATTTATCACATCGTTTAACAAAAAAGTTTCCTGAAAATTGTCTGCTGATTATTTTGGGCATTATTGTTGGTATTCTTTTATATGTAACACATCTTGAAGAAGAAAAACGAATTTACATACTCAATAGTGATATGTTTTTTTTATTTTTACTACCACCGATTGTTCTTGAAACAGGCTATTTTTTACCTAAACGAGCTTTTTTTGATAATATTGGAACAATACTTTTATTGGCGGTACTCAATAAAATTTTTAATACAATGTGTATTGGTTTAACAATATGGGCATTCGGAAAAACAATGTTCTATGGTGGTACAGATTTTGCATTACTTGAATGTCTTCTTTTTGCGTCATTTATTACTGCTGTTGATCCAATAGCTGTATTAGCAACGTTTGTGGAAATTCGTGTGAATGATACATTATATATTGTTGTCTTTGGAGAATCCCTTTTCAATGATGCTGTTTCCATTGTAAGCGAGAAATATCGTAGGAATCTTTGTTTAGTAGTGTATCACTAGTTAAACATAACATTTGAGTTTTCATAGTCACACAAGGAGTTGACGAGTATTTTTCTAGCAAATAAAATTTAAACAGAAGTTCTTATCATATAACTGCAAGTCGAAATCTATTGATTCATTTTTTTTAATTTGTTGTAAGGTACTCTATCGAATGTTCGCAAGTTTTCTAACTATTGGCCAAAACAATTTAACTGCAGACGATTTTATTCTTGGCTTTGTATCTTTTTTTGTTGTAACTATTGGTGGTGTTCTTATTGGTATTGCTTTTGGTTTTATGGCTGTTTTTATGACAAAATTTACCGAACGAACACCAGTACTTGAACCACTCATTGTATTTGTTTATGCGTATATCGCTTATATCATTGCTGAAATGACTGGACTATCTGGCATTCTAGCGTAAGTTTTATTTTCAGTCAAAACTCTTTCATTTTTGTTTCTTTCCTTATTTGATATTTAGCATAACGATATGTGGAATGGTAAGTATGAAAATATGAGTTTTGTTATTTTACTATAATTTATTTAAGATGGTAAAACAATATGTTGAATATAATATAACAAAAAAATCGATGGCAACTATTGAATATGTTCTTAAAATGGCTTCAACTGTAATGGAAACAATTATATTTATGTTTATGGGTTTAACTACTGTATCTGAACAGCAAACATGGAATACAGGTTTTGTTATTGTTACTCTACTATCGTGCCTAATATATCGAGCTATTGGTTTGTAAAAATAAGAACATACTTAGATTTTGTTTGTTAACATTTCAATGAAAATGTTCTTTTTTTCTATGGTTAACAGGTGTTGCTATATTTGCTAATCTGGCTAATCTTCGACGTCTACTTGAATTGACACGAATTGATATGTTAATTATGTCTTATGGTGGTCTTCGTGGTGCACTTGCATTTGCACTTGCACTTGTCTTAGATGAAAGATTAGTACCGAGAAAAAAAGAATTTATAACAGCCGCTACTGTTGTTGTTCTATTCACTGTTTTTGTACAAGTATACTAAATTAAAAACATTGAAGAAGAGCAATTTTTTTTAAAATTTTTCTTAGGGTACAACATTGGGCCCGTTAGTTAAATTACTTAATGTACGGCGAAAACAAATCGAAGAGCCAACAATGAGTGCAACGTTAACCAATCGTGTAAGTTTAAACGAAAACAACAGTAATTAGATAAATAAATAAATTCATTCGTTCATTATTATTTGGTTTTCACAAGATGATGGATCATGTTATGACTTGTCTTGAAGATATTGCAGGTATAACTGGTGCAAATTCTCTTCGTAATAAGTAAGAATTAAAACGGAAAATCTAACCCGAGACTAAAATATTTATAATTACTTTTAGATATAGTAAATTTGATCAAAATTACATGAAAAAATGGCTATTACGTGAACAACCCGAAGAAAAACTTGATTTACGTTTATGGCAAACATTTCGTAATATTGATTTGCAAACAGCTATTAAATTACACGAAGAACAGCCGGCTACAAAACCCACAACAACAAGTCAATCACAGGCTCAAATTCCAGTTATTGAATTTTCGCCGTCTAGTAGTCGGCACACAAGCGTTTCATCGATTGTGTTTGTATTTTTCATTTCACACTTTCCCATGTTGTCATGCTTCTTTTATTAGTATAAATAAACATGGAGATGCTGCAAGATTGTCATCATCAGATTCACCATTATTATCATTAACAAAACCTGCTGACATAAAAAATTTTCTTCAATCCAAAATGTTTGATGTCCATCGACGAGTATGAATAGATTTGAATTAAATTGTTTATTTTTTTATTTTGTTTGAGGCAACAATTCATGTACGAAGTCAAGATGAAATAGAAAGAGACGAAGATCTTGATTCGACTATAATACATATTCTACAACCATCATCGATGTTTGAATCGCGGAACTCGGCGACAGAGCAACCAGTGGAAAGTTCAACAAGACAAAGAAAAAATCGAAATGGTTAGAATATAGAAATTCTTTCTCATTAGCGATGAATTTTTGTTCTCTGTAGCTTCAACAGCAGCAATTCAATCATCATCGGAAGATGGAGAAAAAAGCCGTTTTTAATTTAAAACAAATCACCGTTTTGTGTTTAAGTACAAAAAATAATATGAACTTCGAATGAACTATTTGTTCATGTTTTTGGGTACTTTAGAAACGACTGATTCAAATTAGAATCTTTTACTATTGCTGAATATATGCTTACAACTGCCTTGTTCGATAAGAGCAACCAGTAATCATCAAGTTTTTGTTGAGAAGGTTCGCGCAAACACACAAAGCAGAGAAGCCGAAACTGAATCGAATATTTCCAGGCACATAACGTGCATGAAGACTGTAGTCTTTAATTATATGTTGATACAGTCATCGACAAGGTTTTAATGATTGATTAGCATAAAAGGTGACGGGTATAGAAAAAAATACAGCAGTTATTGTCTCGATCACTCGACTTTTCTTCGCCATAGCTATGTCGAAATTGAATAAACCTTTTTTCACACCTAACAAAATCAACAACTATCATCGAATATTCCTTATTGGATCACGATATTCATATTCGGGTACTATCTAATAATTATTAGATCATCAGCTGTTCGCTCACTTGGCAGTATTCCTTAGGAAAGATTTGAAAAACAAAATAAGGATATGCTTGATTTTGTATAATGCAACATTTAAATTGGCACACGCATTCTATGGTGTCTAATATAGTTGATAGGTAACTATCCATCAACAAAAATGGACATTACGAAAAAATCAACCGTGCCAAAAATGATTTCGTTTAATTTTTCATTCCAATTGAAAATTATGAGATTTAAAATGAGAAAAAAAATTCTTTTTCAATACGATTGATCTCAAAACGAAAAGGACACCTTTACAATTAAGATTTGTGGACTTGAGCCAAAACATAAAAAATTCTCTTTAAAATTTCTACAACGTTCCAATAGGAAAATCTGAATGGAAACGCAATGATACCGATGAATTTCGTGAGAAATAGTCATTTTGCAGTCGGTTTATGTCCTAGTAAAAATAGAGATACATTAGACATTTGCTCATCATCGAAAAAATGAAAGACTCTAAACAACAGTTCATATCTGCAGATTGATATTTTGACATCAGTCTTCTTATCTAGCTAATAAACGATAGCAGATTAATTGGAGATATCAGCTGTCGGATAGCGGTATGCCAGCGTTCTGGAGAACATGACGATATTTGTCACGATATACGAGTCATCTCTTAGTTCATACGCAGATTTTCGTGCCATATATTAGATGTATCATAGTCTCATTCTTGTTTTCACTTTGTTGTTTTCTAAAGAATTAGCGCAAGGTTATTCTAGTTTTTGATAGATCACCCGAAATCAATCATATTCAGTATGACAAAATTCAAGGCTTATATTTAATATTAAGATAAAGAACTTTTTATGGACGAAGCAAACCCATCCATCAAAATGCCTTTAATCAATATTCTTGTTCTCATTCTCCAAGAAGGCTAATTATTCTGCCAATTTAATAAATACTATATTTCATCTATTATCAGAAAATGCTTTACTTGTTCTCAAATTACTTTACGTCAATATCCTGATCTTAATTGAATATCTTTCTACATATGTTATTGGTAATTATTAGATAACAGTTCATGTCTGCGTATGTGTATTTATTTGTTTGTTATTATAATCTAATCGAGAAATAGACAATAAATAAATCATTATGTATGACCTCGATTACAATGTTATCTATGTTATTAATCTCGAAATAGGTACATGAGGATCAAGCGTTCGCATTATATGTTTAGTTTTTAAATATTGATCGATTTGATTTGTTGTTATTTCGTCTGTAGCAAATAAGACATGTTAAAATCAAAATGTAATACAATTCTATATACGGATATGCCAATAACAAAAAGAAAAAGAAAACAAAAAGAAAAAGAATACACTTGATACCGAATTTCTGTTCACAAGTTAGAAAATATGTACACAAATGAGAGAGTATAGGATATGTGAGTGTATATGAACGTCTGAAATTGACTAGATGAACACGCTTGCAAACTCTGTGATGTTTTTATTTTTCATACAGTACTTGTTTTCGACTGAGAAAGAAGTGAAAATGAATTAGTTGTAGTCATATTCGAACTCGCAGTATTATTATCATGATTATCGTTGTTGTTATTATTATTATTATTATTGTTGTTGTTAGTATTGGCGTTTTCGTGAATAGTTTCAGTTATGGATGAATTCCATACCGGACAATCATTGACAATAGTTGGTTGGTGTTCATCTTCATCAATATCGAATAGTTCATCTGTTTCATCGAACATAGGAGCTGGTCGTCGACCAACAACTAGACTTAATTCATCTGCAGATGAAGCTAGTAATGGTACTACTTGACCACATTCCATGCGTGTTACATCTGTATTATTTACCTATAGAAACAAAACAAAAGAAAAATTACGTATTCAAATGATTCAGTTTTTCAATTGTTAACATTTGACATACTTTATAAATTCTCATCATTGGTACTAATGTCCCTTCTAATTCAGCTGGCCCATTGGGACGTATTTTATTAACATAAACTCCAGTACCATAAAGTCGATCGGATATTGAAAAACCAAAGTCAAGTACGCGTTTATCGCGTCTAAGTATTAATGTAATTGTATCGTGCTTTGGTCGATTTGTTGATGCCGAACAATTATCATATTTAGTATCGTAAATATTCATATTATTTTTTAAAGGTTTTTCATTTAATACTGTTGAAAATTTATGTTCATTTCCATTCATACTATCTCCAGTATCTGAATGACGTATGGCTTCAAGCGGACGACCATTTGTTGGTGGTGTTCGAAATCCCGAGGTAGGTGTTGTAATACCTGTTGAACGACTCGAATGTATGGTGATTGGTATCGAATGTGTTTGATGAGGTTTGAGAACAAAATCGCCTTGATAAAACGAAAACGAAACATTATAATTAAAGTCATTATTTAATTCATGGAAAAATCATAACCTTCAGTTTTATTGCTTATTTAAACAAAACGACTCACAAGGTTAGATAAAAAAAATCACTTGTTCATTTGTTTCTTACTTACTTCGTGACAAGTGATGTGTTGTTGGAGTATCTTGATAATTTGAATGTTGCTGATGGTCATTAACAATAATGTCTTTTGTCAATTCGCAATTGTCACTGAAACGATGATCTGCATTTGAACCATCCCACGATTCCATAGCCGAATCAACTGATGGAGTATATTCATCGGGATGATGATGATGATGATGAAATGAACGTGCTAATTCTGTAGAAGAGGGAAAAGAACGAAATTATAAACTTTATTTTTCGATTGAAATACTTTGTTGTGGATGGATTGTTCGAGAGATTTTTAATGTTATTTCATCACTACTTGCTTGCAATAATTTAATGGCTTCATTAAGACCTTTGCCACGTAGACTAATATCATTGATCGCTAATATTCGATCACCGATATGAATTGCATTTGTTCTACAGGGAATTAATTGTTAATTATAGCAGAAATTTTTAGTTTTTGGAAAACTTACTTATCTGCTAAGCCACCTTCACATAAATCTGAAACAACAATAGGCTCAAATATATCTTCGCTACCCGATATTGTTAAACCAAGTGGACCACTAAGAAAATAAATTAGACTATTTTCTTTTCCTTTTTCGTTTCTTTGATTTTACCCTTGTCGAATTAATTGTACTTTATAAACAACAACATTTTCCGAAAGATTATCTTCAGCATAGATATCGTCCTTTTTTATTTTCAATCTTACGATATCATCACAATTTTTTAATAATAAAATAATTTCATTTAAACTTTTTCCACGTAACGAATGTGTATCAATCGATAGTAAACGATCGCCTGATTGAATCATTCCACAACGATAAGCAATACTGCCACGTTTAACATCATTTATTATTGGAACTTCATCAGTTCGTGCTAAACGTGGATCTTCAAAAATAATGATTTATAAAATTTGAAAAGATTGATAGATAAAATGAATAAATACGTACAAGTTACTGACAGGCCAAGATCAAGATTTTTTCGTAGAATTTTTACTTGACATGTACCAGACGAAAGCATGACAGAATCTAATCGAAAAGAAAATGTTTTCAATGACTAACAATTAAGACAATAAATACCAGCAACATCAAATTCAATTTCAAAATGCATTCGATTATTTGATTCTTTGATTATTGTTCGAGCGTCTTCTAATGTCATGCCTTCTAATTGTTGACCATTGATAGAAAGAATACGATCGCCTGGTTGAAGTATACCCGATCTAAATCGAAATAAATCAATGCGATATTTCTCAATAAAACTCTCTATTGTAAACATTGTAATCAAATGTTTTAGTTATATCATTGTCTATTACTCTTAATGTTATCAAAATAAGAGAAGAACGCTTAAGGAATTCTTCATTATTTGACATGTTTATTTTCTTCTGATTATCTAATAATACCTTTCGGCGACGCCACCTGGTTCCAAATATCCGATGATAGGTGGTTGCATTAATATATCCGATGCAAATGAAGCACCTTGTAGTGTAAAACCGAAGTTACCCACTGCATCACCATCAGTATTCGTTTCATTTTGCGATGGCGACGACGATGATGATGAATCAAGTTGAAGTATGCATTCCATTATTTCTGTATGACACATTTGATTTCCCATTACCGTTTGATAACATGAATTCAATGAACCTATTGAAAATGAACACAAAACGAATTGCATATGATTTCTTTTTCTTACGTATATTAAGTACGAGATTAATATGGGTGAAGTAAAAGAATAACAAATAATAATTGAAAAGGAATCGGACCTGGTTGGTGGTAAGCAGGTAAATGCATAGCTAAAATAGATTTTCCTATTCGAAGCTAGGCAAAAACAAAAGTTGATTGAGTAGCAATGCGAATGATATAGGCACACAAAATGAATTTACGGCATAATTATTGTTATTATGAATAAATTAACCGTCACAACAAAGGCAAAAAACAACAAGAACTTTCATGGTTTATTCCTGTGCATTGCTGACATTAAATCTCTTCTTCACCATTTACCTAACTCACGAAGATTATACATCTTCATCACCGATGGAGAAGTCGTGTTGTTTGCAGTAGAGGATATTTTATCCAATGATCTAAGACCTACACATATGGACGAGAGGAATTTGAAATGTTAATATGGTTTTTATAAAAGAAATTCAAGCTTTTTATTCATTTCATTCTTTTCTTTTTCTACAAAGTTTAAATGATAATAAAAAGAAACGTTCCCTTACTAATTGAATTATGGCGTGTTTTATTAATTGCTCTTTTTGCTATATTTTGATAGCTATTTTTCATAGTCCAATTTGTATTATTGATCGATGGCGCACGATAAAATGTTTGACGATTATGTTCATTTAATGAAATTCGATTTGGTGATGGTTGAACACGTATTTCATTTGATTGTTCAAGAATTATATTCGATGGAGTAACTTCAATTCGACAAAAGTCGCCTGTACACGAACGTAACACTGTATTCGCGTCGAATAGTGAGATGCTATCGAATGGTTTTTGATCAATTGCATTTATTTGATCGCCACAATGAAGAGCACCACAACTAGATTTATTGCCAAGATAAGAATCTAATAAAAATCATTTTTATCTTACCGATCAGCAATACTTGCTGGTTTAACAACGTCAATGACAATAATTGAACGATTGCCCCGTACCCACTTTTGTGTTAGGCTTATACCAATAGTTGAACCAGGTGATTTTTCAATTTCAATTAATAGCGGACCAGTAGCATGTTTAACACTGTCTAAAAGTTGTATTCAAAGATATATATTTGATTTTGATCTTACATCGATCGATATCAATAAAAATCAATCAAAAAGAAACCAAAGGAGAAGAAACGAAAAAGAAAAGGCAAACGTATCTTACCAACAATAGCCACATCATATTCAATAAGAAATAATGTTGTACCTCGACATTGTCTCATAAGATTATATGCATCTTGTAATGTAGCTCCGCCAACATTAATACCATTTATAGCTAAGACTCGATCACCAATTTTAATCGTTCCTTCTCTAGATCATTATGAAAACAGAAAAAAAAATATATGTATATATAAAATGAGAATAAACTTTATTTGTTAACCACATATTAAAGGGCTTACTTATCAGCTGGTCCTTGTGGACGTATCTTTGTAATAATAAGTGGTCTTGCTTTGGCCTTGTCATCTGAACCGCCACCTCGCAAAATAAAACCATAACTTTGTCCTTCTTTTTCCAATTGAATCTGAATCGTTTTTGTATGTACTGTATTAATTGCATGTATGGCTACATATAATTATATTCAAATAAAATTTTACATAAAAGACTCAAAAGAATCAAATAGAAAAAGAAAAAGAATTTGTTATGCTTACGCCATTTAGGTAAATCATATTCAATATCTAAGGTTAATTGGTCTCCGACTTGTTTAATTAAATCTATAACTTGTTCATGTTTAAGGCCGGCTGTTTTAATGCCATTGATAGCAAGTAGAACATCACCAATTTCTAAGACATCCGATTTTTGTGCTACAGAACCTGGCTTAAGTTGAGCTACTTTGGGTTTACTATCTTTATCAATGCCGCCTGATATGGTTAAACCAAGTGGAGTACCTTCCTTTTTAATTAATTCAACTGTTGTTCGTCCTCGACTAGCTAAAATTAGAAGGAAAGAAAGACAATGATGGGATCAAGACACAAGATAAGATAGAATAAAAGTCATTTTTTTTAATGCATACCACGTGTAGAAAGTAATGGACTAGGCGCAGTCCACTTACACATTGTCATCGCTCGTTTAAGATCTCGAGATAAGCTAGTACTTGCATTGCTCATCCCTACTTCTTTTCTTTTTTCTTTTTGTTTTATTAATAGGAATACGTATACAGGTGCGATGCGGCAAATGATTGTAAGCGCGTTCAATTCACGATTGTAAGACAAAGAAAAGAACAAGTGTCACTTCACTCTTCCCTCTCTTGTCTTTCTGCACTGGCATCGAGTGTTTTCTTTTACCCTCCCATTTTTCTCTCATTTTTTTCTCGCTCTCCCTGTCTCTCTCTCTTTTCTTGCCTTTGAACTCTGTCATTGCACGTACATATACCACTGTGTTCGATAATATACTCCTTCCGTACTGGTTTATGCACGCCGTGCCATACCATTACTATTACAGTTCTGTACTATACCTCATCATCAAGTATTGCCATCATCAGCATCATCGTCATCATCATGGTCGGCAACCGTATATACAAAAATTGTGTTTGTACATATGCAGCGGCACGCAAGCGCTGATTGAAGAGGGAAACGGGCTGATCTTTTGACTATATTACATATGCATATACATAGATGCACATAAAACAGAGTCATCACATCAAATCATGATCAATCGATTCAAGAAGCTAAAATAATTATATCACCGAAGTTTCATGGTGTGCTTCTTTTTTCTCTCGGTCAGACGTTATCGAGTTTCTGATAAGATACTGATTAATCTAATCACAAATTTACGAAGATTAATACTATAAGTTATCTAGTTTCTTGTATGTCTATCATATTTATTATTATTATTACGATTATTATTCTTCTTGTCAACCTTCGTCTGAGTGGTTTGACTGTTTCACACGTCTGCAAACAAATCTTTTATTTTTTTTCTTGAGTTTATTTTGGTTTCAATTTTAAATTACCTATTAATTGAACACTATCGAACGCTTATTGTTAAACCTTAAAATTGTCACATTATTACTGATGCACTCGAAAATTTCAAGTTTTAAAGTAAATCGAATAGAAGAAAAAGCAAAAAGGTTTCAAATTAATATACGAATCAAAGGCATTACATTAGAATAAAGAAAAGATATGCGAAATGTCATATGTATATGCGTTATAATCAAAGTTCTAAGCTCTATTTCTTTTTAACGCGTTGATCTATTTCATTCTATTTACTAACGGATTTATATTATATCTAAGAAACGTCTTTATTGACGTGTCAACAGTTGAACAATACAGATCGACTCACTTTTTTGGGTAGGATTGGTTTTACATATTATTTTCCAATCACCCTTCTTTTTAATTTTCGTCGTCGATGACGAGTTCCTTGTTGAACCACATAACATATTTAAATTAAGCACCATTTACCAAAATGTAGTTGATATATGATATGACAGTGACGACAATGAATGAAGAAAAAAAGTTTGATGTCTTTTAGTACTTATGCATGATGCTGATAGATTGATCAATATCAATATTCATTGAGCGCAACGATGAGAGGAGACGAGTAAGTACGAATGAGAACAAGAACAAAAATGAAGAAGAACAAAAAGGCGGAGTAAAGGTCATTGTCAACACAATCTTCGCCTATAGTATGTTAAGGTATGACTGAATGAATGAATAGAAAAATCGAAAAAAATAATAAGAAATGAAGAAGAAAGAAGCCGATTTGTGTATGTATATGTATATTGTATGCGCTTCTTGTCTCTCAGTTTGAGAGTCCTTCGACAATCGTGATCAATCGGCGAAACAATAACCAAGACATTGCTTGCACCTTGTTTCTGTAACTAATTGAAATGAACAACAATATTCGTCTACGTTGTTGTTAACCACGATGATAAGCGTTTTTTCGACCAAAAAAAAGTAGTTACTCTATCGTCAAACGTTGATTACTAAAAGTGACAGAACCTACAACAAATGTTTATTTCTCTTCTGTTTTTGTCTGTTATTATTTCAATCTATACATAGAGAAGACATATACAAACGTTTTAAACCACCCACAGACAAAACAACAAGAAAGAAACAGAAAATTGTGCGTCTCTCGGTAAATGCTGTGCCCATGGAGTATAAAACGCATGCGTTAGATACGGTACAGTTGATGTTGTCGTTTTCTATATTTATCAATGCTGAAGATGAATCATTGTCACAACTACTTTGTAATGGAACATTAGGTTAGCAATCAGAAAAGGAAAAAAAGATAAGCAAAAAAAAGCTGTTGCATGTACTTTTTTGTATACAATCTACTGTCTACGATGACATGTTAGAGATAATAACTATTGGCACTTGTCTAACATTGTAAACAACTTCAATAATAAACAATGCCAATGAAACATTACATAACAAAGATGCTAATCATTCTCTACAACACTAGAAAGAACTTGGTTGTATCTGTTTACTATATATTCGTTTGGATAGATAATCTTATCTGTTCAATTCAGCCGGTATTTCTTTTTCTTTCTCGCTCTTAATCTAAGACATACTCGATTATTATGAAATAAACTTTTCTTTTTCTTTTTTTCTACATTCATTCTATTCACATACAAGCCATTCAGCATGCTAGTAATGTCAAAGAAAATTACTAACTAAAAAAAACAAATAAGCGAATTTGCTCTTCATAGGTATAAATACGCATATAATAAAATATTTCATGTATGTTTGTATGTATGTATGTATAGCTCTTTTAAGAATGAAAAAAAAGTAAGGTTTTACAAATAACTCATGGCATTTTGTTTTATGTGAAATGTACTTATGCCGATAAAAAGAAACAAAAATGTAAACAATAGGTCGCTTCGATTCTAAAACTCACCGAAATCACCAAGAGTAGTAAGAATCGTACTTTTACCATTACCAATATTTCCAGCGGCTGTACGTCGTCTATGTTGCTGATTTGAAGTGGTACAAGTACGTAACCATAGAAATGGTAATGAACGGTATTTAGCCAAATTATATTCCAATGGAGACAAACGACAAGAACTATTTGGTGCAGCAGTGTTAATTGGTGTTACCATAGCAAACGATGCCGATGGCTCAAGTTTAGCTAAACGATGACTCCAACTCATTGTTTAATTAGTTTTCTATTAGATAATCTAAGTAATAAGTATTACATATAAACATATTGTACATATGAAGATCATGTCGAATATAAATTACAACTATGAATATATATAAGAAACTGTGCTTCTAGGCACTGACACCATTCCATATATCTTGTCGTATCTCGTTGAAGGTTAGCACTGCTAGTAGCATAACACAACTGCCAGCACATGTGCTGACTACATCATCGCTGTTATGATCAGCAGTAAATCGCATCATAATTATGATGTGAGATCAAGTAGTGAGAAGATGTTAAGAATGTAAGAACGCCTGATAGTATCCATGCACGTCTTTCATTTTATTCTCCCTATCATCAACCGGATCCTTATAACATGTACAAATAGACATTAGAACTAAGAGACGAAGTAGAAACAAGAAAAAAAACAGCAAAATCACACTCACAGACGAGTGGTGCGAATGAGACAAAAAAAAAAGAAGAGTAGATACGTGAAAATAAATCATTCACTATACTACTAGCATACCATGGAGGCGGCATAAACCATGAAAAATGACGATGTATAGAGAAGCGAATGGGGAGAGAGAGAGAGAGAGAGAGAGGGTAATGTTCGTCTAATTTTCATCCTTGCCTTTTCTTCCTCATGTCATGAAGGTTGTGATAAAAGCAAGGTGCCAATGGACCACTAACTCGACTAATTGAACATCAATCATTTTAGAAGTGCTATCGATTGTTCGCCAAATTTGTTTTACACGAACACATAAAGTTATATCTGCTGATGTATAGCCTTCGTTTTTTCTTATCTACTTTCACCAATCCATCTTAGTGTCGATTATCGCTCGAGATATGGAAGCTTACGCATTTCTTTCTTCTGGTTCTTTCAAAAAAACAATAATATTAACTGAAATAACGAATATCTTTATCAGCTGTTGCCGACTAGCATGTAGTTTTTTATTTTTCTTTAGAACCGATGATGCTTTCGTATCATCTGTATTTGTTTTTAGATAATACTAAAGATTATTAAGAAAATGACAGCAAAAAAAAGAGAAAAGCGAATGGACGAATCGGACTGCACTTACTAATCGATGTATGATGATAATATCGTTGTTTTTGTTCTCGACGATTTATTACTGATGAACTTGAAGGTAAACTATGAATATCAATAGTCGAGACTGCTATTGGATTATTTTTTAATACATAAATAAGATAAATTAATTATTTTACTATTAATTATTTAATCAATAAATATTCCTTTGGGAAAAGAATGACGGTTATTTATTACACTTTCATGAATAGAAATTGATGAGAACGACAAAATTTAAAAAAAATTAGCGGCGATAGAGTTAATCAACTAGTATTTGATAAGACTTAAACTAGAGTGATGATCAATTCAGTTATTTATATATTTCTACTATGATAATCCTTATGGTATATATATATATATACACACACACATAAGCATAATGTCGCTTTCTCTGTTCTTTTCGTGTTTTTTTTTATTGAAACCTTATTGTATTGCCAAATATTATCTGTCAACAAAAAGTTAACACTTAGACAACTAACAAAATCAATCCTGAATGATATTAAATAAATAATAACCGATTTTAGACTCTATATATATATATTATTATTATTATCACACAAAAATAAAAATAAAAATTTACCTGTATATTGAGGATCAGTCGATAATGATGTGGATTCAATTTTGTTTGTTTCATTTGTTGATATTGACGGATGTGGACCATCTTCACTTTTTAAACAGTTTATTTTCCAACTAGGCATTAAGATTGATTTATATGGAGAAGAAAAGTAGTTTCTTTTTATATCTTTTCTAGATTCTATTTGACAAATAACACAATCGACCAGCTATTACCACCATTCGTCAACGCAAACCATAGCGGTTACAGTGTGCGCTGTTGATATAGAAAGAAGTAAAACGAGAAGTTGTGACGATGACAGCGACGTAGTATGGTCTAATGTATACATCGCTTGCTGTGTTATGCGCGCGTGTGTATGTGCAAAAAAGGCCAGTTGATGTCGCGCCAATGTTTGATGGATAGAAAAGGAGTTACGACAAGCTTATATATATTGTATATGCACGAAATGTATGTACAACAATTTGATGTTGTCTATGAAGCTTATACGAGTGTGTGTGTGTGTGTTGTATGCCGAAATATCAAACCAATATTCATATACAATAGCTTGATGTATACGTATGTCTATATCTCTTCGGTTTCTTTTTTTTGCGAATACAACACTACTACGAGTACGAACAATAATCAAATGAATTTAAAATTGACGATGACGCAAAGAAGGAAGAAGGAAAAAAAGAAGAAAAAAACGCGACAAGAAAAAGAATAGTATGATTGTCAATGGTTAGATCAAGACTGTAATGAGAATGACGGAAGCCGTTCTAGATTAACATTAAGAAAGCGACCGAAATTTTTGTTTCCTGATGTTTAAAACCGATCAAAAGAAATGATTCACGAATTTTTCTAGTTCAACTTATGCACATAAGTATATGAGAGGAAAAAAAACTAAATCTAGACATACTGATCGGCGTGACAGACAATACGTTTGATTTGATATTGAATCAAGATAAAGTATCCATAAAAATATGTCTTCTTTTCTTTTTTTCAAGATCAAGTCTAGTAATGAAGACATTTGGTTTTATTTGTGTAGACAGAGCGAAAAGATTGATTAAGAAATTCGATTAAATTATTCGTTTAAAATTGCATAATCAAGAAGGTTTTCGAGATGATTACGAAACCTACGTGTCATTTTGGTTCAGCCAAGGTTTTAGATATTAACTATTCGACGTACGAAAAAGAAATGCAACAAAAAGAAAAGACTTTTGATATTCGCCCGATTGGTATTTGTATAGAAAAATTTCTACTCTTAACACAAGATGGCTCCCTAAAATGAATACTATTTCTTAGAAGAAAATGTTCGTCACATGTTAATCAAACATACGAGCCGATGTTTTCAATGCTAGCAAATTAGTACCAAACGTTTCTTTTCAAAAGAAAAACGAACAAATCTACTCGGTTGAAGTAAAAATTTTAAAATGTGTATATACTAACCCTTGATCATAGTGACATTCGAATAAAGAAACAATACATTTACATCTGTAATGAGAAATAAACAGTAGGAATTGTTTTTGTTAATCCCTATATCTCGCACAATTGTCGTTTGATCTTAATGTTATACTCTAGGATACGTGCTGTATTAATGAATGTAACTTGAAAGTTATTGTCATCAATATAACAGAAGTAATTAAGTGAAATATTTTGAATATCTTGATTGTTTTCATAAGCAATAGAAGATCGCACGTTTAGTCTCATGCCACAACATATCTTTCGAAGTAATATGTTTTTCTTATGAATAGAAATAATCTGAATGTATTTATTTAGTTACAAGAAAAATAACTTCTTTTTTTAGTCAAAATGCAGCAGAGACCAACAGATTTATCATCATTAGAACGGCATAGAAATATGTTACTTTGGTCATTAAATCAAACTCAAAGGGAATAATTTATGCCTATAGATTCATTAGCAATTTGACTGTTTAAGTTATTAATGGAGATCTTCTGAAAGTTATATTTTATAGAACCTCAACTATAGTAAGAAGATGAAAATATTGAATTCATAATTACTATTATTTTGTCAAAATGGAGTAAGGAGGAATAACAAATAAAAGGAAATAGAATTGTTCTTGCACTTTCGACAATCACATGTTAAGCTTTGAATCAAATGGCTAAGTTGTGATTATTTGATTTGAAATCCAAGACGTTGAAAAAAAATCAAATGGATCAAATGTATATATCATATGTATATAAAGATTAAGAAATTTCATTTTTATTTACAAATGCTGTCATTCATTACAGATCAAGTTGGTCTCGTATCATCGAAGTATTAAGTATATTGTATTCCTTTACCAGCTTCGTCGACATCCTGTTTCGTTCCAACAGTCTGATTATTGTAAGATAGAGGCAACAGAACATTAGTATAATTGCTCTAGTAATCTTACTGAAACATTCAGGTGATGACTAACAATGCGACTTATTTTGTAGTAACATGTTCATGCCGTTGAATGTATAATAGATTTTTTAATGCATCAATAGCTGAATGTAAGTTCAAAGTAGAGACAGCAATATTTACATAAAGTCAATGGTGTCAGCTCTTCAATCTGTTGTTTATTCGGCGATCATTGAAATTGTCATAATTTCATGAGTGTGTCTTATGAGAAAAGTTTCATTAGTAATCAAACTTTTTAATAAGTAATTGAACAAACCAGATGAATGCATTTTTTACAATACTAGGATATTTCTTCGAACCAATATGGAAATGATTCACTTTTGAAAAAAGAGCGAAAAGATAAATATCTATCTATTGCTCACTGTTCTTTTACGTATATTTCAGTGGGAGAGGGAGAGAGAGAGAGAATTTTGTGTATTTTATAAAGTATTTATTAAAAAGAGAAACCAAAAAAAGAATTGGTTACTCAATATTCTAGATGTAAATGTTTGTCTACTTGAAAAGTTGAGGATTCTATTGTTGTAAGAAATGCATTTTCCACTAGAATCTCTTTCTACAGTAAAAATACAATATGATGAAAATCTATTTAAGACTTTTCAATTTCCTCTCATAAAAATAGAGATAGTAGGATGATTTCTGCTTGATTTAGTTGCATTTTCTGCTAAAGAAAAAAAAACAATTTTTTCTGGACTTTTTGTTGGTAGTGAAAAAAATTATTTGATTGAAAACTGCTTATGTAATTTCAATCTCCTTTTTATAACAGTAAAAATAATAGGATAATTTTCATATATACACTTCACATTACGGTATGGGGGTAGATCAGCGAAAAAAATTTTAGCGAAAGTTTTTGAGAGAATGCAAAATAGCGAAGAAAAACAGCGAAAAATGTTTGAGCGAAGAGATATTCGCTGAAAATGTTTTTCGCTGTTATAATTTTTGCGCTTGTTTTTTCGCTGAAAATACATTTCACTATTTTTATTTTCGCTCAATGGACACCATATCGTACAATGCAAATGGCTTGTTAATGTTGGGACTGTTTCCCTCCGGTAAACAAGATTTCTTCATTAAAATTGAAAAAAATCTATCATAAAAAATGGACTAATTAAGACAGTGTCGACAACAAAAGAAGAAAAATACGTTACAATCATTTTTAATTCGATGACGTAATGGTTGTTATGGATCATAAAAACAAAAATCGAAAAAAGCACGTTTTTATCGAGTTAATTATTCATTACAATGATAAATAGAACAGAAAAAATACGTATCTACGTATTTGTTGTTTATGCACGAAAAGAGCATTAAATGCCTTTAAGTGATGTGGATAGTTTTCGTCGTCGTTGCTCACTCGGATTGCCAATAGATAAAGTTGACTTTATTCTTTATATGTATAATGAATCGTCATTCGAAGAGCGACACTATCAATTCGTTGGTGAACTTTTAAATTTCTTAGAAACTCAAAGTGAAAATGACAATCAATCGAAAGAGAAATATTGTTGGATTGAAGTTATTAATGGTAGTTCAATTGATCTTCCAAATAATATAAAAATTCTTTGCGAATATTTTAATATACATTCGTTAACTGTGGAACATATAACAACATTAGCACCATATATGACGTTAAATTTATTTCATGATACTGGCGCTTTACATCTTGTAATGAAAATGTTAACATGGAATGGCGAACGTGTACAACAACAGCAAATATCATTCTATTTAAAGTGTTCACAAAATTTATTAATTACTTTTCAAGACCAACCTAGAGACGATATTGAACCGTTTTTTCAAATAATTCGTAATCGTCTTCGACAACAACGAAGTAACGATGGAAATCATCCGCATCATAAACATAATCGTTTAAGAGAACTGAACGTTGATTATCTACTGTATTGTCTACTTGATGATATTATTGACAGGTATTCGCATGTACAGTATTTTCCCATAGAAAATTACTAAATTAAATTATATAGAAATATTTTTTTACTTTAAAAAATATGAAAGTGTGGAAGCTCAAGATATAATTAGTATGGGATCTTGATATATTACTATAAGTATTTCAAAATTTTTTTCTTTAAACTTCTTGAACAATCGACATTCTCAAACATGCAGTCCTAATATTATCTAGTGATACTTGTGCACGCTTTCATGCTGATATCTCGATCAGCTTTTTGTAGACATTCACATGTATGTTGGTCGTACTTAGTTAGTATAATGCTTCATTCTAAAAATTTAACTTGAAATGTATACTTAGAAATGCGTAAAAATAATCGTCCTTTTATATATCAGGGCCCTAATATTTAAGTTTTTGAAGAGTCTCGTATATGGATAGATATAATAATTATAGCTGACATAAGCTCGTATAAATAGTGAATCTTACTAATTTATTAGTAGTACATTTTATTTGTTGCATATAATATAAAGATTCTTATTTGGCAATTGTTTATACATAAATTGAATAAAAAGTATCAGTTTAAGATTCCTACTCGAGGATACTATGCTTATTAATTCGAGAGATTCCATTCATTAGCTTAACTTCGATGCTCGTAAAACTCCGTATTGAATGGCTTATGTGCTCGACGTGTTATCGACGCTTTTATTAAAACAATAGATCGAATACTAACGTGTCCTCTTTCATTTAGATACATGTTTGTCATGGAAGTCGTAGCTAATCGTATTAATGAGTTCGATGAACTGCTGATGTCGGACACGCAATCAAGATCATTAACAACACTTCATTCAATATTTAACGTTAAACATGATTTACTTCATTCACGTATGTTACTAAATCCATTAAAAGAAATAATATATCATTTACAACGAACAAGATGTGATGATTATGATCCAATATTTCCTCTCGTCGAACCAACAATCCGACCTGGTAAGAAACATCATATAGTTCGCCGGCCAGTACCAACAGTATGTCAACTTGCAAGCAATACTTCTATTACAAGAAAATCAGTTTATTTAAATGATTTAAAAAATCATGTTAACTACTTAATTGACTCGTTAGAAATTCAACAAGAAAGTGTTTTAATTCTTATTTCCTTTTGGATGGCGCTAACAAATAATGAAACACAAGCAACACTTAAAACGCTTATGTTGATTATTGTTCTTTTTATGCCATGTCTATTATTAATCGGCTGTAATTCAACCAATTTCAGTGTCCAACCACAATTGCACTATCAGTATAGTTATTTTATAGTACTCTCTCTTCTAGCTACAATTCTTAGTGGTATGATTGCATGGTACACAACAAAAGGATGGATACAATTTCGCAAACTGTGAGAGACAAAAGTGTATTCACTTTTCTATTCAATATTTTATTTATTAAAATATTCAGAACAGAAAACGCAAAAGACTGTACAATTAAACATTCGTTTGTTTATTAGTTGTATTTGATACATTAGCATTGAGACAGAGTAGTTCTCTAAGTTCAGGCGTAACAATGGCTCGATACTTTTTCTCTAGCGATACCATGTATTCAATAGAATTACGCATGGAAAATCCTCGAATTTGATGGGTCTAATTAGAAAAAATAGACAAAACAAATAACATATCAAAATCAATATTTTGTTTTTGTTTTGAAAATCACAAACTTTAAGAAATGGTAACAAATTTCTTGATGAATGTTGATAGATAATATCTTGTTGCAAATGTCGAAGAAGCGCAACACAAAAATAAACTTGATAATCAATACCATATAGTATGCATACGCAAATATATGTAACTATTTCTGGCCAATCTAATACAGACCAAAAACATTGTTTTGTCCAATGTATAACCATCTGTAAAGTAAAATATGAAAAAGTGAATTTCTTTTCTTTGTTTTTGAGAAAACGAATGATTGTCAAATTACATGAGAAATAGCAAAACCAGACATACGAAATGCAGCAAAAACTGGAGGCATTTCTTGTTCAACAATTAATTCAACACAATGACCAGCACCAACATAAACGGGATGTAAACCATACAGATTCATTTCATTGCTAACAAACGGCTACGAAAAATTGAATATAACATTTTTTAAAATATCTGAAGACATAGAAATAAATACTGTATTGAAAAGACGTGCATGCCAAAGAAAGCCAGCTGGTAAAATTAATGAAAATGTACGTAGCCATCGCCATGAACGTACATCATCACAACCCATCAAGAGAAAAACACTTGTGACAAACCAATCAAAACCCGGATAAGCATCGGATGACGAAGTATAATCTATGTATGAAAGAAAAATATCAATACTCGAATACGCGGGGATTGAGCCAAGGAATATGATATTAACCATAGAAAATTACATTGATCTAGTCGTTCATATTCAGAAAAAAAATTTTCTTATTTCAATTGACAGTTCCAGGAACATGGAAAATCACGCTCTGGTTTATTTTATATCAGTAAGAAATGAATCAAGAATTCGCTCGTTATTTATTTTATTAAAATTCATCTAAATTTCAATGACTTTAGCACTGAGTGATTCGAAAGAGCAAATACCAATGTGAATTATTAGACTCTGTCGGTACTTTCACTTCATATATATATATATATATATATTGTTATGAAAATCTCTAGGTACGAAATTTACTACTTATATTGATTTTGGACTACTTAACATACTTAATTTGTTTCCACTATTATCAACTGCAGCTATTATATTTGCTATTGCAGCATTTGTTGTTGATGATGCCGCTGTTTTAGTGCCTGTAGTTGATGGTGATGATAACAATGATGTTGTTACTGTTTTCTGTTTTAGATGCGTTTTAAGTGCTTTGAGTAGTCGAATGAGATTTTGCTGACTAGCACCTTGATCTTGCACAAGTCCAATACGAGCACCATAACTACGAATAAACAGAGCGCATATACATAATTATATAAATGAAAGATCTATTCAATTGAAACAAACGACAAACTTTAATGCTTTATTGACGCCAAGTTCTTGAATTGGATTTAATACACTTGCCGATGATAGTTTGGCCAGATCAGCTTCTGTATTAGAATAAGTGAGAGACAATTATGTTTTTCATTCGATTTTCAAAAAATTCTAAGTCGATAATCACATCAATCAGGTGAATATAGAAAAATGGGTGTCTTAGTGAGGTAACGAGGAGAAAATAGTTCAACAGTGCAGTGTTGAGAAAATAATAAATTTACCGAGATGACGCCGCATATCTGATAAGACATAAGCATAATGATATATTTTCTTTCTATCGTAAGTGATCAATATAGGAAAAAGTATGGCATGCATTAGACCTTTTAGAAGCATGCATTTCCTTGTACAATATGAGCATGCGAGATTTTGATTTTTATACATTTAAACTTACTTTGAATAGTAACCGAAGAAGATAATGAATCTCGGGACGAATTAAAAACAACATCCATATGAAGTTTATCATGAATGTCGACAACAGCATCGAGTAGATCAGCCATGACTAAGAATATAGAAAAAATAATTCGATATAATTGGTTTAAAATTAGCTTCTTTTATATATATATATATATATACGAGAAAGTGGTAATGTTTCTTGAGTTGATTGACGAAGAGTCGCCATAAAGTAATGGCGACATTTACTTAGCCAACGATCATCGAGTCGATCTGGTCGAGAACTTCTTACAAGACGGTGTAATTCGTTTTCTTCTAGAATATTTCAAGACAACAAAAAAAAACATTTTATATATGATTCTGAAGAAAATCTTCAAGAACTACTTAAAAAACGATTCAATACTCATTGTTTTTAACTCTCTCGGAGCAAAATATCTTGGACTCAAAATTTAATTTCCATCGACAAGATAAAAACTTCACATTTATTCACTTCAGGAATATTCTGATAACTGTAAAACATAATACTATTTAGTTTTGAGTTGCAGATCATTGCAATGTGAGATATTGTATTATGCAAAACAGCTTCAAAATTCTTCACTCTCCCTTTCGAATAACTTCAGATTGTTATCGATGACAACTGTCAAACTGTACAGTTTAAACTCGTCCCTTCTTTAATTCTAACACAAACATCAATTGCGAGGTGTATGTCCGTGTAACTATTTTTTTCTTCGTAAAAGTATGTACCGATTTTTGTATTTGCAGATCCTCCATAATTTGCTCTGATGATGTAAGCATCCGGCAAAAGCATAGAACCACCAAATAATGGTATTGAACTTAATGATGTTTCATCACTTTCATTCAATGTCCATGGTGGCATATTTTTCTCTTGAGAACCACCTAATAGTTCAGCATTAACAAGAACATGATTACGTGCTAAACTTAATTGATCTAAAATAATATTTCCTCCTGATTCGATTTCTGCTTGTGCGTGTCTCAATTTTTCCACATAATTATATTTTGTTTCAAGCAGCAATTGAACATCTAAATCTGATTGCATTATTGATAATAATCTAAAGATCGATATTTATATTTTATGTTTTCTATTAAAAATGATTGCTACCGTAATCCAGCAGTATGTGTGTGTTCATAACAAAGAAGATTTCGAATATCATTATCGTCGACAACAAATGAAATTCGTTCAAGTAAACCCTATTATGATTGAGTAGCAAAAACAAATGTTCACTTTGTTTTCTAGACGGCGAAAGAAAAACATACGAGAAGCGTAGATGGTTTAGGATTTTTATCCATACCATTTGGTGTTGATGGCTTAGGATTTTTGTCCATACTATTTGATGTTGATGGTTCATTGTTATCTGTTGATAATAATTCATAAGCAGCAGAAAATGAGGAAACCAGGGAAAGAAGACTTAATAATGGCTAGAACATACGAATGGAAATTATTGACTTTGTTTTTTAAATTCAATTTTTACTTTTAAAGCATATCGACTAATAGGCTCAGATGGAAAACGTCGAGGGAATACACTTGTTAAATCATCAGGTACGTTTTCTAATTCGGTCCATAGTTGCTCCATTAAATATTCAACAAAACCTTCATTTACAGAATAAAAACAAAAGAGAATTGAATGAAGAAAATATACGAAAAAAATATGCGCACATACCAGAATGATCCAAACGTGAAACAACAGCTGGTGTATTAGCCATTTGTGAAAGTAAATATCCAAAACCATATTGTTCCAATTTACCAACTTGTACTTTTGATCTCCAACGTTCATCAATATAAATAACACATTCGGGTAAAAAACCAGTTTGTGTTAGTAGGTATATACCTAGTAAAACATGTAAATAGGGATAATTTGTTTCTAGGAAAATTAGGAAATGAAATATTTCGCATAAATCGAAAGCTTTGAGTATATTCTTTTTGGAGATAATCGAACAAACGTCTCAAAAATACTAATATATGAATAGAAGGTTCTCGGCACAAACAGAGAAAGAATTCTTTTGACTATAAAAGATTTAGCAAAGCTGGAAGAGCCATTCTAGTTTATAATTATTACAATACTGATCAAGAATATCATGCGAACTTAAGTTTTGTGATGCTTGCAATCTAGTCAATCTCTCATAGATCAAATAATTCTTAGTCTAACGAATCTATATTAATCCATCCTGATATTTTCTTTTCGAATGTATTTAATCGAGAATCACAACAACTGTTCAAACTAGCATTTGGATTATCAGTAGTGTTCATTAAAATAAAACATATTCTAAGATTTTATTTTCTATCGAGGAAACAAAACACATCCTGATACCTTTTGGTGTTGAACCAAATAATAGTAAATTATCAAGTAATGTTTCCTTCCACGGCATTGTATTACGACTCATTTGATCTTCGGATTCAGCAGATGGACTCCGATTCAATGGTGGTGAACTATTTTTATCCAACTATAGAAAGATATAAACAGATAAAAGTAAATAAATAAAATTTGTTGCCTATTTCCTTTGTTTTAACCTCAATTTTAAATGCTTCAGCAAGTGTTTTATGTAATTGTGCTCGTTTAATTATAAGTAAACCGGATGTACGAGAATAAACTAATCGACATACATAGATAAATTCCGATAATAACGCTGTTGGCATAAATGTATATGATGTTGTTAATGATAAGTCCGGTGTTATCAAACTTAACCGGCTACTTGTATATTGAGATAAGATACGTTTAACATAAGCAACAATTAGTGATGCTGGTGATCCTCTTAAATTATTTTAAAAATTAACATAAAAAACAAGCAGAATCTAAATAGTTACGTATTAGATGTAGTTGGAGCTCGTATAAGATATTGATAGCCAGTATCATTTGACGCCATAGCAGCAAGTAAATCAGCAAGACTAATAAGACCACATTCAGACACAATATTACCATTTGATCTTAAATAATCATTAAAGATTTTCTTCGAGCCAATATATTGTTTTATTGGTTTAACTAATATATCAAATAAATCATCGCTACACATTAATGGACCACATGTATCTGATTCAAGACAAAGTCTTTTAAACAATTGACAACATAACGATGAAGCTGCTTCTTTCAAAAATGAAATTAATATTTTTGTTTTAATTAAGTTTATTTGTGTGTCTTTTTTTTTATTTACTTCTACTATTTGCAACAAACATTATTTGAATAAATACTCTAAGAATATCTTTGACATAAACTAATAGAAAGAATAATTATCGTACTTGTCTATGATATAAAATAAAATTTACTTTGTTTATCGTTACTGATAATAAATGGAAAAACTAATTGACGAGCTTGTTTCGAACAAACAATATGTTCAAATAAACAAAGCGAATGAACAAAATGTACATTAGAAAGTTCAAGTCGTGTATAATGTGATGAACTTGCTGGTACAACAGGCGGCGGAGGAACTGGTGGTAGAACAGATATCGGTGGTGTTGGCACAAGACTTGAAAGAAATGAAGTTGCTAATGGTGGTCCATTATTTGATGTCATCATTGAACGAATGCTACCATCAGATGAAGCCGTACCTAGATAATAATGTTTAAATTGTGTTGGTTTAAAGAGCAAAAACAAGAGCAAATTTTACCAATGGGTCTTCTTCGTATGCCTGAGGCATATAATGAATTATCATTTCCGTCATTTGCCATATTCATTTGTTGCGTATGTGTATGAGCATAATTTACAATTGATTGATATGCACATACTAACTAGATTAAGCAAGAATATATTTTCGATGAATTTGAATTTTTAGCAAAATAAAATAAGATAATACTCACTAGATTTTTCTTATTTGATAATGAACGAAGTAAATATGCTCGACTGTAAGTAGCATGCTATACATAGAGAGAAAAACATTGAATGAATTTCAATAGTTTTAAATACAACGTTCGGCAAGAGGAGGAGGAGGAGAACGTTGTTAATCTTTAAAATTTCCATAGTCTCTTTGACCAATGCGATCGGTTTACCGCAAATATTGGTTGAACAAAAACTATCCAGTACTCTTTGCACCAAAAAACAAACTTTATTTTCTGTTTAGAGAAAAGACCATACTATAGTTGCAATGCTATTTGAAAATATGTAAGAATTTAATCATACTGTACTAGGCAATCTTTCACAGTTAAAACGCTCTTAGAAAGTAATATTCGGGTGTGTTCACAGATATTGTCTTGTCTGAAGTCATTGTCACGATAAGAGAGAGAGTATAATTCAAATTACGTACCATCCATGTACGAAACCAATTAGCTTCCGGATCAAGTAATGCTAAAAAATGGAGTGGGAGTATTCGTGCAGTATTTGATTCGCATGGTACTGAGCCGAAAGAGAATAGTCGTATCGTTTCATTGATGATATGTTCAACATGACTAAATGATTTCACTACAATTTTTAAACGAAATATTTTACAAAACAAAAAAAACAACTTCTCTGAATATCGCATCCAATATTTTGTTGTTTCTTGAAGAAATTCAACTATTAGACGAATCTGAATGTACAAAGAAAAACTTTAAAAAAACGTTCTTTGATTTTTATTAATTTTCCTTACTTGTTTCAATTTCATTTCAACGGTCGGATTCAAAATATCAAGTGAAATAGCATTCGGCTGTAATTCAATAACAGTCATTGAAGAAAACCATTGTACTAAATGTTCAACTTAAAAAAAAAGCAAAAATTACAATAATTTACAAAATATAAATATATTTAATTATTTACCAAGATTAGTGAGAGTTTCACATACGACACTGATATTCCCTGCTGCCAATAAACGTGAATGTAGTGTAAGACAAGCCATCTTAAATAGAATATTTTTCTTAATTTTACGGATATTATTTTAAAGAAATCTTACAGCTATTTCTTGATTTGTATCACCTAATGCAAGAATTAAATTTGGACAAAGTATTTTCCAACTTCCAATTGAAATAGCTTCATTGGGAGCATAATTTAATAGATCATTTAATGCACGAAAACGAGCCTGTGTACAAAAAAAACATGATCTTCATAAATTGCAATGTATTTTTTTCTATAAATTACTCTTTCCGGTTTCGTTGGTGATAAATTATCGGCTACTGTTCGTAGATGATTATCATCAAAAAACATGAAACTTTTCTAAAAAATGATAAAAAAAGACTCTTGTTTGGAGGCGTTCTTTTTTCAAAACATACATGTCGTCCGCTGGAACCATTGGTATATGATGTGTCAGAATCACTTCCATAACTAACATTATACGATGAAGAACCACCACCCGTAGCGGACTGACGATGCTCAGCTATGTCACGGAGTTCAATCGATGTGCCAACTATGGTTCGATTTTCTGGTACGAATGGATCAGATGCAATACCCAACGATGTTGATGATGTTAAACTTAATGGAAATTCTTCATTGAAATTTTCAACTAAATCACCCAGTGTTAAATGAAGACGTCGCAATACATCAGTGCGAAACGATGCGAGTTCTCGTGTTTCAGCTATCGTTTGACTTATAGCTGATGCACCGTCATGTTCTAATTTTGTTTTATTTACTTGTTGCTTTTGTTTTTTTATCGATTTATTCGAAATCATTGAACGTTCAATTTCTTTATCGATCATATCACCAAATGCATCATCAATAATAAAATGTAGACGATGCAATAGTTCTGAACTAAAATAAATTTAAACAATTATAAATAATTCAATATATGACGAATATTTAAACGAACTTATGAGCAATATTGTTAGCGGTCGATGATAATGAATGAATAAGTTGTTCATCGGTGAATGTTATATTTGTTGATCCTCGTCGTGCAGCTTTCAATAGAACTGGATCAAGTGATTTTAAAAATGATTTCATTAAACCACGTAAATCTTCGTCAGAGAGATTTTCTAGAAGACTTTTAGCTGTCGACATTTGAATGGAATCTAAAACCATTGCCTTTCGTTTGTTTTTATTTTATTTAGTATTTCGTCTTATATTAATCAAGTATATATCTATTGGCAAAAGGAAACCATTATTAATGGTGTTACTTTGACAACAGACAACGTTCCTCGTTCAGTTCTCTTTTTTCTTCAACGCATTCATCATCTACATCATAACTGATTGGTCAAAACATGCATGCCCAATATAACTAAATAAACCAACGAAAGAGAGAATGAGCAAAATATTATTTTGCCATGTGAGTTTTTTATGTTATTAAAGTAATAATACATAAAATCAAGCATGAGTATATCGAAATTTATTTATGTTTGTCAACACTAACAATAACACGAAATAATTCAAACAAAAAATGACAACAACTAAAAGATCTCTTAAAATATAATATTACACAACTTCACATTTTTATTTAAATGTCTATTTAGAATGCGTCTATAATTCAATGAAGTGTCATCGTTGTACCGTTACGAGTAATACTTCGTTCTAAAGATAATGCTGGATTATATCGGCCGAGAGCTTTTCGTAGAAAGAATTTTATTCTATCCATGAATATAGAACGAAACAAATGACTCGACAATGTATAAATATAAAAGGACTTGCAATAGTTAGCATAGTAAACCAATGTAGTGAATGACATTAAGAATGAACCGATAAGTCTGTTATAACCAGTTAGTGGTGGCGCAAGAACATAGTATGCATAGTAAATCATACGGGTTAAAACCAATAATTCGCTGAATCCAACTTGAAAAAACATCATCTATATACAAAACAAAACAGTAACGTCTGATTTAAATACTCGACATGCAGCTGAGTTTTTCGTTTTTATTATTTAACTACTTACTACAATTAATTGGGTATCCGTTCTTTCTTGTCGTCGTTGAGATTCGACTACTGTACCTGTATGTTGCGATGGCTTATTGGCTATGCGTCGCTTGGTTCGTCGAACATTCATAAAAGTAAGAAAACCAAAGGTAAACATCAATGTATGAGGAATAATGCCGAGCCAAAATACAACGAACATTCCATCGAATATTGAAAACGAACCATTTAACACACCACATCGTGGTCGAAGATCGTACGCAATTAGAATATGAATACATGATAGAAAGCCAATTAAAATAGCCACTAATGTTGCTCGATAAGCTATTTTCATTTGACTAAATGAACGAAGACGAGCACTCACCGCCGACGACATACATCGATCAATCGATGATAACAAAATGAAATATGTGGCTATCAAGGGAAGTACTGAAACTAGATATACACGCAGTTTACAATAAACTGGACTTGTATTAATCAATGTACTACCAAGATGATCAGCAGCAAAACGAGATATGAGTCCAAAACTAATGGATACTAATTCAAACACAGCGGACATAAGGAAATAAAAAGCACATGAATTGTTTCGTAGTTGTGGTGCTGTGAAAGTAATAAAGTTGCACATACAACCAAAGATACCAATGACTAGTAGAATGATTGGTCCATAGTAAGTCATTTCACTAGTAACAATTTGTACTGTAGCTAGGGTCGTTGTTATCATCGATGAAGATAACGTTGTCGTAGGCATTATACTGGAATTTCAGCGGATAAGAAATGCTTAATAATGATATGAATGCGCTTTTCAAATATTGTTTTTTTCTTTTAAGAATAATGTTCGCTGTTTTTATGGCTTAAAAAATTCGCAAAAAATGAAGCATCAATATAAATCTTAATTGTGTAAGACAGCTTGACGTGCTTTCAAAATATGATATTATTATAATGATATAAAATTGGTAAACTCAACTTTGATCGACAGTAAGAATGTCAAAACCCAGGTCGAGTATTACGGCTACCAGAAACGGTCGTATACGGCCGTAAACGTTAACGTATACTGCCGTTTCTCACCGTAAATGGCCGTAACTTGACGTTTTGGTATGCACTGTATTACGGTCGTAATTAATCGTGTCGTAAACGGTTACTAACGACTGTAATGTGGTCGGATATTTCCGTATCCGATCGTTTATGGAACGATACAAAACGACCGTAATACGGTACATACCAAACAGCCGTGTATGACACAAGTTGATCGACCTGGGAAGTTCAAAATGTCGAAAGAAATTTATAAAAATAAAATGAAAAAATCTAAAAGAAGGAGTGTTTTGAAAGATATTCGATGAATATGTTATTATTGTAGGATCGATGGCGACTTATGTTCGTTTAAATCTATCATTGGTCTATCAGACATTGGTCACTTAGTACAATGTAATAGAAAAGAATAAGAAAATTATTCTTCAATTATTCATTATTCGAGTGANGTTCAAAATGTCGAAAGAAATTTATAAAAATAAAATGAACAAATCTAAAAGAAGGAGTGTTTTGAAAGATATTCGATGAATATGTTATTATTGTAGGATCGATGGCGACTTATATTCGTTTAAATCTATCATTGGTCTATCAGACATTGGTCACTTAGTACAATGTAATAGAAAAGAATAAGAAAATTATTCTTCAATTATTCATTATTCGAGTGATAAATATACATATGGAAGCCGCCACGGAATCGACGCGCAACATCAACAGTGATTTTAATTTCATTACTGCGAATAAGAGACAACCTCTTTTAATAACGAATCAATACATATACAAATGCAAATGCAACAAAAAAGGCCCAATAAAAAGATTGTGGCGTATATGTTCATACTGATATAGATCGGAATTATTTGTCTGGTGGTAAAACTGACCATGGGTACCCAGCAAATCTTGAATCTCTTCAAGTCAAAAAAACTCGTGAACAAATACTATAACGTGTACTAAACGAGTTTACGCCTATCGGGAAAATTTTTTCATGAATCCCTACTCAGTTTTCGACATTTTTACTGTCGACCAAAGTTCAGAGATTCATAAACTTTGAGCTCTATACATTCTCTTCTAAAGTATGATAACATGGGTGTTTTCTTTCAAAATTCTTTCGTTGTGTAAAGTGAATAAAAACCTTCTTGCACTCATTACTCTACCCATGTAAAAAAAAAGTGAACCAGAAGTCACATTTAATCACTTTTAATAGTAATAAAGTAAAATAAAGTAATTTTTCTTTCTATATTTCACTTTCTATAGTACTTTATCATACTTTTCTTACTTTTTAGTCAAAAAGTATGAAAAGTGCTTAAAAAGATTCACTTTTAAGTACTTTACCCTGCGTAAAACCTACTATTGAAAGTACTTAATAGTCACTTTTTTGGGTAAAATTTTTTACATGAGTACTATTCAAATATTTCTTTGCATTTAGCCATTTCAAGAAGTGTCACTGTAGATTTATGAAAATTTTGACTATGGCTAGTTAGTAAGAATAATCCATTCATCAATAAGAGCATTTCTTTTCAATGTCTGTCAAATTAATAATAATGATCTAAAGGAGTATCAACCTCAAAATAGAAAGATTAAAAATCTTGCGATACGTTTTTATAAAATACATGAAATGCTATTTGAACTCAAAGTCATGATTTCTCAAAGGCTGCATTTAAATTTTTACACTTTGCAGAATGAAAAATTAGGTGCATTCCTTTTACGTAACACAATCTTAATGTTACTGGATAAAAAATTCCGTTATGCTATTTAGCGTAGTAAATCCAATGTAAGAAGGCAATTTAGTTTCTTCTCAACTAAATATCATGAATATTCTAACATGTAAAAAAAGACCTAATATCGAATGGTTTACATTAATAAACCATTCTAAACAAAAGAATAAATGTCAGATAAAATGTTTATTTTAAAGCAAATCGCTGACTACTATTCACACCCCACACTGGTACTTAATTATTCTCATGCCATGAATCTTGAGAGAAAACATCTTTAGATATCGCTATTAAACATTATTGTGTTGTTCCAAACTTTTGATTATAGCTAAATAGAATAGCATACGAGATCATTGAGTTCCTTATTGAAACTTGAAATTGTGATTTTCCTGAAAAAGTTACTTCAATCACAGATTTACATTAATGAATCCTTCATGCTTATGAGCGTCAGAATTAAAACTATTATAAATATCGTACCTTGACTGTTAGCATCATAGAATTGTAGCGGGACGGCGTATACGTGACTATTTTCTACTTTTCCGGGAACAGATCAAAACTTTTGAACTCATAGAATAAAATTTATTTATTTAAGCATAAAATTTATTATGCCACCTGTAAAAACTAATGGCTCTAAAAATATTAATTACTGTCTATGAGCACTAAATAGAAGAAACAAAATATCTGACTTCTAATGAGATACAAAAAGAAAATGTTTCACTACTCGGATGGTTGACACTAACAGACTATTTTCTTAAGTTCAATCCGAAACCCAAAGATTTGTCAATGATGAAGCGTATATGGTATAAATATTCTATCTCTGGTAGTGAGTCGAGTCAAAAAACATTTGCGACTTCAATTGTGAATTTAGGATTTTTACAATAAATTCGATCTGTAGAGAGAAGAAAGCAGCTGAGATCTTGCTACCTGTTTAAATCTACGGATCATGAAAATCGCTCAGTTTCATACAATAGCTATGAACGTTTATTGACGAATCCGGTGAGAAACCATAATACAACTGAAATTCTTATGTAATTACTCTAAATCAGTACATGATCCTCGATCACCTTGAATGAAGAATTTCCATTAAAAACGGAAAAACAAATTTTCCAAAAAATCCTCCTAGGGTGGAGTACTGAGTTTTTAAAGATTTATTCATTGGAGAAACATGTAAAAAGTAGTATTTCGTAATATTGATCAAATATCTCGTATGTTTTTGAAACGCTGGTTATTCTGTATCATCAGGATTGTAGAGCAAGTGACACTCTACCAAATGTGATGTGCCACCGTCACCAGGAATTCGGTATTTCTAAGTTATTATGAAAAGAAAAGTGCTGAAAATAGCCCTGCTTTTTTGTGACGATGCTGTTCATTCACAAAATGTTTCAGACACTTTTACCTTGACTACTGATTCTACAATAAACATTGCTCGATGTACCTTTTCATGGAGATTCTGAATATGGTTTTGGTTTTTCTTTTCGACCTTGCTTTAGTGAAAAAATCTGTAAAAAACAAGAAGTAAATTATTTTTAGCTTTTTTTTTTGATTTTTTACTGCTTTTAGTATTTTAGACATATCTCCGTCAGTTTAACATTTTTTGGCGAAAATGTTTTTATCAAAGTTCTTAGAATTAAAAGCTCTACAAAACTGGATAGTTTCATCATAATTTGTTTTCTGTTTTAGGCGTGGTCGTTTTCTTGTGGAATTACCCAGTAACATTCGAGTAGAAGAGGAAGTTCTTTCTATTCAGGCTAATCTATAATTAATTGGAGCACTTTCTAATTGATTAGAAATGCAAAATTTATTATGTTCAATCCGTAAAAATGGAAATTATAATTTCATGATATTAATATGAAGGACTCATTTATTACACATTGTGTATCATTAGGCATCCTTTCTTCAATAATTTCCTATTCAAGAGATCTAGCGAGTAGTGATTTCAATAGTTTTCTGAGCAGCCTAGGAAGCTGATCTTTTTTATAACAACAAAGACAATAGAAAATGAAGTAGTGTGGTGCAAGAATTATATTTCGTATGATAATGGATATGAGATTTGTTTTAGTATTTTGAGAGTTACCTGATGCTATTTATTATTATTTTGAAAATAATTCAATTAAAAAAGTGTAGCTTAAATGTGGAATGACTAAAAATTTATAAATAGCAGTACTCTCTCTTTAAAATGATATTTTACTATCTTCCATACAAGATTATTTTCATGTGCTGTAAGGTTTTGCTTTGATGGACTGTAATACTACAGAATAAATGCCTTCAAGTTGTGATCTGACTTATCTCCGTAAACCCAAGAATGCAATTTACAAATCCCAATTTTCTAACTGAAATGCTTCAAAATAACACGAATTTACATAATATAACATTGAGAACAGTAATTGTATCTGATTTCAATTATCTATCTAAAAACGAATTACTTTATGGTGATGCTCCATTTGTAATTCTATTTGTCATGAAACATCTTTTCATTGAATCAAAGCTAGCTTTTGATAGCTAGCTATGCACCAATAATGAATAATAATTTACTCATATTGTAGTGCCAAAATTAGCGCTTGACGACAAAGACGTACTGAGCTAACTATTTACATTCAACGGTGTATGAAATACTCTAAGGTTATTGTTGGATTATGAAAATACTGATGAAACACCAAGAATGTACTGAAGATTTTCCGCCGCGGGAAGAATTTGTGTGAAAAAATTAAACTGAAATATTTAATCACAGCCTTCTTGGCTGTTTTGGAAAACTATCACAAAGACTGATAAGATCTCTTCAATAAGTAATTATTGAAGAAGATTTGAAAGTAGAAAAATAGTTTGCTATGCCTTTCTCGAGTACTTCTTGACAAACATGAATAATAATGAGAGCCACGGATGAAAAATGTTACTTTTTTATCTTGTTGTTATCTGCATCTCTAACAATAATGAGAAAGCATTCGATGCATTACTTCTGTTTGCACATCACTGGAGTCAAAACATCAAAATAGTCCACGACTTACCGTGTTCTGAAAGATTCAATTTCGATAAGATTAATAGAGGAAAAACACATCGAAAGGCTGGACACATCAACTATTTCAACAAGTTTTGGAAAATAATTAATATTGTGCCGTAGTCATAGAAATATGATTTGTATGACTGGTATTCCCAGAGATCTAGCAGCTATGATAAACATAATTCATGTGAAGGCTCGTTAGAAAAAGAATCATTCTGAAAATATTTGAATCGAAGAAAGTCTTTTTCTTCGTATCTATTTTTATCTCTCATTTAAGCGTCATATCATTCAATATCAATCTTTAAAAGGTTTCAGCAACAACTAGGGATGTGCAGTATCGGTGTAAATACTGAAAAACTGATCACCGACTACACCGACAGTGTGCACAGTAGTGCTTCACTGGGGAGCAGTGTCGGTGTAGTCGGTGCTCCACTGGACACACCATCGGTGGTCAGTACACCGACACTGCACATTCCTATACTAAACAAGAAAGATATATAACTGCATCGATAATTCTGAAGACAGAAAAATCGATGATCTCTGCATATGCACGACAAAATACGGTAGAATTCAACAGATGTTGCTAACCAAATCACTCTTTGAATAAGACTAAAAGAGAAAAATTATACTTGTAAAAATGATTGTCAGAAAAGAAAACTTTCAGTAACGCTAAATTTGAATCCAATAGAATAGTTTCTTTTCAGCATGGAGAGATTTGATGAAAGTTATTGCATGGTTAAAATTAGAAATTTGTATTATAAGATGTCTTGTCGCTGATAAAAATTTGTATTAGGATTCAAAATAATCCTGATTTAGCACTAGTACATCATTATTGATATGACTTTATTATGTGTTACTAGTTAGAGTCGGGTGACCTAATTCTGCCGGTAAAAAAGATATCTTTTGTATTTCTTTTATAACTCGAGTTACACATATCGTAGAAAAGTCATTGTTTCTTTCCGAGATAGAGCCAACATTTCTCTATCGAATGATATAAGATTATTCACAAAATAATAAACGAATCACATCAGGGAAGGGTGACAATAGAGAGGGGGTCAACATTCATTCGATTCTTATGTATTCCTAATTCAGCCGGTCAATGTATTTTTTTTTCCTAATCCTGCCGATTACATGGAAAACTGCAGTAAATTTTAGAAAAAGCTTATTATTTTCATGAAGTTGATAGAATATATTTAAAAAAAAAAATCATTCGGTTCGTCTTGAGATGGGCTATCTGCTGATATGTTTTTCTTGATGATTCATAAGCATTATACACATTTGTTTTTTGCGAAAAGAAAAAAAAGTGACGCAGAATTTTTTCCTGTTCTTAATTCTGCCGCTAATGTAATTTGTGTTCCTAATATTGCCTAAGTAATGTAAAATACATAGAACTATTAAATAAAAGCACGTGGCTGCTACCTTGACTAAAAAAAATCACTATTATTCTTATATCATTCGATAGGGATTTTCAAGGGCTACGTGGTGGTATGAAGTGAGCAGAAAGAAACTTAGTTACACGTGATTTTTTCTCTTCAAAAGACATTCGATAAGAGAAATCATCATACTTCAATCCGTTATTCTACAAGATAAGTCGACTTGAGAGTAAAATCAATAGCATACTCGGAATTAGCACCACAAATTACATTAGCGGTAGAATTAAGAACAGGAAAAAATTCTGCCGGTCACTTTTTTTCCTTTTCGCAAAAAACAAATGTGTATAATGCTTATGAATCATCAAGAAAAACATATCAGCAGATAGCCCATCTCAAGACGAACCGAATGATATTTTTTTTTTAAATATATTCTATCAACTTCATGAAAATAATAAGCTTTTTCTAAAATTTACTGCAGTTTTCCATGTAATCAGCAGGATTAGAAAAAAAAATACATTGACCGGCTGAATTAGGAATACATAAGAATCGAATGAATGTTGACCCCCCCCTCTCTATTGTCACCCTTCCCTGATCTGATTCATTTATTATTTTGTGAACTATCTTATATCATTCGATAGAGAAATGTTGGCTCTATCTCGGAAAGAAACAATGACTTTTCTAAGATATGTGTAACTCGAGTTATAAAAGCAATACAAAAGATATCTTTTTTACCAGCAGAATTAGGTCACCCGACTCTACATAAAATAGTGAGAAACAAAAATCAAAAAACTATAATTTTACAGCTGAGATAGTGTTTATAAAAATATCTTGTACGCTGTAACTCATTCAAAATGAGACTATACTTAACATTCTTTTGTGTGAATGTGTCAGTTAATATTTAAAAAAAAAAGAAAATAGCCAATAGTTCACTGATATAATTCCTATTAAAACTCGATACGACAAAAAAATTACATTTTTTCTTGAGTAAATGAACAAGTTTAAATCATTCATATTTAACGGTACTATGCATAGTTAGGGGCGACTGCTTAAACAGTATTGCCTCTTCTAGGTCCATATATAACTGTTGCATATCGCCCGAAAATTTTTCGAAAATATAATTCGACTCTGAGCAAGAAAATTGAACGAAATAGACGGCTGGATAACGTGTAAATATAAAATGATTTCGTAAAGTTAGCATAGTATACTAATGTGGTGAATGACATTAAGAATGAACCGATAAGTTTGTTATAACCAGTTAGTGGTGGCGCAAGAACATAGTATGCATAGTAAATCATACGGGTTAAAACCAATAATTCGCTGCATCCAACTTGAAAAAGCATCATCTATATACAAAACAAAACAGTAACGTCTGATTTAAATACTCGACATGCAGCTGAGTTTTTCGTTTTTATTATTTAACTACTTACCACAATTAATTCTGTATCCGTTTTTTCTTGTCGTCGTTGAGATTCGACTACTGTACCTGTATGTTGCAATGTTTTATTGGCTATGCGTCGTTTGGTTCGTCGAACATTCATAAAAGTAAGAAGACCAAAGGTAAACATCAATATATGAGGAATAATACCGAGCCAAAATACAACAAACATTCCATCGAATATTGAAAACGAACCATTTAACACACCACATCGTGGTCGAAGATCGTACGCAATTAGAATATGAATACATGATAGAAAGCCAATTAAAATAGCCACTAATGTTGCTCGATAAGCTATTTTCATTTGACTAAATGAACGAAGACGAGCACTCACCGACGACGACATACATCGATCAATCGATGATAACAAAATGAAATATGTGGCTATCAAGGGAAGTACTGAAACTAGATATGCACGCAGTTTACAATAAACTGGACTTGTATTAATCAATGTACTACCAAGATGATCAGCAGCAAAACGAGATATGAGTCCAAAACTAATGGATACTAATTCAAACACAGCGGACATAAGGAAATAGAAAGCACATGAATTGTTTCGTAGTTGTGGTGCTGTGAAAGTAATAAAGTTGCACATACAACCAAAGATACCAATGACTAGTAGAATGATTGGTCCATAGTAAGTCATTTCACTACTAACAATTTGTATTGTAGCTAGGGTGGTGGTTTTAATGGATACGGATGCATTCATCATAGACATTTCTTCGACTTTGTCTTATATTTACAATCCTATGAATTGATGTTTGTCACTGCAATTTTTTTGTCAATTATTGTATTTTTCTAGAAATACTGTTTAATGTCTAAATTTGTCTATGAATTCTTTTCGGACAGTATTGTTTTTTTATATGTTGGTGATCAATGGTAATATTGATTGCGGAGAGGGGTTCATTTTTTTCTAGAAAAAAAATAATAGAAGAGAGAGAATATATTGTTTTGATGCGCTAGTAATTTACATTTCTATAGAGAGTCCAATGTTGAGAATGAAAATCTATGTCACGATAGCTTTATTATGATTTCTCCTGATGAGAGTACATAGTAAAAAAAAGGAAAATATCAATGGAATCGATGTCTTTCAATAATATAGAAATCGTCTTATATGCTTTGTTTCATGGTTTCTTATATTTTCTCATCTACTAACATTATTTTGTTTATATAGAAACTAGATCGACTTCATCCTGAGTTGTTAAATAATCTTCCTTTCTCATTTCTAAGTTGTACTACTCAAGAAACATAACTATCAGTGCAAAAATATGCTTTCATCATCAATCTATCTTGTTCTTTTCAGCAACGAATATTGTCTTAAAACTATTACCAAACCTATTCACGTAACAAACATCTGCTATTGTTCTCATCCATACCGATTGTGACTGTGTTTTGTTTTCAACAAAATCCGGCAGTTTCTAAGCATTGATCATCACTAACTTTTAATACTATTAGTCACATGCGGTGGCTTTATTTAAGTAGCTTAGCTATTATTTTGAGTGTTGCTTCATCTAAAATATAGTTTTCAACAATATCTGCTTTGTATTCATGTGAGATGTACAATATTTTCTACAGAGAATAATTATGAGATCTTGCACTTAAAAGGAAGTCTTCGAAAATATAAAGATCTCTTTATACTGCGTATTTTATGCATTGATGGATGAGAATAACGATCTACAAACTCTAAGTGCTAATAATAAAATGAAAGCTGTAAAACGAATATTTATTTTGGTTTTATTGTTTCTCTTCTACGTCAAAATTATCAAAAACACACCATAAAGAGATACATATGAACTCGTTTTTTTTCTCGAAGGTGTCATCTATTTTTAGATACTTTTACAAAATTTTAAAGATGACCATATTCATTTAGCCTCTGTAAAACTTACGCTATTTGATACTGTTTTATTCTGACACTACGAATCATGTTCAGCTGTCTGTTTCTTATTTTTACTCTAACATATCAAAAATAATTCATGAATATAGAGAGAATTGCTAATTTTAAAGAATATTGCTTCATTTCTTCTAGTGATTATGACTGTATGATATTTTCTGGAGTGTGTAAAGGAAACGATATTGAACACTAACAATTTAATGTTGTCCTTTTCAGACTTCGTCATCTTGAATTTAAAAAAAACACAATAAAATTTTCTTTCTATCAAAACTCGTCGTGTTATTAGAACATTACTAGATGACTCCATTATATGTCTGTGTAATTGTTAATCTACGAGATCAATGTTCACCAACTGTACCTGCGATGAAGCATAATAAAGCATATCTCAATAGACGCAGATGTAAAGATAATAAATATTCATATCATTGTCCTTTAATGTAATAAAATACAATCGCTCTTGTTAACCCGAAGGCACAAGTGTTTCTTGTCATAAGTCATGTCTACAAGAAAAAGCTTCCTTTCATTAATATCTGTGAGAAAACAAATTATTGATACTCATCGAGATACCACTGTTAAAAATAAGGTTTCTATGTTCTTCAAGAGGAAATGCAAAGGTTAATAATTTACACTTGACTACGACCATCGGAGACCTTCTCACAATTAAAATTCACACGCATCACGAATTAGCGGATAAGACAAAATTAACATTTTTAATATAAACTAATTCACAGAAAGATCTTTACTTGGTCAAACAGTAAAATATGATAGAAAAAAAGCTTCTTTTATCGATGTTCGTACCCATTCATTGCCCCATCCAAATGTAAATGACGCTATCAATTTGAATTTGAGTGTGGGCAAATGTACTGATGTGTGAATTCAGCTTTCGATGAGACTATGAATCGGATATACTACCGATTACAGACAATACTAATATCCATAATGACAATTGGATGTTACAAACAACGGAATTTAATAATGATAGAAGACACTTCTTTTTTTATTTTATCCCGCAGTAAAACTCTTCCTGTAATTTAGATGATTGAAAAATTTAATTAGCTGTTCCATGTTTTTCTTTTCTAAAATTTTCTCGTCTAACTAATTATAAAAAATATTTTTCTTTTGAAAATTACTGTCTGAGAAAGCTCAACAACCTAATTCAGTAATTGACCTAGAAAAATGAATCTTTCCTTTGAGTTTAGTCTATCATTAATAAGACAAATCCCTAATTAATTCGTAGAAAGCAATCTGTTGACATGAATTATGCTGGATTATAATCTACTTATAAAGATGAAAAAGTCAGATAGAATTTTATTTTAAAATCTGCATATTTTTCACAGACGAGTTAGCAGATACAAAAAATACAATGTGTATATTTTTCGCACATTTTCAAAGAAAGATATCTTCTCGACAAGATTGATAGATAAAAAAAGCAACGAAATAATTCCGAAGTGTATTCATAACAAGTCGAAAATTATTCAAAATCTACTTCATTGGAATGCATATTATTGGTACGATCAATAAAACGAATTTATGTTGTTTTTTCTTCTTATCCGTTTTGATCTTTGAACTGACAGTCCGATTACATTATGTCACTATTTCGACGATGAGACTCAAGCATTTCAATAGAAAATCGACTATATTCTTCCATCAGTTTTCTTCATATGAACAATTGAATTATTCGAAAGATTGTATCAACATGACTTTATGTTACTGTTACATTTTATACTATGTTTATGTAGACTATAACCTTTCTTCGACAACATTTAATCTAATAGGAAATCTTGACAATTGATAAACGTTACAATATTACCTTAGAGGTCGTACTGTACAAGTCGCATTTGTTTTATCGCTACCATTGGCTGGACAATATATTTATTGAATGAAAGATAACTGTCTAAATTCATAATAAAAGTATAAGACATTCATATCTTGTGTCCAAAGAAAATATGGTTAAAAAAGATGATTTTATTATCAGAACTAAAAATAAACCTTCAGATTTATTTGAATTACGTCGATCATAATTTACAATGAACTATTTACGTATTATTCAAAAAACCATTCTCACGATATCATCTATAAGACATTCTTCGACTATAACTATTCCAGCGTTAATAGATTCTTATCCAATCGAAGCAACAGTATTCGAACCAAAATCGCCATCGTCTGATTCGATATGTGTTGTGATTTCTGAAGCAACAGGCTCTCGTCGTCAATTTTATTTTCCATTTGCACAATACTTAAGTGAACAACATAATCTACATGTTGTGACATACGACTATCGTGGAATACATGAACGAAAACCAACGCAATGGAATCTTGTTGAACATTGGGCTCGACGTGATTGTGCTGGAGTACTATCATATTGTCTTGACAAATATAATGAAGTTGTTCATGTAGGTCATAGCCTTGGCGGAAATATGCATGCACTTCTACCATCGCCAATAAATGAAAAAATTTCACGAACAATTCTTGTATCAGCAACAAATTCTTATTTAATGTATCACAAATGGAATTTAGCTTTTCTTCTAACATGTTCATCACTTTACATTCTTCGCGAACCACTTTGTAGATTTTATGGATATTATCCAGCACGTACTGTATTTCGTGCGGGTGCTGATATGCCATCAAATATAATTCGTCAATGGGCACGATGGGCATTAAATCGTCAATGTTTTGTCGATGAAAATGGTCAAGTATTTACAGATGGCTTTCAATCACTCAAATGTCCTATTCTAGCTGTAAATTTTGCTGACGATGAATTTTATACACGTCAGGCATTCGACAAATTTACTGGACAATTTCATCAATCATCAAATATTCAAACTTGGCATTTACCAAAAGGTGGTCATTTTAGTTTTTTTAAAGAGAAGCAATCGTTAGAACTTTGGAACGAGATAGTTCGATTTATAAAATATGCCGATACAAAACTTCCTACTATTATAAATAAATAAATAAATTAGTTTATTAAATAAATTTTTGCACAAGAAAAAACTCATAACAGGAGAAACAAGAGAAAAAGGAGGTCAATTCTACAAAAAGCTTGAATATTACACTAGTCAAATTCAACATACAGAACAATCTCCAGCATATTTTTCCGCCCGATACAAAAAAAAATGTTTTAAAAATTCTGTAATACCAAATACACGATAAATAATTTTTTTTAAAACCCAACAAATTATATCATAAATTTGATGTTTATTCTTCATGACTTAAATGAATCAGTTTTTTTGCACGTACTATTTTAACTGGTGCTTGATGTTCAATTGCACAAATAATCATATGATCAAGATAAGAATCTTTACTAGCGAAACAATGATAACATAGTTGACATTTGAAAATTGTCTAAACAAAAATTCGTTTAATATTAAATTCACTATTTCTTTTTTTAATAGTCAAAGAAATACCATTGGTATTGACGAACGATTTATAATAAATGGTTTAACAGATTTCGATATTCTCGACGAAAGTATTAAACAAGCAGCACTGCTAGAATAGTTATTGAGGAGAATTTTTCTCTTTTTTGATATCATATTTTGATCAATATATTTTCGTTTCGTCATAACCGGCTGCATTGCAACAAAACTAAAAAATGTTCGAATGAATAAAAACAAAATTTTACTAAAAAGTAATATTATACTTGTTTGGCGTAAGTATTGATGATGCTTGTAGATCAGACCTTTCGGTTGATATTCGAGTGAATAGTTGACCCATGGTTATGTGTTACTTTTTTCTTAACAATGGATCGAAATAATTTGACTATATGTATATAAATATAATAGCTCTAGGAAAGAGAAAAATGAGACGAACGCGATTTGTCATTATCAGACTGAAGGGTCAGTGTACAGTGAATTCATTGTCACAAATGAAAGAAAGAAGAAAAAAGAAAAAAAAGAAACGAAGGACAGGCATTCAATCTGACCTCAGATTAAGTCCATGTTACAAGAATGAGAAAAGAAGAAACACATGATTGGTTTTCGTTTGATTAGTGAATGTAAAAGAGAACATTGATTAATTCATTTCAAGTTTTCCTACGATCGTATTCTTTTTTTCTCCTATCTAGAAAAATAATTTATGTTACACGTCAAACGGAATATTAGCAAAGATGATTGAATCTCGTAGATAGATTATCAAAACAAAGCAAACTTTAACGATCTGTTTTATCGCTCAAGAAGAAATGATTACAATAAATGAATTGATGTTATGTTGAGTGAGTATTGAAGAACAATAACTCCTCTTGAATCTTTTGTAATATAATCAATGGCGTATAGTATGACAACTGATCAATTCAAGACACTGCAAGCTTTTTTTCTAATCGTTGTATTCATCTGATTTTACTTCTAGTAATCATAGAGAGAGATTTATGTTTTTTAAGTTACAATACTTTAGCTAAAGAAATTTTCCAGTAGTTATGACTTCGTACTAGATATTTAACTATGTACAATCAGCTTGTCTCGATCATTCTGTAACTAATGAAAATGAACTTATCGAGGCATACATGAGCTGAGATGAAACTAGACATTTAAGATATTAATGAATTTTCTTTGAAGATAATGGGCACGTTGTTTCTAATGATTAGACTTGGCTTATTTGATCTAATCAAGGAAACACTTCTTGTTTAATTATATGTCATTGCCGTAAAATTAAGGACATCCTCGATACAGCGATTCTATGGAAAAAAAATAATTTGAAAATGTTTAAACGATCACTATCAGATACTGTTGGGATTTTCCCAGTAGAATCGATTGTTTGTTTTGATTCTCTTTATGTTTGAAATAAAATGAATGGTTTCCTTACAACTAACTAGATTTCACTTTTAAAGTGTTTTATCATCGAAAAGTGGGAATATAATTTAGGAATTGGTCTAGGAGGTTGCAAATTGTAGCGCATGAAATTCATCAACAACTGCAGGAATTGTATTGTGGCTCTTTATTCGTCGTTCAATCAATAGTAATAAATATAACTGGATCTTGCAGACTTCAATATTAAATCGAATGATTTTGGATACCAAGCCGTCTTAAAATCGATGAGTTAACTGCTGTATCTGGTACAGTCAGTCAACGTCTACACGGGAACATCATATGAGATACAGCTCCCCTCTAAAGCTCAATTGTTTTTGAATTAGTTGACAGTAATATTTTATATTAGGCAGCTTCCGTAAAAACATTTGAATGGTAAGAATTCAGGTGTGTTCAGTTAATTCATCAGTTTTTAAACAGCAGCTAGTCAATTACGGTTTATTTTTGCAAACACTTTACTGTTTGCCGGTTTTTTTCCGAAATCTTGAAGATTTTTAGTGGTGGTAGCCGTGGGAAATAAGTATGTTGCTTTGTTTGTTTAATTTAATTTAAAATCGATGGCATTATTAGTAAAGTACATATGGAGATTCTCGAGGGCGTGGGTGTCAATAATCATAATCAACTATGTTTAATTCTTACGCTTTTTAGAAGAACTCTATGATCATGTTTATGTGCTTGATAAGAACTGATTTTTTTTCTCCCATGGTCAAATATTTACATCTTTTCAGTAACTTTGCCAGATAAATGAATTTATTTCACATATGTATTCTTTATGAGTTTTAGATTGTATGACTGCAGTTGTGACAGGTATTTAAGCGTTTAATTAAATCAAGCAAATAACTGATTATAAATATATTTTAGTTTATTCCAGTGAGTAGCACTTGTCATGATGATCCAACAAAATATCATTCAGGACCAGCTACCTCGATGATTGTTCCTAACAATCAGATACATTTCAAGGCATGTAGCTTTTATCTCTTAAATGTTAGGTTGATCTGGTTTAGATTTTCTTGTAAACAACATTGTTAAAATTGTATGATGAAATACGACCGAATTTAATATTGACAACTGGTGGAACGGGAATCAGTCCAGATGATATTACATCAGAAGTGTATGTGTGCGTGTACTCTTTTATTTAATAGACTCACTTTTGCTTTAGGTGACGAATTAAGAGTTACCACAAAGAAAATTCGTGGTCTAATACAGACAATGATTGCGAAGCATTAACAATTATTCACAGAGCTATGCTTTCGAGATGAAATCGACGTGCTAAAGCAGTTATGACATACTAATATGTTAATCAAATGTTAGATAGTTGATTAGTTGTCTACAATGTGAATAGTGGACGTTCATATGTTGGAGGAGAAAATATTGAATTATTTTGTTCGACTTCAAACTCTTTTAATGCAGACTAATACACTACTTGTGGAAGATCAATGTGTAGTGATTAATATCAGTACTAAATTACCCGATAGGAGAAGAGTATATGTATTATTTCTGAATGTTCATTGAATCAAGATATTAGGTTCTGCCTAGAGATATTGACGATGATGTTCAAATGAGTGAATTAGTTTTACAAAAGAACGTTCCTTCGGGACTTGCTCAGCTAGGTTTACTTGCTACAGTTGGACTACAAATAATACATGCTTATGAGAAACCACGTCTAGTCATTCTTTCAACTGATAGTAATAAAATCATTCTTATGAGTGCATTAAAAAATTTAAATATATAACATACTATTTACTCTCAGTTTGGCATTATATATAATACGTAACTTTCATTCGTATTCCGTATCTTTCCAAACAGCTATTTCGAAAATTTATTCTAGTGAAACATCGGTTATTTAAACATTACAATCTCATCTTCCAATAGCGCGCATTCTTGTGCGGGTCAGTGTGTCTGTGGATTGTATTTTTTATTGATAGCCACTCCCTCAAGCCACATATTTTGTTGTAATGTCGTTCTTCTTTTTCTGTTGATAATAAAACGACATGTCATGAGAAAATCACATCATCGTTTATTTTTGTGAACGAGACATTGATACTATTAATTTCGTACATCAGTGGATATCTGCAGTTGAGTTGTTTGTCACAGCATTATACTTACATTACGAATTTTCTTGATTTTTAAAAAAAGTGCTGCTCTGGCAGGTCGATGCTGCCATCAACCCGCATGATTTCGTCATCGCAACATGTATTTGATCAGCGGAGATCTTTTACCTCTTGGTAAGTTTATAATAAGCAATTTAACATCGTTGGTCTGTAGGACACGATATTCTTCTCGTTCTGACACATCACTCGCTTACATTCTTCTTTGTTCTGTACGGAAAGAGTAGAGACAATAATAATTTCGTGCTCTGAACCTCAACGAATAAAGTTGCTTATTACAACTTACCAAGTGGTAAATGGCCTTTACTGATGAAAAACAGGTTGCGATGACGAAATTGAGCGGGTTGATGGCAACATCGATCTGCCAGAGCAACATTTTTCAATAAATAAAATTGAAATGCACCATCGGTAGATTGTACGAATCTATGCTTAATAACGTGTATTCAAATACAATGTTATAGCAGTCTTCAGTAATATTAATGTAATAACTAAACAACTACTGCAGAATTAAAACGAAATATAGGTTGTTTATGCTATCTTTCACAATCAGAACAATCTTACTATGCATACTCTCAAATTCATATCAATCACTTTTCTTTGAGTAGCACTCGCAATACTTTTTAGTTTTATCGCTCAATTCTGAGCAGTCAGATGTTTTTTGAAACAACCTATGATTGAAAAATACAGAACCAGCACAGCACCTTTCAAACTTCCCTTGAGAAACACTGGATATTGTCACTTTATTTATTAAAAAGTGTTGCTCTGGCAGATCATTGTTTCCAACAATCCGCACGATTTCGTCATCGCAACATGTATGTAATCAATGTAGATCTTTTACCTCTTGGTAAGTTGTAATAAGCAATTGTCTTCGTGGAGATCCAGGGCACGACACCCCACTTGTCTTTACACTTTTCATCAACGAAGCCGTCCGATCAATGATTTCTCAAGTTCAATAGAATTGTTAAAGATGGCAGTAATGTCGTCGACTTAATAAGGTCGTCTGGAATAAAGCCACACAGGGATGAATCGCAGAGCTTGAATTTTTGAAGTCGAACCTATGGAAGATAAAAGTAATATACGTTGCCCAAATTTAATAAAATAATTCGAAGAAGATTTACGAAAAAAGGAACTAATGAAAAAACTAAAATTTGATGATAGCATTGAAAATCATCTAATTGATTCAAATCAAGACCGTGAGAATGATAAACTGACCAAAATGGTAAATGTCATATAGTTCAGTCTCTTCTATCTTAAATGACACCCAATTATCAAGCAAAAATCTCATCTTAGATTTATTCCTAAAAGTGAAGGTATGAATGATAATATAAAGAGTACTGGTATTTGAATTATGAAATAAAACTTCACCAATAAGAGAATATTTCTAATGAATCAACAAACGAACCATCTGTAACTTTCGACTTCGTATAAAATGATCAAGATGAAATTTCATTTAGAATTAAATTAATTGGAGTACAAATTTTGTGTATGTTAAATTTCGCCTTAGGAAACGTCTTCATAATAGTCAATCGTCTTGGAAACAAAACAACTATAGAACTTTTTTATTAGACGTGTTTTAGTTTTATTAATGTGCAGGTTGATGATAACATCGACCTATCAGAGTAACAGCTAATAAGTGGAATATATTTATTCAAGAACATACCGGTTAATATATATCCTGTTTGGAAAGAATTACTTTCCGAAACTGAGATATCATAATGCGATGAAACCAGTAAATGGATAAAAATATATGACTTTTTACAATGGAAAAAAGAGTCGTTTCATGATTATATGTAGGAACTTCTCGTCATTTTAAGAGGAATTTTATGTAAATATCATATCCCCTGATCGGTTGAAAGATACGTGTATCTTCAAACAAGTAGTTTTCAATTGGTAGACATAATCAATACAATAAGAATCGTATTCATTATTCTATGTGTTGTTAAATCCATGAATAATGTGAATCCGAAAAGGCTATGTTTAAAATAGTATTTTTTTTATTTGACGAACTTAATCAAGAATCAATTATTGATGATTATGACGATGATGAATTAAATATAGGTCGTTTGAATTCGGAATATTTTCTTGGTGATTTTAAATCTTCAAATGACCAACGTAAATTGCAAACGAAACAAAAATGGGTTGATCATATGATTGAAAGTGCAAAATTAGATGAATATGAACGTCAACATGAAAGTGACAAACGTTTTTTTTTGACGTGACACCAACACTTGATAAGCAATGGAATGCATTAAGCACAGCAATGGGTGTTAAAGAAAAAATTTCAAGATACGTTAAAGAAACTGCTGATGCTTATAATAAACTTGTTGATTGATTAAAATTTGAAGTTCAAACAACAGTTGATCGTTGGATTTTCTATCTACAACTGAATATTTATTATAGCATTGTTTTCACTGTAGATACATCGAAATATTCGTACAAATGAGCGACTACCGAACCTGGGTAAAATTTATTAATCGTTAAGGTAAACATACACACAAACATTTTATCATTGTAGGTTAGTCAAACAGTCGATTTAATTAGAGTTCATTTAACAAACTATGAACTATTCGTGCAAAACAAAGGCCATTTAAAAGCGCAAATTGTTATGTTTGACAACACCGAAAGAAGCGCAACATTGCAACAACAATTGAAGGGCCTCAATAAAAAGATCGATGACGTTTTAAAAGACATAGTCACGGGGGTCAAATTGTTGCAGCAATTGGAGATCGAAAGTAAGACTTTCTACAATGATTGGTTTATTGTATAATTAAAATTTGTTTGTCTTTATTTATAGACAACACGAACCAAGAAGCAACAAGTTGATGCTTTGAAAGACTGCCGCCAATTTGTTTCTCATATCCGTTTGCCACATTTGTTATTTGTAGTCCTAAAAACATAACTAAAAGATATACCGGTGGTTAAACAAGAAAGTAAATCTAAAACACGCTGCAATTCCTCTAGATAAACGTAAATCAAAAGCTCATGTTGACACAGCAAATAAAGTCAACCCATTTGATCTTGATGTCAATCCTTGCAGACATGGTGTACTGGACAAACGATGTAGTTATGCAAAATGTGGTCAACCACTTAAATCTCCATCACGATGCGTTGAAAAAGTAATTTTCTGTTGTGTTTCTTCATTTCTTAATGCATTTTTATTTCATAGAGAAAACGTACACTATTAAAAGAATTAAATTCTCTGTTGATACGCAATACACTTATTGATAATTGCCTCGATGAAAATGATGCAACATTGGCACGATGAAAAATTAATGCAATATTTTATTATCGAACAAACGTGTTTTTTTTTCTTATAATCTCAAGCTATGTGATCCAACATCAATATATCCTACAGAACTTTTCAATGCCTATTTAATCGACACAGTGTGTATATAAAGTTTCTACAATTAATGTGCTTCTATAGAAATTATTCAACCAATCTTTAATAAAGCTGTTCCATATATATTACTGATTTTATTTTCTAGCTCCATCTGATCTTCACAAACGTCAATCTCGTTTATCTGATGATCGAAGATACCTTAAGTGCTATTTGAACACCGATAAATGATAAACGATTACCACCAATAGCAACATCAGTTCTAAATGTAACTTACCGCGTGTTTCTCTCTTTTCAAAAACAAGCATTATATTTTTCGGATTGTTTAAGAATTATTTTCATCTTCTATTCGATTGTTATGAATCAACAACATCAAATCGAACATGATTAAATCAAATCGGTAAAAATCTTCTTCATATTTTACAATTAGTTAATAACGAACAAACAAAAACGAATACACTCAATCGATTACAACAATCTCATACGACATTAAATGAACAGATTGAAAATGAAACGTTTTCTCAAGTAGATTCATCATTCGTATGTTATATTTCATATTTCTTTTAATTTAATCTCTCATTAAACTTTTTATTTTATAATTAGTCTTTTCTTAAAATTAATCGTTCATCTTGATCCAACATCATATTTTATTCATCCGATAGCAGCAACGCCATCAAGAACATTGTTTATTCAAGCATTCAATCATTCATGTGTTTTTGTTGAAATATGTTTTTCCAACATTCCTCTTTATTCTTGTGATAGCCTTGTCTCAAATTACTTTGTTCATGTTGGCAAGCATTATTTTCTATTTAACTAGTAAAACAAGAAACATGATTTTTGTCATTGTAAATTTTGTTATTGAAATAAATTTTCGTTCCATAATGGATATTAAAAAAAACTCGTCACTATGCATTGCGTATCCCATGAAAATGAAAACATCTCGATATGTAATACTCTATTCATCGAAACAGATTGATAATAATGAATTTCTTGTCATAAATAAAGACATTAATTTGTAAGTAACAGAAGAAACATCATTCATTGCTTACTGACTAGCTCATCGTACTAGAAGAAAACCATTCCATTGAAATGAAAGATTTAGAACAGTTTTTGAGAATTTCCATCAATACGCTATGATAAGGAGAAAATTGTTGGAAGTCGGCGTAACTCTATAAGGCATGAATGATTGAATGCTTGAATAAACAATGTTATTGATGGCGTTGTTATCGGACGAATAAAATCCAATGTTGGATAAAGATGATGAAGTAATTTAAAACACGGAATCTAATCAGCTCGCATATACGACAAAAGATACAATGTTCAGTAGTAGATTTCGATTTCCAACTGCTTTATTCATCGATACAATATTAATATTCATTCATAATGCAACACAAGGTCATACCGTTATTTCAGTAGTTGTTTTTGACAATAACTCAGCTTTCAATGCACATATTTTACTTTGTACTTGACACACAACACATTTTTATTCAGAGAAAATAACAGAACAAAATTACAGCGACAACGAAGGAAAATAGTCATAAACATCTTTTGGATAGACCATGGATTGTTCAGCAATTAATTGTTTTATTTTAGCACAATTCCGTCGTGTTTCACCTCTTGTAAAGTTGTTTGTCGCTATTTTCAAATTAACATATTTAACTTTTAATTCAGTTAAACGAGGTAGATGGGTTTTTGTATCATTGAGAAAATGTTCAATATAATGAATGTGTGCACCAGTGATGTTAAGTGAAACAAGATACGGGTATTTAACAATTGAGCGCCAGTCGTTTTCATAAAGATGACGCTCGCGAGATCTCCAAAAAGGTGGTTGAATATTCTTAATACTTAAATCTTTAAGAAATGGAAAAGCTTGAGTAAGTCGAATGAAAAATTCATATTTGAATGCGTCTTGATCCCATAACATCAAATGAGTAACAGAAGTAAATACAATGTTTGGAATATTATTTCCGATCTCTTCGAGACGATGAAATTTAACTGGGAGTGAAAAAACTCGACAAATCGTTTCCCAATCGTCGAAGTAATCCACCATACAAGCCACTTGTCGATATTGTATATTTGTAAAAGTGCTTAGAATATCTAAGTTAGATATACGTACATCTGGATCAACAGGGCCATGCTTAGAAGCGATATAAAATGTGAATGTATGAAGTCGTGGCATATGAATAAGAATTTCATTATCAAGATGAGTGCCAGCGATGAACGTGGAACCAGCCGATATATATATATATATATATAAATTTAATTCTTTGAGATGCGACATTCGACGAAGAAGAGGTAAAACCACACTGTCATAATCTTCAGTACTCTTATAACATGTTAATGAGAAACATTCTAAATTAGGTAGAGGATCCTGAAAAATTCAAAAAGCAAATATTAATAAATTCAGTTTGTATTAGTTGCGCTCAGAAATAAATTATTACGTATTATACATTTACCGAAATTCTACTTTTAAATTTTAATAATGCAGAAATCTCATTGTATCTTGCAGTTTTATTTAACTTTGTTTTATCTTCGATATTAAACATTACTAGTTAAAACAGCATAACAACACGAAACATAAACTCACCATGTTGTACGATGTTGAAGTTTTATAGATATAATTAACCTGAAGGATGAGTGAAGTTAATTGTTTGAGACGACCATCAAGTAAAGCAAGACAATCATCAAAATTATTTGTATTAATACATAATTCAGTAAGAATCGAAGAGGAAAAAGTCATTGGTGGTAAACAGTATAACGATAAAGGTGGATAATCGTTGACAGATGATGGCAGAATACTCAAATGGTTTAGATTTTTAAAGAAATCCAAGATCGTTACATAAACATTGTTCGTATCCTTTGTGAGTACTTGTTCAATATAGTTTTCATTACTGATAAGAATAAGATCCGTAATTTGTTGTTGATCAATATGTTGAAAGAGAGAATTATCTAAATGACATTCATATATAATTTAATCTGAACAGCTAAATATCTTTTTTATGCTAATCTTTTAAGTTCATTAGACATGAATATCTCACCCGTGAAATAGCGTGGAACGATTTCTCTGTTGAAATTGAAAATTTTAAGTTCAGTGAGATTAGGATAGATGCCAGCGCCAAGAATACATTCAATGGAAGCAGATTCAACACTGAGTGATTTGACATTTTGTTGAATTCTTGGTAAGACATCAATACGAAATCGATTTAGCATGGAGTCAGAAATTGAACAAATCTCATCAGCTGATTGAGATATGGAAACGAAATTAAGGATGTTACTGAAGATTTGCTCTTGTGCTATAATATCAAGTCGTTGATTGTTGATACCAAATAAAGAATAAAGAACATCAATATTGTCGAGTTTCTTTAAAATGAGAAATAATATTTCATTTGGAAGATCAAGAAGATGAACAATACGTTGACTCATCTTTAAATGTGATCATGTCGTTCTCATCAAGACAACATACATATATATAGTTATCTATTGAGTCTTTGTTCATATAGATCTGAAACAGACTAGACGAATTGGACGTGAATTAACGAATATGATTGGTGTGTCGCTGTGCTAGAAAAGTATCGAAAAGAAAAAATTGCAGCTGGGAGTGTTCATTTTACGCCTCGCTATTTTGGTATTTATCTATGAGCATTTTCTGTCAACGAAATCAAACGAGTAAATTATTTGCATAAATGTAGTTTCTTTTATATGTAGATCAATTATCGTAAAGTTCTTTGTAAAGAATTGAGACCACATCGAATAAAATTTATTTAATGATTAAAAATTTGTGACTACAGCTTGATTGCGGACATTTTTTTCCTCCAATTAAGAAAAAAAAAGTCCGCAATCAACAAGACGCGTAATAGAATTAATGACTGTTCTTGAGACAAGAAAAATCAAATCATGCCTCATGTTTGAAATGTCGAAAGTTAAAACAAATGTGTTCGATGTAATATAAGAGGCTTTGTAGAGTACGATGATCGATAAGGATGAACAAAAGCAATTGAATCGAAATGGGAACGTNTCTTTGAATATGACAAATCAACATGAATTTTAGATTTTAGAATAAATGGTAATAGTATAATTTTTTTTGTTTTTTGCTTTTAAAGTATATAGTATTGAAATAAATAAGAGGTATATAGCTTTTTTTATTATTTTATTTTAATTTTTCATATAATTCTTGTATTTTTAATCTAAAATTCATGTTGATTTGTCATATTCAAAGAATTGGGGGGACGAATTGAGTTAATTGGTAATGGGGACCAACCGAGAGGATCCCATTGATATTCTATGCTGTATGCCATGCGGGCAGATTTGTTTTTTCAGATAACATGCAAGCGGATAGACTAATAGTGATAAATAATGTGAATCAAAACTTTCAAACAATGGATACCATTTTATTTAAAGAAGGTTGAGATGATGATCGAGCATATAGAACTGATTCAAAACAAGCTGATCAAAAATGATCAATTGATTATTAAAAAGAGTTATTCACAAGTTATTGCAATAATTCAGAATATCTTAGTTTGTTTTCTCACATTTGCATGAAAAGGAAACGTTAACTTTTTTTTCTTCCTCTTAGTCCTGGTCATCTCGCTCTCAATGTTATAAATCATCGGCTTTATCATTTCTTTGGAAAGCGTTGATAAAAAATCTAGCAAACCATTTTTGAGAGAGATCAAAACTATGCCTAAATCTAAAACGAAATTATATTTTACTTCTAATAGGTTTTTCTTCCCACCCTCTTTTATACAATCGATTATATACGTCCAATTACAAACGGCTAAATGTATGCGAGATGTTGGTACAGATTATAAGGAGACTAACACCCACAAACACATTAGAATGCTTATCAACATGATCAGTAAACTAGTAGTGGCTTCTTAAACACATATTTTAATACCACTGGTTGGTATTAAGCTAATAGCTTTTGTGATTAGCTACATAATATTTTCGTATTAAGAAAAATCTCAGCTATAAATAATTTTATTATTTTTATTCTAAAAAATAATTACTGAAAATTTCAATAGTGAGAATAGCCTATCGATGTTTTAATATGAGTGTGAATACTTGAACTTTACTTTGTCCAATGATGAAGTTACCTAGAATAAAAACGTATTCATCGTTGCCAACTTTGCGCGTGCTCTATTTTTAAATATAATTTTTTTCTTCTTCTTTTCTTCCAATCAAATGTCCTATGCCATTTGCAAGAATCCATATTTTGTCTTTCACATGGCTGGATCATTTATAGACATTTTCAATGTCAATTTTTTCTTGTTTTATTTCTATAAATTCTCTATTTTCTTATCAATCGAGATGTTGAATTCAACGTCAACTGCACTTGTCATTTAACATTCAAACAAAAGACCAAGGACATCGAACCTCAAATATTATCCGACGTACTTGCGGATACTTCACCAGAAGATTATGATAGTTATTATGACAAGCTGAGAGTACGTAAAACAGGATTTGTTATTTTTATTCATATTATTTTTCTTTCAAATCTTTCTAGAAAGACAAATACTGTTATCAATTAGTTGAATAATTGTATATTGAAAATTCCTATGTTCGACTTGAAATGTCAATGAAAAAGATACTCTTCAAAATATTTCTATTCATTTTGAATTGATATAAGATAACGGTGCTCGATCACGCGTATAAAGCATAGACAGTAAATTGAATAAACGTAAGATAGTTAAAATAATTTTATTTCCTTGATTAAAATAACTGAATTTATCACATTCGAAAATTTATAAAATTCGATGTGCACGACTTCAATCAAAATAACTAATTGCTATTTAAAAAAAAATAACAACTGCTTGAATTCGTTCGTTTATACGTGTTTTGCATAGTTTGTAGGCATACAGCTATTCAAAAAAAAACGTCATAAACATATCCTTGCTTTATGCAAAAAATATACTTGACCATGAACGTGTCCTTAAGAAATAAATTTTGTTGTTTTTTTTTCTGTCTATTTATGTTCGCATCGATATTTCTTTAGATGAATGTATTTTCTGGCTATTCGTCAAATATATTAACAATTAAAAATTTTCCATTAATATTCAATGATAACGATCGACGAGAATTTTTAGAACATTTCGGTGTTGTTCGTGTATGTTGTTTAACTCGATTTAAAAACATATCAAATATTATTGTTGCTGATTTTGGTTCAAGTTCACAAGCTTCGCAAGCGCTGAGACGTTTACATCAACTGGAAATACTTGCTCGTCGATTAGTTGTAGAAAATTGTCCATTAGAATTAGCTCAGTTAGCTTTCAATAGTGCTCCACAATCTTCGGATGATGACGAAGAGAGTGCTTCATTGCATGGTATTTCACCAGGTATAAATCAAATTCGTTATTCATTACCATCGGAAAGACTTACATACGCTTATCCACCTATTAATGATATAATTTTAATGAATATAAACAGTGCACTATTATCAGTGCCATCGTTTTACACTCAGGTTCTTCATCTTATGAATAAAATGTCTCTCCCATGTCCAATAGTTGCTGGTAAAATATTTTTAAAAAAATGATTTTCCTAGCTAATAAATTGATTTAATAGATTCAACGCAACCTGAACGAATTTTATCAAAAATTAGTGTTGCATGTCAAACAGATGAAATGACTAAGATCGAAGTAATCAATATGGATACAGATGAAGATGAAAGTGAAATTGATGATGGCGAAGAAGAACAACGCGTCAAACGACACCATCGATACATTTTACGAACACCAATTCATCAAGGAACTGTTCCAACAATACGAACAAACCTGAATGTTAATACTGAGAAAATCAAAAAGGCACCAATCCAACTAAAATTACCTCCAATGTTAAATTCATCTCGAGTATGTTATTTTACATAGGAAATTCTTCATAGAATTCTAAATAAAAAAAAATCTCTAATTTAGATAGAAGTTAATAATTCAATACCAATGGATATTCCTATGCAAGGCTTTGGTCGATTAGAAGCCATTCAATCAACCATTACAAATATTAGTATTGTAAATCCAGATAAAAATCAACTTCAACCTCTCCGATTAATTCCACTTGAAGAAATACGAAAGCATCGTTTGAGTGAAAATCAATTGCGTCTAATTGATAATGGTCGTTTATATAGAAATTATGAACGTGGTCAAACATCACAACGTCTCTATATAAAAAATCTTGAAGTCAAACATGTTGATGAACGTCTATTACATGCAATATATGATCGATATAAACAGGATTCTTCTGAAATTGAGATAATTCTTATGCGTGAAGGTAAAATGAAAGGTCAAGCATTTGTAACATTTCCTAATGAAGCTATGGCTTTACAAGCATTGAATGATACAAATGGTTTTATTTTACATGAAAAACCAATGATTGTACAATTTGCTCGAACAGCAAAACCAAAAGATATTGTCGTCTAGGAAAATATGTGCCTTTTTTTGTTGTGAAGTTTTTTTTAAATATTAGGTCAGAAAATTTTGAAAATGTTTTTTTTATTGTTATTATCGTTGTGTTCTTTTATTTTAACGAATATTAAACGTATTTTGCAGACAAAATATGATACGTTCTAGTTGGATAAATGGCTTGCTTGGTGGTCTTCTAATATCATCATGTTGTGTAATTCAATTATTTCTAAATCTATTTGGTATTGGTTGTGCTGGACTGAATACTCTATTATTGCCTTATCGACCATTGTTTATTTCATTGACAGTTATTTCGTTAACTTATTCTTTTTTTCATTATCGTCCGTCGAAATTACATTTCACTATTGTAATTATCTTTACATTGATTCTTTCATTTTCACCTGAACTCCTTCAAATGTATAATAATCAATTTGCAAGAAATGATTTTGCCGATAATGAAATCTTTATTACACATTGGAAAATAATAGGAATGCATTGTGAAGCTTGTCGTGCAGCTGTTATACAATCATTAAGAAAACTTCACGGAATTCTCAGTGTTAACGTTGATCTTGAAACTGGTCATGCTGAATTAACCGCAAGTCATTTTATACAGACAGACACTGTTATTCAAGCTGTACAATCAGCTGGTTTTCAAGCTAATAAACTTGTTTGAAGCCATAAGAAAAGTATATTATGTGTAAAAACAAAACAAAAAAACATTCTATTAGAAATAAAATGAAGGATTTTCGTGCAATAAGTAAATACATGATAATGTGGCAAGCATTTCAATTTATATGTTTTATATATCAACATATGAAATACATATTAGTTGTGATAAGAACTACTCTGATGAATGTATAATATCCTGAATGTGCAGTTTTATTATATAAGAGAATTTTCGGGACTTCCATTCATAAAGAAAGGATGTAGAAAAGAGAAAAAAAACTCTTCAGTATAGATGCACAGACCTTTATCTTAAGTGATTTCTTTTAGTAAGCAACCAAATAAAGAAGTCTAGCGATAATAATATTATCAAAATTCGCCATTGCAAGCACGACAATTTCGCTTGTGAATAATAATCATATAGAAAAACTATAGAACAGTAAGTAAAATCATTCGAACGTAATGCACAAGATGAATACGGCTTTCTATACAAATAGTAACATACTCCAAGGCGAGAGATAAAATATAGTAGATATATATATGCTACATGGTAATCAGCACACTGACAACTAGTGACCTCTTTCATTGGCACAGAACGAACCCCGCAGTCAATAGTTATTCGTCAAAAATTGAATTGTATATTTTGGATACCGTATAAGTATTGTGTCAATCTACAGCGTATGATTAATATGTATGTGTGCAGCCCACGCCTACCAATTCACCTTTTGTTTTTTCATGCGTGCAATCACTGGCAATGAAAACACTCTATTTTTCTCTCGTAAGTGTCGATCTTTGCTAAGATAATTTGTAAAAAGTAAAATACTACTCGATTGGAAACTAGTGACACGTGTGGTTAGGTATGATTGCATTGTAGAATCTATTACATTTGAGAAAATTGACTTTCTTTTTTTTACTACGACAGCTGTTGCTTTCAATAAAAAAATTTATTTCTTGATTGATTTGTCTTGTGCTTTTGATGTTAGTCAGATGCTTGCTAATATGTTTCAGATTATGTTATACTTGTTATTTTCTTCCCTTCTGTTATTTTGAAGTATTTCAATATATATTACTGATTGGGTGATATCGACGTACCGCTCTGCGACTATTGGCTTTATTCTATCTATTCTCAGCGATGACATAAGCTGTTCCACGCTGAGTCTTATTTTTACAAAAAATGACAAAAATACACCTGGTATCAGCACATTTTATGTCACCACTTCTGTTGTTGCTTATACTCAGCAGCCATCTTATTCTTAACAAGCAATCCACATGTCTGGCTCTTCGTTTTACGGATGGTAAGCAGACAGATTTATTTATATTTGACCTTAATGTAAAACTCTTTTTCTTCAATATTTGTTTTTCTATAATACATTCGCGATAATGACGAGATTTATCACATTCGTTTTTTTTCTCTCATTCAGTTACCCGTTTGGTTATTTACTCTTTCAAAAGAATCATAAAATAAGTATGATACTATTCATCAACATTACTCTAACTTTAGAGAATGGAATGACTTGCCATTAACGATCGGAATATGTCCTCTTTCAGTGAGAAATTATTTGCTTGTTTGCTGCCCGTCCCCCGTCCCCCCTATTCAAAGTTGCAAATGCCAAAAATCATTCAAAGAAAAAGAAAAAGAAAAGCGAATAGAAGGTGCGAGGAAAAAATCATAGAAACAGCGTTAATAGAACTTGTCAACACGTTCTCTGATAAAATCGTAATCGAGTAGGTGGTTGGAAGCTATGAATAATTTGAGTGGCAAAAAAAATGGCATGCACACATGCAAAACTGACTTCAATGATTGACATATCCTTCAATTCTTCTCGATTAGATTCCATACAGACATGTACGGAAGAAGAAAGCAAGAAAAAGTAATGCTGCGTTGTATAAATCAATAGATAAATATACGGATTAAAAGCTAAAACAACACTGCATAAGGCGCAATGCTTGAAGCCAAATACTCTTGGATCATCACATTTAATTCAATTTATTCCTTTTTTCTGTTGTCCGATGATGTCATCGTTGATCAAAGAATAAATCGAATCTCTTCGTTGTTCTCTATGGTAGCATCATCATCATCATCATCGTTCGATGAATAGTATCCTCTTAAAATGAGAGTTAGGAAATCAAGCAGCGTTTTCTTTTTGCTTTCTATGAATGACTAAAGTATCTTCTATTTTTTTTTCTTTGCTTGTTTTCTTTTCTCTGCGTTGAATAGAAATGCATGGGCAATTTTTTTCTTCGTCTGTGAACGTTCTCTACGCTTTTTAATACAAAAAACAGAGAATGAAAAAGCTATGAGAAGGAAAAAACAGCATTTCTTATTCGAATAGAGTTCGAACAAAACAAGAACTCTATAACACTACCGACACACATTTATTCACACACTGGTAATGACGATCGGGTGTTCTGTATGCGTGTGAATCGCGGCACACAGGCACGCAACGTTTATGGTCAGAGCAATAACTACTGTAAATCGAAACATTTGTATGAAAATACAAAAATCAAAATAAGAGAAAATGTTGAAGATATTTGTGAATAACAATGCTGCTGTTTTATTTCTTGTTGTAATTACAACAATCGACGCTTCACGTATACTTTATCTACCGCTTCCGAAAATACGTTCGTCACATCATGAATTAAAACCATCGTCATTAATCCTACGAGGATTAGCAAAAAAACCAATCACCAATGAATTTATACCATTCTCAGCATTGGAGCGAAATATGTACGAGGAACAAGATGAAAATGATGAAAGTAATATAGAACTCTTTGATGTAGTTAAATCATTCTAAATAGGCGATTAGGTAACATTAAGTCTTTATCAAGTAGGTCTAAAAAGAACGAAGTGCTGAACACAATTCCAATTAGAACTAATTGCTAAAAGCATATTAAATATGAACGTTTTGTTTTATTTACGTCCAGTTGTATTACGCACTGGGTGAATGAGTTTGTAGAAAAAAAAGTTTCTAATAATAATCCTATTGGGAGTGCATGATTGAGTAGTAGAAGCAAGTGTGAACAAGTAACAATAATCATAATTATTTATTATAAATTCTCTTTTATTGTCTTCTATTTTATATCTGTAATAATTATTTCTTTAACATACAGAGATATAATTTTCAATATTTATTAGAGTTTGCTTTTTCACTTTCATAGAACGAGATGTTTTGGATTGGGAAGAATTGGTGGACGTTGAATTAGCAAAACATCTTCTTTCCGGTAATAGGAGACGAAGTGGCGTCTATTTGTTTTTATTTATTCATTTGCCAATGCATTTTTATATTTATTTTATAGCAGATAATAATGAATTGGATTATTTACTATCGTTGGATCGGGCAACACGGAAACCGAGTAAATTAACAAGAAATCATGATAGTCTAGATTCAGCAAGTGACAATCTTTCTCGACGTGATCAAAAGCAAGACGCCAGTGAACCATGGGCAAGCGATACTTCTATTAGTCGAACAGCACGTTTACAATTGAATGGTGCTGTAGATAATTTGGAACGAAGAAAACGACGCAATGATGTACTATTTCTCGGTAAGTTATCATTGAATATGAAATAAATAATATTTTCAATAACTAAATAAGATAATTGTTGTATTCAGCAGTGTCCAAGGGCTGAGAAATAGGAATTCCTAATGTGCCGAGGAATTGTCCGTGTCGCTGTGATAATTCCTAGAGGAAATGGGAATCAACTATCGGTTCCCTCACAGTTACACCATTCACGAAAGTCGCGATATTGCCGTTTTAAAAAGTTATCGTGAATATTCCATATTTTTACCTTTAGTATGCAAAGAACTGTAGGGGAACTGATGAGAAATTCTTAATCCTCAGTCCTTGGACACCCCTCGAAATCATTTTATGCTATTCTTAAATAAAATATTCTTTTCATAGTTATTGTTGGTACAAGTAGTTTAGTTGGTATTGTGGGTCTTATCGCAGCCGCTATTTTCTGGTACAAGTAAGTGGTCATGTTTTGTTAATTATATTCTCTAAAATTTATGTGAGAAGGCTCTATTTTTTGCGAGATATTCGACAAACATGAATTGAAATTACTTTTTTTTTATAGCTTCTTAAAATACTCTACAGGTCTTCTTTCTATCAGCTTAGTTTCTTTTTTTCTTTACAAGACCATATATAAATACAAGGCATAGTAGACGTATTTTTTTAAATGATTACTTTGTAAAAGGGACAAGTTCAACGCATTGAAATACTTATCTAAACGTAGGGCTCTCATTATAGAAGAATTCTTGTCGATATTAATGAAAAGTCTTAATTCTAAATTGAACTTAGTCATACTTCATCTATTCGCACGATTTAAGAAAAATAATGAAAGTCCTTTGCCAAATCTGTTATATACGATCAAAACCTGCATAAGATTTGCTTCTATTTCTGTAGGTAGCAAATTTCCTTGTAGATGATCATAGAAAAAGAAATTGTGCAATAAAAGTTCTTGTCGCTAATCATTATTTCAATGACGCTGAAGAAAATGAAATTTTTTGAGAGGACAAAAATCAACACTAGAAAAAAAAGTCGATGTCATTATTAGACTAAAAAAGATATACAATGTTAAGAAAACTTTCCGTGATTTTCTGTTTTCAACAATATTAGGCATAGAATGCAGCAAAAGTACAAAACGAAGTTCTTTATTTAATTCATGTAATTACGGTCGATTAGGAATATATTACTATGTAATAAATTTTATTCTATTATTACAGCAAAAGATCTGTTCTTTTCTATCTCTCATATTTGACAAGTCATAAATTTCAATAAATTTTATTGATATTGTTGGCTTTGCCAACTGTCATGACATGTCTTACCACTATCAATAATGTATTAGATAAAAACGCATAATATTAGCCAGCTAATATATTTAAATAGAGAAAACCAATGGAAAACGCTTCATGATCTTCCATTACATTTGCCAGCAGTTTGAAAATTAAAAATAAAAACACATTCAACATTTTAATTAAATTTTTATTATAATAGAAATTTTACACTGGACAGACTGTGCAAAAGAAAGATATTTACCCTAAATTTAAATGTAATATAAGACATCTAAATAACATTATTTGTCTTTTGCTGTTTTTAGAATTCACAAAAGAGCCAAAGCAACACTCGATGCTGAATATCCATCATATGGTATAACAGGCCCTACCTCTGGTGGCAATAAGATGTCACCAAGTTCAACTATATCTGATCGAAAGCTAGCTCAAAGTGCACAAATGTTTCATTATCAACAACAACGACAACAAATGATGGCCCAAGAAAAGTAGAAATCTTACTTTATATAGGTTTATTTTATTAATCATTTCTGTTTAATTCTTCTCAGGAATGAATTGGATGCAGAACCTGTTCACTCAGATGATTCTGATGATGAAGCACCTGGTGGTGGAGATTATACGGTCTATGAATGCCCTGGCCTTGCTCCCGTAAGTTAATTTTAGATCCAAAATTTAAATGTTATTATTTTAAAACTGAGATGGGATCAATAGTAATCGGATCATTTGTTTTTTTTTGTCTTTGTAGACTGGTGAAATGGAAGTACGTAATCCCCTTTTTGACGAACCAGATTCATCGTTAACATCATCTGCATCCGCTTCTCACCCAACAACTAATAACCATTACCCTCAACCTATCGCAACAGCATCATCATCGTCATCACCACCCCAAGAGAAATCACTATCATAAGATGACAAATTATATTCAATATCACGTTAATCATTCATTTCGTCTATTGGTTTGGCTCAGTTTATTTTATTTTCCTTTTTTCTTTTATTTGTCAACCAATTTTTAAGAAAGGTATATGGACGAAAAATAGTCTATAAAAATTTTTATTTTTCATCGAAAAAATTCTTGCAAGAGCAACTAATTTTTTTCCTGCTTAAAAATGAAAAAATTAATAAAGTGAAGCATCCATCATATGAAATTCATCAATATTTATTGTTATCGATGGTAGCATCTATATTATATTTTGTCCATTGATGAAATAGTTTGGTAATGGCTAATGCTGTTTTTTCACTTAATTGAAAGCTTTTTATTAGAAAACTATAATACTCTTCAGCAGTATCATGAATAAGAAAACGACCAAGCAAATCTTGCATCGTACAAATATTAAATGATTTCAATTGTTCGACATCATCAGTATTTAAATCTAAAATGGAGAAATCATTCATTCTAGTTGTTGGTATCAATTCTACAGATTTTGTATGTCAACAGAAAATTACTTTTGCAATAACTTAAAGTCTAAATAGGCTATGCACATGATAAAATACATTATAGTTCTCCAAATATAGAACATATCAAACAACAATAAGATTCAGAATCAGAAATTGGTTTCATCGGAAACAAATTTTCAGGAACATATTTTCAAATCTCTGTCGTATCTCCGAAGTCAACATAGCCTAGCTCTAAAAAACTTAATCAGCATGATTTGTAGCTGATTTTAGTACTGAATACTATCATTTCTAAGAAAAAGTTTTGATTATGAAAATGATTAAACATTTCTCTGATAAATTACCACTTTTATCTCATATGACTTGCAAATAGAATTGTTTTTGACTTGCTTATAGTGATATAGCATAATTTTGTCTAAAAAAGGAAACACTCTCCATATCTCTATGACATTTTTAACTAAGATAGATAAACATTAGAGGAGAGAAAACGACATATGCTTATATTTCCGCAAGAAATAATTATTTCTTGGCTCCGAAAACCTTGATTTTTTACTTAGCAATATTCTATTTAAAGATAAAACAATGTAGGTTGATATCTGATGGGAAAAAACAATTTGACTAATTGACTCAGTTGGTGTGAGAGATTCTTTTTTTTTATTTTGTTAATATGATTTTCCTATGCAACAATATTAATACTCTACTTGGTAATTGATCAATACTTCGATTGTGCAAATGAGCATAATGAAAATTGTCTTCGGTCAATTTTTCCATTGCTGTAGACTCAATAAAAGAATTTCCCATCGTTTTTTTTCGTTTCTGTAGAATATTATCGATAGAAGCAAATGCATCGCATGTATCACTTAAAGGATTCATGATTAGGATTTTTTTTGTTGATTAATACGAATTTCAAATCTATTGTGTAATATGAAATAATACGACGAATATGAAAAAAAATTTGTTCACACACATGCACGCAGAATACGCGCGTTTTTCAAAGTTAGTTATTTTTTAATTATTTGGCTTAGCACAGAAACCAACTGTTTGGGTGTTGCACAAGTTTTCATAGCAGCAGAGATAATGTTTAGAATCGCATTTAAGACTTTTGTCAATTGTTTCACCAAAGCCGAAACCACCACGTTCAATAGCAACACCTGTCTTTGGATCAAATCTCTATTAAATAAAAATCAGTAGTAAAATGAAATAGAAATCAATAAATTTTCGTTGTACGTACTGTATAACAATATAGATTGCTGGCACCAAAAGCGCTTGAAGTACGAATATTAAATCCGTCGAGTTTTTCGGTTTTACAATTTTCAGCACCTTTGCATTCATGGCATGCTTTAACTTCTTGTTTTGGTGTTGATTTCACTATAAACCCAAGAAAAAAAAATTGTTCTCTAGCCATACAGAAATCATTCGATCAATATTAACCTGCCGGTGGACAAGGTGCTCTCATATGTTTGTTGCAAAAAGCTCCTTTACAACATATGTGAAAACGATCGCGACATTTGAAATTTTTATCAAATGATTCACCAAAACCATAAGCATCTCGTTTAATAATTTCACCAGCTTCGTTGAATTTCTTTAGAAATAAAAAAGAAATTCATAGATTCAATCGTCAATAGTTGTTGAAAAAAATAAAAAAACATCTTTCCATTCGGATGCTTTACTCGTAATTTTACATTTATTTCTGAATATAATACTGAATAGCAGACTAATAATCAGTAGAGCTGCTGAGGTGTACTAGGTATTATGAATAATCGCAAATTAACAATATGTTTATAACTGATCTAGCATCATTTCATATTTGATGATTTCGACGTACAACAACAAAAAATATTTACAGAGAACAATCTAATGTTAATCAATATAAACGCTTAGTCATAGTGGTTAAGATGAATATTAATAATCTCTATTGACAGAATTGAGAATATATTCTTACCGTATAGCATGTTAAAACAGCAGTACCAAATAATTTTGAAGTTCTAGTAGCATATTTATCAAGAGAAACGCCATTACATTTTGTTATTTTTTCACCCCAGAATTTCCATCGACTAGATGGATGAAGTTCGTCACATTGATAACAAATCTTGGCTGAACTGAAGCCCAATTGGACTAAAGCTACTAAAAATTTAATTATAAATTTTATAACGAAACATTTTGTTTTGTATTTGTATTTGTATAGAAACTTACTGTAGAAAATAATGCTAAGAAAAATAAGTTTAGATGCCATCTTGTCGTAAACAACGTTATAATACTCTACACTCGAATTATGCACCGACAACAGTAGGAAAGAAATAGTTGACTAGGATAATATATCATTTCTCTCTTGGCAGTGTTGATATCTGCCTACACGCTCTAGGCAAGTAGGTTCTGGAATTAATTCTGTGCCGAATATATCAGATAAACATTCGTCAAGCAATAATCTTTGAGTGGGTGTTCGTTGATTGCCGAGAAGAAGAAAAAAGAAGTACGAGGATAGAAAATACATATTAGCTTTGGTCGTCTCTCTACGTATCTTATAATAAAATACAGAAAAACTGTTTATGTTATTCTATTTTAATCTTTGCTTTTGCTTTTATCTTCACGCCCCATGACAAAACTAACAGAAAAGACAGAGGGAGAGAGAGAAATAAACAAAACAAAACATCGTTAATCATGCTGATTGGAATAATGATTAACGTTTGAAGTGAATCAAAACAAAAAAATGAACTTTGCTTTAAAACAAATATGTAGCTATAGCAAATGTGCATAAATTCAACGTTGATAATTTGTCGAGTATTTTTTTAAACTTAAGAAGTTCATAAAAAAAAAAACTTTAGGCTTTTTTCTAATTCATCCATTTTTTCAGCATATGAATATAAATGAAACTCGATATTATCATCAGCAGACATCTTGACATCAGTACAGTGTGAAAATTTTTATCTTTGAACTATAAAAAAAGGTAAATAATTGTCAAATTTACAATAAAATCATCTCTTTATATTCGAAATATTTGTGTGAGCATTGAAACAAGTAAAGAATTTTTCTTATTATATTGAACAACATTTTACGTTGATAATGAACGAGCAATTCAGGTAAAAAACAAAATTCATTTTAATAATATATTACTCATTTAGAGTAAGACAACGTTTCATAAACAGCTTAGTTTGCTTTCTATTTAGACGCAAACATGAATAAAGGTCATAGTAAGAATTTCGTAATTGAGATCGATTAGAAGAAACTTCAACAAGATATTCTCCAAAGAAGATAAGCTGCTGTCATTCTATAATGACATAGAGTAATTTACTTACTATATTTGTATTTTGTTTCCTTGTGAAGGATATATTTATTTATAGACATTGAAAGTAATGCAAGAGAAAAAGAGTTCTGGAAAATAGACAAACCAGATAACTAGTATTTGTATGCTTTATACAGAATCTTGCCAAATGCAAAGGAAAAGAAAATTAAAAACAAAGTAGCACAATAGCGCAACATTTTGTTTTTGTATTCGATGTAAAATTAAATATAAACCATTTGTAAGTCACTAGTCGAATCGTAGTAAAAATCTTCACATTATTCTATTTCGAAATTATAACGAGAATAATATAGAATTCTTAAATTGAATGACATCTGATGCCTATAATGATATTATTCTCACATGTGAGGGTGTGACAAAACCTACTTCTTCAATTAATCTTCATATACTTAAAAATCAGAAGAATCTTTGATGCATTTAAAGCAGAAAAATACTGATATACAAGTTTAGTGCATTATATTAAAACAAAATCTCCATTAGTTGTTTGTTTTGACCGAATTGGGCATGTCTGACTAAAACTACGATGAAAATGTTGAGTTGTAAAGAAAATTTCATATCAAATTTTCAATGTGTGATATAGAAAATTCATACATAGGTGCTGATTGTTGACATCTTCAAATTTCTTTCTAATTCAAAACAAAGAGAAGTATTTATCAAACTATCGTATTGATCATATTCTCAAATTACTTTTTCAATTCATTGGACGTGAAAAAATATAGCCATATGGAAAAAGCTCTTCTCATATTGTTTTTCTTTCAATAGAATAAACAAGAGCACGATTATAATAGACCGAGGATTAAATAGCTATGTTGTCATGCACTTGAACACGTTCGAGATCGTTGAGTACGACGAGTGAAATGTTTTAATATCATATATCATATCCACTTGTTTGCACGGGTCAAATAATTGAACTATGGCATTTTCTAGTTCATTTATTCATTTGTTCATTCAACAGAAGATTCTCAATTCAATGGCAATATTGTGTCTGATCATCTTTATCTATGTATTTACGACGTTTACACCACAGAGTGCATTATCTGATAGTACTACGGTTCGAATTTATGATTCATTTGCAGAGATTTGTAAACCATACAATGGACCGTTACGTTTTCGACAGGTCGACTGGGATAATATTAAACATGAAAGTATAGTTCTACAATCGGCATCGGATACTAACAATACTATTCTATTTGTCGAACGTCGAATTGTTCGTATTAATTCCAATATGATAGGTTAGTTAGAATAGGAAATTTTCAGTATTTTCTTCTTATGAATGATTATTATTATGTATTTTCAGGTAAAAATGTCTTTGTACGAAAATATGCTGAACAGCAAAATTCTACTGTCTGTCAATTGATTAAAGACAATGGTGAATATTCAGTTGTACGTGAAATTGAAACAGGCCGTTATATGCGTGTGCAATCTGATTTAATTGAATATTCTCATGAACCTCAATCAAGTTCAATCTATGAAGTTTCGTTTCATCCATTTCCATCGGCAATTCCTCTTACGGTTACTTATGTTGTTAATAGTCTTCGATGGACTACGCGTTATATATTACGAACATTTGCCGATGGTCGAAATCAATTTCAAATTTTAGCCGATATTATCAATTCGAGTCCATTTAATTATCATTTCAATGTAACTCATTTGATGGCAGGTGAAATAAGTCTTGCATTTGGTAGTAGTAAAAGCTCTTCATTAGTTGCTACAACTATTTCATCGAAAAACAATATGGATTATAGTGGTATTCATTTGTTTTCCCTAATTAATAAATCGTTAACCATTGAACCCAATTCAATTCTTACTTTACCTATTATTTTACCACAAATTCAGATAAAAATCTCTTATACCCATACGCTTATTATGACTATTCCATCAATAATATCAAATAGTGATACGACAATTCTGTCTGGTAAACATAAATTTCAACGCCTATATCAAATATCAAATAGTTCTTCATTTCTGCCAACTGGCCATCTTCTCCTTTATGATTCATCAGTAAATGTACTTACGGGTGAATGTAATTTACCGACATTGGCTGAATCAGAAAAATATGAATTTGAATTAGGACAAGACTCGGATATTATGTTGGTATATAATCGTACATTGACAACGAATCGAGCAACAAATTCAACATTAGTAACAACCAATGTTTTAGTACAAAATTATAAACAACGAAAAGTTAATATTCGCTTGAAGTCTATTTGCCAATTATCAATGACATGTGTATTCTATGATAATAAAGGACGAACACTTGGATCACGTCTACGCTATGAACTTGTACTTCAAGCTAAATCTGAAGTAGGATTTACATTCTCTACCATCAGAATGGCTCAACAAAACTAGAAACAAAACATTCCCAAAAATACTATTCAAATAACTCATTAAGAAAATTGATTGTTTTGTTTTTTTTTCTGCATATTATATGTTTTTATTAGCTGAAAATAAAAAGAAAAACAGATGCAAAATATCTCAACAAAAAATATCTATACAAAAAAGAAAAAATACACTCGTACAGAGCGCGATGAAAAGAAAAAGTGTCGTAAGAGTACGTGCACAATATTAAAAAAGGTGCTGCGCAGAAAACTCGTGTGCATCGCTCAGAGTAACATAT